TTGAATGGGTAGTTTGTTTCACACATTGCTGAATGATACCAGCCATATATAAATTTGCTAGCAGGTGCATAAAACACATTGCTAGTGTAACAAGCACAGAATCTCCCAGATAATCGTTTATTACTTTCACTAATTCACATATATCTAAGTGTAAATCTCTTAGTCCTTTTAAATTTTCTTCTATAGTTAACGTATCATTTATTTCTGATAATTGCTTAAGTTTTTTTGCAGCATTCTCAAATTGTTCCTGAATAACTAGCAATAAGGTGCTATAAATTATAACAAATCCACCAGCTATTAAGCCTGACAAGGTGTAAATAATGTAGAACATAATTGGCAATCCACTATTTTGAGAATTATTAGATTGATCTGTAGAAACCTCTATTACTACGGTTGTATTATTCATGACCCAACAAATAAAACAAACTATCATAAACTTTTTAATTGTTTTGTAGTTGTTCCACTTGGTTTGTTGGTCGATGTGTTCTAATTTTTCCATAATTTGTTCGAATCGATTGTAATAAATGCCCGCAGAAATTAACATAGTAACACAACAAATAACAGAAATAAACAAATTTATATGTGTAATTGTATTTATCAATGAGACTTCCCATAGAAAGAAATGATCAAATAATATATAAAAATAGCCAATAACTTGTAAAATTGCAACTAATTGGAATGAAATCACACTCAGTTTCCCTAATTTTGGATAACTATTAATGCAAACTGGAGATATTAGCAATACTTTTGCCAAAATAAAAATAGGTGATAGATTTGTCTTCATTTTATGCATTGTTGTGGCAACCCTTAGAACTATATACCTATTATATGAGAATTCCAGTGGTATTAATTTTGTTTACAATATAATTTTTTCAGTACTATATTAATTAAAAGTAGAGTGTATTTACAAAACTAAATGAAAGTGTCTAGGAAAGTTGACTGAACATATTTGTAAACAAAACAATTAACTAAAATAATTTTTCTACTTCTACCATTCAAGGTCCAGTTTTTTTAAACACGGACGGCTAAGGCCCTGAGTAAAGTACTTTACTCACGGGTTTTATTCACGGGGCGGAGCTTGCGCCTGCGGATTTGTTTACGGTGCAGTACAAGACCGTATGAAATGCAAAGCGCCACCAGTCAAACAAGTCAAAGCTGCTGCAAAGCTGCTGCAGCTCGTGTTTAAAGCAGACTCTGCTGTTGTTCATTACAGCGCGGCACGGCATTTATAAAATTAACAAAAGTTCAACTTCAAAAACCTAAACGTGGAAATAGAGTGGAAGTAAACAAACTTGCGTAAACATCATGTGGCGAAACATTGTTAAACCCTTGATTAATTAATCACTCAATACGCTCGTCCTCAATCAATCTCGTAACTAATGTAACTAATTCGTTACATTTAATACTTTAACTACATTCACAAAATCACACATTGCATTATCATTTGAATTAAATTGAATCAAAATAATTAAATACGCTGTTAACGTTCCGATAACCGCAAATATAAGCTTGAAATCAAGGTCGATCATATCTGCCGCAGTAAATTGCACATCCGAGTGCAATATTTGTAATGAAGTCATACACACTGCATCTTTTATCTTCTCATTATTTATGAAAAGGGTATGCAAACATTGTCCACTATCTAAAGCCTACCAAGAAATATTTCATAAATTAATAGTGACTTCCAGTATAATAAAATATATCATTATACTCGTACATACATATTTTGTAGCCATTCTACCGCGATAACATAAAATTCCAAAAACTAACATATCTGGACAACAATGACACAGAGATATTACGAGCAATCCTGTGGCGAAATCAGTGTGTTGGACACAATTTTGTATCACACCAACCATATATAAATTGGTTAGTAAATGGATAAAAAACATTGCTATTACCGCAAACACAGAAACGCTAAAACAATCGTTTATTATATTGATGACGTCGCAAACACGCAAGTGTAATGCACCCAAACGTCTTAAGTTTCTTTCTATAATAAATACATCATTTGTTTCTGGCAGTTGTTTAAGATTTTTCGCAATGTACTCAAAACGTTCTTGTACAACTTGCAATAATGTGACATATATTACAGTAAAGCCACCGGCCATGATGATGGCCATGTTATAAGCACAATAAAACGAGGCTGGTAATTCATTGCTTATAGATTCGAAGAAAACGTTAGCAATCACTTCAAAAAGCATGTATATTGTATTAATTGACCATACGACAAAGTAAATAAACATGTGCCTGTTGGTATTCTTGTAACTCTTCCAATTTATTTCTGCGTCAATATCATCCAGTTTTTCCATAATTTGTTCGAATCTATCATGATGAATACACGCAGTGGTTAATAAAGTCGTAGTACAGGCACATGCAATACACAAATTAAAATGTGTAATCGAATTTACAAATGAAGACTTCCATAAGAAGAATTGAGCGAATATAAGTTGCAAATATGCAATAATATACGAAATTGCAACAAGTAGTGATAGTATTAAGCTTATTTTGCGCGTTTTGGGGTAACGATGAGTGCATATTGGAGATAATAGCAAACATTTTGCTAAAATTAAAATTGGTTGTAATATTGGATGCATTATGTTCCATAAATAGTCACTTGTTTTATGCTTCAAAATGCACTTGTTTATTAATGATAGTTAACTTCAGTAATTTTGTTAAAATGGTTTTGTTTTGTTTATTTAGTACTATTGATTTCTAATCTGTTAATTGCTTTTTAACATCAAATGTGTATTAAAAGAAAAGTATGTAGGATTAAAATTATCGAACGAGTTTCTATCGTTTTAGAAATAATAACCTGTAATTAAAAATCGATTTTTATGTAATACATGATTGATGATTCATTCATCAATATTTGTTTCAAAAACATATTTTTCTACTTACCCCTATAAAGCGCCAGTTTTTCCACGGGTTTTAGATATAAAAAGTCGTATTTTTTATTCGGACGGCCAAGCCATACATAATATTCATTATGTGCTTGCATTATGCACGGGACGGAGCAAGCGCTTGCGCATTTGCCTACGGAGCAGCACAAGGTGGTATGAAATGCCATCTGACGTCAGCCAAACACGTCAAAGCAGGCGCTGCTGCTGCTCCTATCGGAGGGGCACGATATGAACCAAAGCGTCACATGGACCAGCGCGGCATGGCACTTATAACCTTACAGTTCGTATAAGTGTGTGAGCAAATTTCGATGATTTAAAATACAAAAGTTGAAATACAAAAACCGCAACATGGAACTAGAGTGGAAGTAGAAAAAATGGCGAAAGTACCTCGTGGCTAAATGTTGTTAATGACTCGATTGATTGACCGCTCGCTATGCTAATGCCTTCGTTTAGACACTTGTTACTTAATATACTATTTTTACTTTGTATTAATTTGTTTTATTGGTTGCATTAATTGAAGTAACAAAAAAACATACTGTTTTATCATTAGAACTGAATTGAATCAGTATTACTAAATACGTTGTAATTGTTCCGATAATAGTAAACATCAATTTCACATTTATAACAGCAAAGTCAGCCGCGGTTAATTGAACATCTGAATTTAATATTTGTATTGATGTCATCTGAACAGTATTTTTCAAGTTTTCGGCCCTAATTAAAAGAGCGTGTAAATATCGTCCACAGTTCAGTGCCTACAAAAAAAAAAACAATATATTTTCTTTTATAATTTAAGTTCAATAAAACCTACATTTTCGGAAATATTTTCACCACGATAACATAAGACAGCAATAATTAAAATTCCACGGAAACAGTGCAAGACAGCCGCTACAAGTGACGCCACAGACAAATCTTTTCCTTCAACACATTTCTGTATTAACCCAATCATATAGAAATTCGTCAGAAGATGCACGAAAAACATTGCTATAACTACAAAAATAGAAACGCTGAAAAACTCATTTACCATTCTGAGCAATTCAGTTGTATCCATATGTAAGATTCCAAAATTTCTTACATTGCTTACAACAACTAACTGTTCATTATTATTTTGCAATCGTTTAATATTGTCTGCAATGTGTTTAAAACGTTCTTCAATTATTTGAACCAAAGTAGTGTATATAATCACAAAACCACTTGACATTACACCAGAGCAATTGTAAACCAAATAGAACATAAATGGGATATCGTTTTCGCTAGTATTTCCAATCGGACTTGCAACAACTTCCGTTAAAATAAACATCAAATTCAACACCCATACCATAAAATAACACATCATGTGTCTCTTAGTATTTTTAAAGTTTATTTCTTTCAGTTGAGCATCAATATGAAATAATTTTTCAATAAACTGATCGAATCGATTACTGTGAATACTTGAATATACTGATAATGTGATGGTACACGTTGAAGCAATAAACATATTAATGTGTGTAAGCAGATTAACCAATTCTGACTGCCACAGGAAAAAATGAACAATTGCAACGTAAAGATACGCAAGAAATTGCAATATCGCTGCAAAAAACGATAATACCACGCTCAGCATTCGCGGTTTTGGATAACGACGTGAACATATTGGTGTTAACAACATGAATTTTGCCAGATACAAAATTGGGCTTAAATTAGTTCTTATGTTATCCATTATACATGGGGTGTTTCTGATGTTTCAACTTGGTATGTTTAAACTGTGTCATTTTATCTATATTTGTCACCTATTGTCGTAATTGCCTTAAAAATATGCGTAGGCAATAGGCCAATAAATATTATACAAGTACTTTAATTTATTATACTTTGAAGGTCGTTTTAACTAAAAATATAGTGAGTAGGTCGTTACTCACTCCAAGGTAATTAAAGTTGATAATTTAAAACACACACATAAATTATATTTCAAACAAATTCATGTTTTTTGCTTTATATTAATATGTACAAAACTTTATCACTGTTCATATGTGACTTATCTGTATCTGCACATTTTTTTATCGAATACGAAAAGCAATCGTTCAAAAACAGCATAAATAACTTTTACCTTGCAATTCCATTCATTCATGTCATTCAATATGTCGCCGATGATATTAATTGCTTTAATTTTGCAAATTTGTGTTACAAATGTAATAACAGGAGAATATTCTGAAGTGGTTCATAATTTTAAATCTATTCGAAAAAATGTTGCGTTGTCAATATTGGTAATCGATGGCGATGAAAGCAATATAGATTCATCATCCCTGTCATCAGCAGAATTCGTTAAAGTACCTAATATCGAAGATTTATACATTATCAACATTTTAAACAGTCTGGATAAAAATATTTTTACTTCATTGCATCGACTTCAACATTTAAAAATTGAAGAAAACGAATTATCTTACATTGGCCCCGCTGTGTGGGCTGGATTGGATTTGGAAAAGCTGAGTTTACGTAATAATCAAATTGAAAAGTTGGATAATCGTGCTTTTGATGGATTAAAGGCTTCTATGATCGATTTATCCAATAACAAACTTCGAACCTTGCCGAATAAGTGTTTACAAAGTTTAAGGTTATATAAATTGACACTTGCAAATAATCAATTGGAGGACATTGATTTGGAAACATTTGGACCGGAATTAGCTTATGCAGATTTGAGCAATAACCTGTTGACTTCATTGGATGTGGAAGTGTTCAGTGGGGTTTATGCATTGCTTAATTTAAATTTAAGCGGAAATAAATTGACTTCAATTGTTGCTGCACCTACATTAAAAAAGCTTAAAGTATTGAACTATTCACACAATCAAATAAGTGTTATCGCGGGCAATGCCTTTGACTCCTATAATCAATTAATGGAACTTTATTTGGATCATAATCAAATATTTCGATTGAATCATCAATCATTTCCATCAATTGCACCAATCAAAAAATTTACAATTGATCATAATTATTTAACAGGGCTGTCTGATGAGTTGCTAAATGCACTAGATAATTTAGCTTATTTAAAATTCGGTGGAAACCCGTGGAGTTGCAAATGCTTAGAGCGTGTTTTAGAATTCATACGCTCGAATAAAATTGGAACAGATTATTGTGAAAGTAAATTAATTCCTCAAGGTCACTCCTGTGTTAATTACTATGATAAATGTTATGGCAATGAAACCAAAATATTATCACAAAACTTTGAAATTTATAAAAATTTCATAAAGCATTATGAATGTTAATATGACTTATCCTTCCGAGTTACGAGTAACGAGAATAAAATACTATTGTGCAATAAAATATCATTTTCCTTGATCAATGAGTTTTGTTTCGATGTTCGGCTGACCAAAAAAATAACAAGCAACTGTCAAGTTGCTGAATATTACAAAACGGGTTAAATTAAAGATACAAAATTAATTTTTATTATTATGGCTACGTACGTACAGCATAAGTCGACCGCATTCCGCAAAATAGATGATGTTAGACAACCGCAAACGAAAAGATCGGAATCTCGCCTGAAGCGATATTCATCTGTAACTGATTCACGTGTATGGATGAATAATGCACTTGAGAACAAAGCATTTATCTTTAACTTTATGGGTCAAGAGTATGAACCTACTACACTCAAGGTAATCGCCAAAAAATATAATATTCAAATATAAAACTAATACAAATTTTAATAGAAACGAAAAATTATGGGCCAAATTATACCGATTGATATGATTTGGAAAATATTAATGAGTAACAAGAACAATTACATTTACGATTTGGAAGAGCGAATCGATAATTTTGTCGATTTATTTCATAAAATAAATTTATCGAAGAATCAAATTGCTAAAATCAGGGTAAGCCACAAATTTGATTTTATTTTTCAAATTATAGCAAAATTTAATTATTTTAGCGATTATGTGCGACAACTTATCGTTCAATTAATAACTATTTAATGAAATACAAATTAACCGAACGTCGGAGCGATGACTTTGAAAAAAGTATACAAGCTTCACCACGCACTATAAACACTATTACTGAAACTGTAACTGAAACAATCAATGTTGGAATGAAGACAATATCTACAGAAGTTCACGATTCATCTACGCACACAAAAATACGCGCATATTGTGATAAATCGAGTGGGACAGCACCCCGGGCTGTTTCTGATGTATGCTTACAAGTAGTACTTGCCCCCCGTTTAATGGCGGATAAATGTGTTTCTGTTAAAGTACGTTCCTCAATCCATCTACAGAAAAATAAATCTATCAACGAGAAACATACTGAAATTAGTACAGGACGTTTTAAAATGCCTAGTATTCCTCTTAGACGTTCTTCCGCAAGAGACGTAGTAAATAAATCTCAATCAGCTATTGTGTGCACACAAAATGCTTCAGTTGACGTGATGCACAGCAGGTCACGCAGGTCCTGTGTTTCTTTCGCAAAGAAAAGTGAGATGATTCCGATTTGTTTGAAAATTCAACCACCTGATGAAGGTGTACGAGTACAGAGCGCCAAAGCTTTCGGACCAGATGATTCGATTAATCCATTGGAGATAATCGATGATATTATAGGCTGCGCATACTCGCCTAGCTCTTCTGGGGAGACAATTGAAGTGGTGTCCGAATGCGAGCAGACGTCCTTTAGCGAACGCAATGAAATCCGCCCATCTGTAATTCAACTATATCGTTCTTATAAATCGTCCCTGGAAAGTACATTGAACCATTCGAAACATGTTGACGGATATGAAACAGACCATTCAAATGAAGACGTAGCAATTTCTAATCCTAATTTTATTGAAAAACATTTATCTGATCCTGGTTTGGCACCAGAAAAATCAGATTGTGATGAATGTTGTAAACAAGTCGATACTGAATCACTCTGCGATAAATGTATTGATTGTCAAGATGAGATAGGAGAAACGGATGATGATAATGAGCAATTTGAAGATTGTAGACCTCCCACTAGAGATGGTAAGAAAAAGAAAGACCAAGAAACACATATTATTTCTTGCATTAGAAGAAAACATGCAAATAATAAACCAGAGTCTTCCAATGAATTTCAAAACACTAAATCATCTGAAGATTATAAAAGAGGAATGAAAGATGAAGAAACAAATGTAACATCTTGTATTAAAAAATATCGAAAGGGCGTAAGTAGTAATTCGGATTACTGCGCATCGTTGAAAATTGCTGAGGCAGAACTTGCTAAGCACAAAATACTTGCAGAGAATGCAATATGCCAATTGGAGTTGGTGAGGCAAACACTTCTAACGAACAATGTTACTATTTCTGAGATTGACACTATGAAAATAGCAGAAGTAAGACAATTAGTAAAAATTTATATAAATAATAATTTTATTCATCCTTTTGTAGGCTATACAATCAAATAGTTCTTCAAAAGATCTAAATATCTTCCATGGTTGCCTTACCGAAGCCTGTGGTTATGAAGTTGAACCAACTATTATTTTACACGAGCAATTACAGTTAATTGAACAAGTTTGCATGGCAATAATTGATACCAAATACTTGGCGAGATATAAATTATTATCGTCCGAGTCTGTTATGCAATCTTCTCACGCAAATATTGTTGATATAGTAGGCAGCGAGACCAAAGGATACAATAAACTAAAGCAACAAATTGAGTTCTATAAGACGCAAGTACTAAAAATGGAGCAAATTAGTCTAGAGCGAAATCAATTACAACAAAATGTGTATAAACTAGAAGGTGATTTGAGAGCATATAGTGGAATCAGAAATGTGTTAGTATCTGATCCAGATATTGCAGAGTTCTTGCAAGCTGATGATGTGATAAAAGAAGTATGCGACTTGAAGAGAAAAGCTGATCTTTGTGAACAGTACGAACAAGACCTAGCATGTGAAAAGTGTTGTGTTGCTACGTTGAAAGAGAATTTATCACATATGTCTGCTAATAGATTTAACGAATATGAAAGTCTGCGTTACAAAGCACAGGAAGCAGATATTTTGAGACTTGAATTGGATCGTCTTCGAATTCAATTTAGCGATATTCATAAGTTACAAGCAGATAATATAAATTTGTATAATAAATGTGCTGAATTGCAACGTGCATCCCAAATGAATTTGAAAAACCATCCTGCTACGGTTTCACAAGCCGTTGGGACATGTAAAGAACAGACTTTTGATGATCAATCCGAGGAGATTGAAAAATTAAAACAAGAAAAGCAAGCTTTACTTTGTGCTGTAGTTGTTAAAGAGTGTGAACTTGTGGATCAAGAAGATGAAATCGATAGATTAGTAAAACATGTTGATCGGTTAACAACAAATAATGAAATACAACAAGAAAAATCGAAACAAATCGTGTCACAATTAAGATCGGATTTGAATACTAAAAGCTCATATATAACAAAATTGGATAATAACCTTGAATGGATGGAGGACAAACTGAAAGCATCAATAACATCAATTTCAAAAGACTCTAACAAATGGCAAAGTAAATTGTGTAATCTGGAAAGATCTAGAATGCAATACAAAGCTAAAAATGATGCCTTAGAGGATACTATTAATGAATTGCGAAAACAGCTACAAATGCAAGAAGAACTCAATCAGACTTATTCAATTGAATTGCAAAAAAAAGCTAAGCAACTAGAAGAATTAAAGGAGAAAGATCCGAATGGCATAAATCAAAGAATAAAAAGTGCCACAAAAATGGAATGCATTCTGAAAAAGTCGCACAACGCTGTGCGTAAAGTGGTTGAAGAATTAGCAAAGCAATATCGCTGCGATTTAAAGGAGATTCAAGAAGTTGTACCAGAGTTAAAAGATAATTAGTGAAATTTTCACCAGTTTTGTACGTGATGCCAATTGTGCCAAAATAAAATTTCAATAGCCAAACCTGTTTGAATTTTTGAAATAAAATCAACAGCTCCATGAAATAAACACACTTGTTTTATTCATTTAGAATAACACAAAAATTCTAACTGTCATTACTAACGTACTTACATACCTTTTTTAAGAAGTATATTTACAATTTTTTTAAACAAAGGCTAGATTTTAATGTCGAGATGTACTCTCATACATCACTAAATACACTGGACACTTGCGTACTTGCATAAATATATCAAATTATTATAAAAATGGCGACTTATGTGAAAGACAAATCTGCGGCTTTTAAAAAAACAGGCGATGGAACCGCTCTCCCCAATAAACAGCGGTCGGAGGCTCGAATGAAAGCGTATACATCCGCTACAGATGCAAGAGCCTGGGTAAATAATGTGACTGATAATAAACAGTACATAGTTGACTTAATTGGTACAGAATTGCCGAAGGTAAGATTTGAATTTAGTGTTTTATAGATTCGAATGTATAAAAATGTTTTCTACAGCAAAATCCGCTTGGAAAATATGTACCAGTTGAAGTGTTGATGAAAACTTTGATGAGTAATAAAGATGCTGATATAAAGCGATTGAATGGTATCATCAAAGAAATGGAAAGCTTTATAAACACCTTGCATTTAAATGCTCAAGAAACGATGCATTACAATAAATTGGTAAAAATATAACACGAATCAATCATGTTTTTGTTTAAAAAATTTTATTTATAGAAAGATTCTTGGGCTGTTGGTGATAGGCCATCTTGTACAACCGATGAGTCTCTGAGAAGTAGTATTCCACTTTCCGAATCTAAATATGGTCGTACTTCGTCCGAAGACAGATTACGACGACCTCCTTCAATACAAACAAGTCCACGTACTGCTTCTGAAAGCAGAATAGCTACTCCTCGGTCTGAGCCAATGCAGACTTCGGCAAGTGAATCTGATTCTGGCAAACCGGATCATCATCAGCGAACTCCTATCCGCCTACATGCAGACAAACACTACTCCAGTGGTTCCACTGAATCTTACACTACAGCGCAAAGTAAATTTGCATCAGAATTCTCAACTGGCGAATCACTTACAACAAGAAGTACCGTGCCATTGGTTCGTGTTTTGCCTCTCAAAGTCAATAGCCACCATAAAGATGTGCAAGTTAGTCATTCGGTGGAGTCAACTGCATCGCAAACACAAACCGCAAAGCCGAAAGAAATGGTTATGGTTGATAGAGCACAACAAGTAGTTTACGAAGGAACGCAACTGAAGCTAAAGTCATCTTCGGCGCTGAAAAGTCGTATTCCCGTACCAGGTCCAACTGGCGATATGAAGGTTGGGAAAATTACGCAGACTCCAATAATTTCCAGTCATGACATTCAAACTGTATTTGATGCTTTTACGGCAGACAAGCAAATGACTACGACGGCATATGAGAAGGTATATTAATAAGGCATTGTTACTTGCGATAAAAGTTAATACTTTTTTAAAACAATTGTAGTGCTTTGAGTGTGAAAGAAACTTATTAACAATTCGTCAAACAATGGACCAAATGGAAGAATTGAAGATTACGTTAGAGGAACGCGACGATAAACTTCAAGCAATGCAATGTGAATTAGACAAAATGAAGGTAACAACAAAACAACAAACAATTTGTACTGATAAACTATATATTTATTTGTAGGCAGATGTATTGGACCAAGAAAATATAGACGACGACATTTCCACAATGGCTAACCATATTGCAAAACTACGTGCGTCAGGTAGTACAGACGAGTTGAAGATTGTTAGCAGCGAACTTCAATTACTCAAAAAGTATTGCCAGAAACTAATCTATATCAAGTCGGATAACAAAAAGTTGAAACACGAAAATGATAATCTACGATCTCAGCTAAATATATCTCGAAGTATTGGCACATTGAAGAAGTCTCATTATACTTTAGTGAGCATTGAACCGAATACATGTTTGCGTCGTGATGATTATTCGGGAGACGTGGATTTACGTAATAAACTGCAAACAAAATGTATAGCACTTAGGGAAGTTACAAAACAACGAGATAAATTGCAAGCAACCATTTCCAAACTTGAAGCAAAACTGAAAAAATATGATCATCTTAATAATGAAATTACGATCTTTAAAGAAAGATCTAAAGTTCTCGACACTGTCATTGAAGAGAAGCTGGGACTAGAAAGACGTTTGCACCGACTGGGAAATTTAGAAACGGAAATGATGTCGTTGAAAGTTCGAGCCAACAAAGCGGATGAACTTCAACGAGCTTTGGAAAATGCCCAAAGCAAGTTGTTGCAAATGCACAGCCAACGTAGTTCCTCCCTAAATACATCGTTTTCAATAGATGGTAATAGTAACAGCATGACTGCACTGATGGAAGACTTGAAATACAAAACACGAGAAGCGGAAGTACTGCGTGTTGATCGTGATAGAATGCGTGTGCGTCTAGAAGAGCTTTCACATTTTGAGCATGAATATAAGCTATTGCAGGGTAAGGTTCGAACGTTGGAAGCTGTGCGAAATGAACGTGACGCGTATAAATCAAAAACGATGGAATTAGCCAGTCTGCAAGACGACTATGTTTTACTAAGAGAGCAAGCAGAACAAGTACAGATTTTGACTGACGAAAGGGATACGTTGATCCGCAAAGTTCATGATTTGGAATGCGTGATTACTGACCAAGAGAATGAAATTAATCGACTAGTCATGCATATTGATAGATTATCCAGTGGAGCAGACAAACATCAGGTAAGCCTAGTTTTTGTTTTACTTTGATGTAAAAATTAGGGCAATTTTTATTTTCATCTTACTTCAAATCACAACTTTGCACGTAATAGGATAGAATCAAAGAGATAATAACGGAATTGCGCGGTGAGATTGAAAGCAAAAACTTGCTCATTTCTAATTCTGAAACACAATTGGCGGATGTACAAGAACAATTAAAGCATACAATTGATACACTGACAAAAGAAACGTGTGCTTTGAAGCAACAAGTTTCCGCAGCAAATGCTTCGTGTACAGTGTTCAAAAATCGTTTAGAACGGCTCTCAAAACAACTAACGGAAACTACTGTTGCATTCGAGAAGGAAAAGAAAACCTGTGTTCGATTTAAGGCAGAAGTTGTAGCGTTAAGTAGAGATAATCAGAGATTGCAAGAAATTGCTGATAACATGAACGCTTTAACTGATGCGGGCAAGTTGAAGTCTATTTTAGATAAGTCTCATGCGGCTAGTGAAACTGCTGCTATACAATTATCGGATAGTGAGACCGTAATGTCACGCGCAGTTAATACTGAATCTGTTACACATATCAGACCACTTGCCAGAAGTATTCATACTACTGTAGCATCTACTGAATATGCTGATTCCCGAGGACAAATATCCTCTTTATTAACTGGGATTAAGAACATCCCAACACATGACTATTCTGTGGTTAAACAGCAAACAGATCAAGGAATTGTTGTAGAGCACAGTGTTGATGCAATTAACTTACCGTCACCACCTAGTGGATCAATTCGACTTGAAGAAAAAGCTGTTCAATTTGCTTTGTCTGCTCAAGCAAGTGAAGATAAAGATGATAAAGTTGTTTGTACTAAATCACGGACTCCACCTTGTCGTATAAATGTTGATTCCTCTACAATATGCGTTGATAATAGTGATGATTTTCTACATCTACAACAATTACAAGATGAGGGAAAATTGTCATTAGAGGGTATTAGTTGTGTATGCAGAGGCATTCAAGCAGATATTTGTGAATGTGTAGGCCCAACTCAACAACAGATTCTTCCACATAGTGAAAAAATGATAAGCGTTGATAATGCGCTAGATATGAAAGGTCGAAAACTGGAAAAACGTGACAAACTCTCGCTTGAAAATATTACGTGTGTTTGTGAAGGCAGTCGAGCAAAGATTTGCTCTTGCAGTATTTCTGATAAGTTAAGAACATACAGAACTACAGAAGGTTATATACCACCTTGCCGAAGGGGCCTACAAGTAGATGCAAATACTATTTGTGTTGATAATGAGGATGAACAACGTCGCCTTCAAAATTTGGAATACGAAGGTAATTTATCCCTCACAAATATAACGTGTGTTTGCAAGAGAACTCAGACGGCAGTGTGCGTATGTAAAAGCGCATCTATGCCGGGTTTTACTGCAGAAAGTTCATCTTTAAAAGAAACAAATGTAGGCAAGAAAGTTCCACCATGTCGTCGAGGCTCCAATGTGCATTCTGACACTATATGCGTTGATAATAGTGAAGATCATAGTCGGCTTGAAAAGTTGGAATTTGAAGGAAAACTATCATTGGATAATATTCGTTGTGTTTGTAGAGGAACTCAGGTCGAAGTTTGTGATTGTACAGATTCTGGAACAGGTTTAGATCAAAAAAGAATTTCAAAGGGTCGTAGAGGTTCCGATATACTTTTAAGTACGATTTGTGTTGATAACATTGATGATCAGCGTCGAATCCAAAAATTGGAAGACAAAGGAAAGCTATCACTGGATAACATTCGGTGTGTTTGTAGAGGTACACAAGCGGAAATTTGCCAATGCTTGGATTCTAAAACAAATTTAAAGAAGAAAAAGGTTTCACCTTGCCGTAAGGATTCAAATGATTTGTATGATTCAATTTGTGTTGATAATACTAAAGATCAACTAAGACTTCAACAATTGGAAAATGCGGGTAAATTATCATTGGATAATATTCGCTGTGTGTGTCGAGGTACACAAGCAGAGATTTGCGAATGCCCAGATCTTGAAATTCGAAGGAAAGAAGAGGATCAAATTCAAAGAAAAGACCAAAATCAACAGCTGCGGCAACAGGAAGCGGAAGAAAAACTATCATTAGATAATATTCGTTGTGTGTGTCGTAGTACACAAGCAGAGATTTGTGAATGCTCAGATCTTGAAATTCAAAGGAAAGACCAAGATCAAATTCAAAGAAAAGACAAAGATCAGCATTTGCGGCAACAGGAAGATGAAGAAAAACTGTCATTGGGTAATATTCGTTGTATGTGTCGTGGTATACAAACAGAAATTTGTGAATGCCCAGATCTGGAAATTCAAAGGAAAGAAAAGGATCAAATTCAAAGTAAAGACCAAGATCAACATCTGCGACAACAGGAAGATGAAGAAAAAATGCCAGTGGATTATATTCGTTGTGCCTGTAAAGGAATCCAAGCAACTGGTAAATTATCAGAGCAAAATATGAATATAGATGAGCAACCTTTGCAACACTTGGTATCTGAAGATAAAATAGCATTAGCTAGTAGTAAATCAGGAACTATGTCCATTAGCAAAGGTAACTATAAACATAATCAGCGCGGAAAAGATGATGGATATATAATAAAAACTTTTTACTTACAGATATCGATACGGGCAGTAAACTGAAGGCTGAATTATTACAAAAAGAACGTGACATGATTGAATTGAAAAAGCAACGTGATACAATTGGTTTGGAAAATCAGGCACTTCGTAAACATGCAAGTGAAATCAAAAATATCGCGAAGAGTCAAATTAGCGCATTATCAAATGAATTGAGGAAATCACGCGAGGACTGGGCTAAAACAGATGATTCCAAAACAGTTGCTGATTTACAAGAACAAAATAAACTGTTACAAAAAGAACTATCAATGCTAAGGAAATTACAATGTGAATGCAACCAAATGTACAAAGAAAAACTTCTTGAGTCGTCAGTAAAACTTAAAATACCCAAAGATGAATCCCAACTACCCAAATTAAAATATAAAAAGTTGGAAGATGAAGCAAAATTCTCACGTGCAAATATTCTTTGTGTGTGTAAAGAGGTACAAACTGAAGTTTGTGAATGTGCAGATGGAGATTTAATTACATCAGAAAGTAAGCAAAAAGCTTCCCCAGTTTTGCAAGGAAAAAGTTTATTAGGTGATAAGAGATCAGTGAGCCAAAAAGGCACTGATGGTGGAATTTCAGAGCATCCATCCGAAAGAGGATTGTATATGGAAGATATGAGACCGATAGAAAGTACAAAGTACTCGGTACTTCCATCAGAAAGCAAAAAACCTTCCGAATATTATATCGAAAAACAAAAGCATCCTGAGGAAACTAGAACTAGAGATAGTGAAAGGATACTTGCCCCGAGTGAAAGCATAAAAGTTCAAAAATATCCTTCTGAAATAGGAAAACATTTTGACGAAACAAAGCCATTTGATAGAGATCTCGATGTGGTTAGTGCAACAGAAAAGAAGCGATCCCAAGAACATCCTTCGGAAACAAAAAAATACCCCGATGAAGTTAAATCAAGCGAAGATACTCGTCTAGAAAAACATCCCTCAAAAATTGGAAAACTTCCTGAAGGGATCAAGCCTACTGAAAGTCACGAATTCTTGGACCGCCATGCAGAACTAGAGAATTATTCTGAAAGAGCAAAACCTAAACCAGATAAGGAAACACTACTAGAAAAACCGATACATACAGATGAACTTGAACAAAAAGTGCACATGGAAAAAGATGCTGCAAAAGTAGATAAAGTCATTGAAGAGTCCAAAAAAGGTGAGAGTCCGGTCTCCGGACATCCAAAACTTCAAGACCGTCAATCGGAAATAAAAAAACATCCCGAAGCAGCAGCCGCGGAAATAAAGCCAACCCTGAGTCATGAGCCAAAAACATCAGAGACTAAAGAACCTTTAAAATCTTCTTCAGAAATAAAACATCCAGTACTCAAGGAAACAACTGAGGATAGGCCCACATACCAACCCTTACAAGCTGCTGCTGAATCAATTTATAAAGGTGTAGAAGGAAAGGAAAGAGAAAAACCAATAGTAGTCGAGAAAATTGAGGATAAAAGACCATTGGCACAGTCTCCTGAAGTAAAACATCCCGAACAAGTTACCGAAGCAGCCGAAGGAAAGCCTGTAAAACAAAGATCACAGGTTATGGGAGAGCCGAAACTGCATAAAGACGTGGAGGAAATGGTAATAGAAGCACCTATAGAAAAAAGAAAATCTGTTTTACCATCGACGGCAGTCCAAGATCCATCTCGTGCGATAGAAGGAACATTGCCCAAAGAAATATTGGACCTGTCTCCGGAAATGAAACGTCATGAATTAAAGGAGCCACCTGGAACAGTAAGTCTTCCAAAATCTCCATCTAATAGTGACTTAATGCGTGAACTGGATAAGTTAAGAAAACAATTAGATGAGAGTAAAGCTGAAAATGCCAGCAAACCATCAGATAAGAAGGATGACGATAAACTTTTAAAAGAACTTGAAGATCTGCGAAAGCAACTGGAAAACTGCAAGAGTGAAATTGGAGATTATAAAGCACAACTTGGGGACAAATCTGAGCAACAAAAGCAATTTGGAGATGAGAAACAGTCTGGGGAAGCCGCGCCAGCTCTTACAAAAGAAAACGCTGATTTAAAGAAGCAACTGGACGCATTAAAAGAACAGCTGGCTGAAAAACCAGAAAAGAAAGAACCCAAAGAGAGTGACTATTTGACGCAAGAAAATAATGATTTGAAAAATCAATTAGAACAAATGAAAAAAGCATTGGACCAAGCTAAAACTTTGCAAGAGTTGCCAATAAAAGACGGTAAACAGGATCCCGGTAAAGGAATGCCGGATGACTGGAGCAAACAACTAGAAAACTGTACCAACGAATTGGACGATTTGCGTAAACAGCTGGAAAACTGTCGTAAAGATCTAGAAGCTCAGAAAAAGCTTAGTCCAATTGAATCAGCCCGTAAAGAAGATTTCAAATCTGAAAATGATGAACTACAGAAACAATTAGAGGATCTTAAGAAACAATTAGCAAAAGAAAAAGAAATGGCCATCAAAGCTCCACCAGTCGCAATCGATTTAAAACCCGAAAATGATGATTTACGAAAGCAATTAGAAGACCTGAAAAAACAGCTAGCAGAAACAAAAAATGACTTGGAAAAAGAACGCAGTACGCCAAAAGGAGATTCTAGTGACATTGACGATTTAAAGAGGCAATTAGAAGCTTTGAAGAATCAACTAAATGAAGCAAACAAAAAATTAGAAGAATGTGAGCAACATTTAGAAAATGAAAAGAAGAAACTAGAAGAAGAGAAAAATAAACGGTTATCCGCACTTACAGTAGCTCCAGCAGATAATAAGCAGGAAATGGATGATTTGCTAAAACAGTTAGCCGATGCTAAAAAACAATTAGACGAAGAACGTAAAAAACCTATGGATACAAAACTGCCTGAAGTGGCCGCGGCTCCAACCGGCCCCAGTCAAAAAGACTATGATGATTTGCTTGCGCAATTGAAACACAGTCAAGCTGCATTAGACTCGGAGAAAAAGAAGATACCACCACCTACAATGCAAGCACAGCAAGATGCTGCATCTACGCTCAAAACCCAGCCTCAAACTGTTAAGGAAGATGCACAGGAGAAACCAACAATTGCTCAAATAGCTAAAGAACAACCAATTGAAATTGAAAAACCTACTACAGTAGCAGGTTTGCAAGGCACAAAAGGTCAACCCGATGAAAAACCTAGTACAGTTGCAGGTTTGCAAGGCACAAAAGGTCAACCCGATGAAAAACTTAGTACAGTTGCAGGTTTGCAAGGCACAAAAGGTCAACCCGATGAAAAACCTAGTACAGTTGCAGGTTTGCAAGGCACAAAAGGTCAACCCGATGAAAAACCTAGTACAGTTGCAGGTTTGCAAGGCACAAAAGGTCAACCCGATGAAAAACCTAGTACAGTTGCAGGTTTGCAAGGCACAAAAGGTCAACCCGATGAAAAACTTAGTACAGTTGCACGTTTGCAAGGCACAAAAGGCCAACCCGATGAAAAACCTAGTACAGTTGCAGGTTTGCAAGGCACAAAAGGTCATCCCGATGAAAAACCTACTACAGCCTCAGCTTTGCAAGGCACAAAAAGTCAACCCGATGAAAAACCTACTACAGCCTCAGCTTTGCAAGGCACAAAAGGTCAATCCGATGAAAAACCTAGCATAGCACCAACAACTGCATCAGCAACTAAAGAAGGTCAATTAACAGCAAAACCCACGGCGCAACAAGCGGCAAAAGAACAAGCATCTACTAAAGGTCCCACTGCGCAAACTGCTAGCGGTAAACCCGGAGAAAAACCAAGTACAGCACCAAAAACTGCAGCAAAAACTAAACAAGAACAGTTAACAGGAAAGCCCACTTCGCAACAAGCGCGGAAAGAACAAGTATCTACTGCAGGTCTTACTGCGCAAACTGGTAAGGGTCAACCCGTTGAAAAATCAAGCACAGCACCAACAACTGCAGCACAAGCTAAACAAGAACAATTGACAGAAAAGCCCAATTCTGGCACGACACGTCAAGAGGATAAAGAACCAAGTAAGGAACCAACTTCTGAAGCACCAGTTACGTTAGATACTCAACCTAAAATACTTGAGGAAACAGCGGAAACGGCAACTGTACACGATAGTAAAACTAAACTAAGCTCCAGAGCAAGTCAAACAGCAGCTTATGATTTATCTAGCACACCAGCAATAACGCAAAAAACGAAGCCTATTGAAGGTCTGACAGCAGATGAAGCCTTCAGGAAAACAGGAGAAAAACCTACAGCACCTACAGTTGCTGGCCCTACAACAGAGGCCGCTAAACTTGAAAACTATAAAAAACGTCTTGCCGACTCTCAGCAAAGGAACTTTGAACAAAAGCTATTACTTAAAGGTAATCTATTACTGTGTTATTTATTACCAATAGAGTTATTAATATTTTCATAAAACATTCAAGAAAGTAAGATGAAACTACAACAACTCGAGATAGAGTTAGAGAAAACAAAGAAGCAAAGCATTGAGGCAATCAAATCCGCACGTGCCAGCTACGAACGTGATATTATGAGCATGCAGCAAAGCTACATCGAAGGCATTGAAACGTTGCAAGCTTCGCACGAGGAATTAATGAGTCAGGGCAATGCTGAAATGGAAGCTGAAGTCGAAAGCCTCAGGAAGGACGCGGTACAAAAGCAAGCAAAAATTGATGAACTACGATGTATCTGCTATGATTTAAAAGTGAGATGTTATTTTTGGTTGGTTTTATGTTTGATTGCAATTTACTAAGCGTAATTTTTGTTTGCACGCTAGAAAAAGAAAACCAATTTATGTCAGGTCCAGGTGCAAGCAATGGACATTCAAATGGAATGCGTATGCGACGATATGTTGTTTGCATATTTGTTAAGGAAAATTTTGTATTGCGGGCTTGAGGTTGGTAGGAAGTAAAAATTGCCATAGTTTTACATCAGATTGTTAAATATAAAGATAAACATAACATATTTTACAGACGTTAACATTTGAAGACTTGCAGTATATGCACACGAAGATTTGTGATGCTACGGCCAAGGTAATGAGTTCTGCAAAAATGAGTGATTACTCATTTGAACCATGCAATCCGTGCAACCCATGCGACTACAGGTGCAGGCAAACAAAAGCACAAACACAAGGTCCTTAGTACAACTTTTGTTAAAACTATTGAAGAAGGAACATACAACCACAATATATTCTCTCATTTTTCAGTTGCAAAATTACAAATGGAAGTGGCACTTGAAAGACAACGTCTTGAAAGCTTAAAGAAAGCATTGGATATTGAAAGAAGTACTCAAGCATCCATGGCGCATCATTATCAGCGTCAAGCTAAGATTTATGCACCCGTATATGGTGCCTACCAGTAAGTCAGCGCTTAAATATTTTTATCTATAATTTAAATGGTTTTTGTCTTATCATTTTAAGAGCTCAAACTGCAAGAAGATATTCGACAATTGATGATAATTGTCGTTGCTTAAGTCAAGTTGATTTGAACTTACGACGAAGAACACATTTAGACTCAGTTCAAGAACATCAATCTAGCACTGTATTGAAATATTAACTATGGGTATGAAAAAAAAACGCAAGAATTCACTTTTGGTGAACTACGATAAATTTAAAGGTTATCCATCTAACTATTTCATTTGAACACAAAATTGTGCACAGCGTGCTTTGTATTTACACTATAATATAGATTTTTAAACAACTACCAAATTATGTTTTTTGATTCACAAAAAAGTAACATACAATAAAAAAAATAATCTGAAGGGAGACCATAAGTTTTGAATAAAATTATTTAAGACTTTAGAAAGATCTACTCTTCACTGCACATACAATGCAATTTTGTAGGCAATCGCCAGATTTGTTTTCGTAAAGCTAACGTTCGATGAAACCTTCTGAGTTAAACATATGTAAGAAGAATTCAAGAACGAAAAACACAGAATAAAGAAGTGTTTACAATATGGCACATGTTAAATTCTTTCGTATCTTTGTGAAATTATAAAATAAAGTATCTTATAGATCACATTATGTCCAAGGTGCAAGGGTACACAACATAAACATAATTAAACATATTTACTCTTCATGTTTAAACTGACATTGTAACAGATATACTTGTTCTTTACATTTCCTTAGTCCATTCGCAAGCCAATGCACTTGCCCTTTGGCCAGTGATTGAATTTCCTTATACCTAGACTGTAATCCGGAAAATTGTTTAGCGTCGCAAGCCATAGATGCTGCTGATAAATCAATTTGCAACTGCCTCATTGCTTGGTGAATAGCATCAACGCATTTACTACTAGATGCAGTAGATGACAAATTATTTCGGGCAAGAATACTTTGTGAGAACGATCGACCTAATATATAATTATGAAGACGACAGCTCATTTCCTTTAGTCTGTCATTGTCTCGTTGTAGATCTAAAAGTTTTCCTCGCAATTGTTGAATAATATTCTCTCGTTCCACTACGACTTTCTGAACGGGTTTGCAAGTGCCTTCAAATTGATACCTTTCTTGTTCCAAGGCTTGCAAGGACATGTTTTTCGATGTTAATTCTTCTTTTAACTGATTAATCAGTATATGATTCAAATTGTCTTGTTCCAGCAGTCCTGTAATGCGATTATGCGCCTCTTGTAAACTATTTTTTAACACGGAAGTTTCACAGGTTAAATTGTTTATGGAATCTCTTAACTGTGTTTGTAGATTAAGTAACTTATTTTCTGATACTTTAATCATGCATGACTTTTTGTCAAGCTCTTGTTTAAGTTGATTGATTTGATTCAACGATTCTGATTCCACTACTAAGGATTTACAATTTTCCAAATAGCGTACTCTGCCTTGTTGGTTTTCGATTATGTTTTGAAGGTTTTTACACCTTTCAGCAAGTATGTTATTCTCATCTTCGCACTTCTTGAACCGCTCTAATTCAGCTTCATAATAGCTACACTGTTCCTTCAAATAAGCTATCTTATTTAAGTATTGCGAAATGGACGTTTTCTGTTCAAGAAATTGAATGTTAAATTGCTCTTTCATTTCTTCATGTGCTTCCTGAATAAGTTGAAGTTCACTTATTCGCAAACACAATCGATCAAATTCCAAATTTTTGATCTCAAAATCACTCAATTTTTGCTTCAGATATTCAATTTCTTTCTTCAACTCAAATTCCACTTGCAAATTAGGAATGGTCTGACAGATTTGTGATGCATGGTCACCAGGACAACTATCATGCCTACCAGGTAGTTGCTGCTCAATCATTTGATCAAACTTTTGCAAGTTTTCCATCTGGGTTAACAGTTTACCGACAGTCTCTTGCAGAATATTGCGTTCTTCAATAATTTGTTTCATATCATTATAGTTTTCATATTCATGTGTCATTATTATAGCTTCACGAGTCGCTTTCTTCACTGGAAATATTGCAATTTGATCACTGCGCACCATTTTGAGATTGTTTAATTTGCGAATATCTTTGCGACGAATTTCAAGTTTTAAATCACTTATTTTTGCTTTCAAGTGTAAATCATTATTTGACGATGATTTTGTGTTACGCATTCCATCCAAAGATTTTTTCAACATATCATTTTCATCTTTTAAGCTATCACGCTCCTTAACTATCTGTTTGAGAAATGATATTTGATTAATTGCATTTGCAGCAAGTTCTCTTTGTTCTTGCAATTCCTGTTCTTGTTCCTAATATGTTAAAATTGAATAGTTGAGAAAGTATTGATGTTTTTAAGGTACACTATATTCTACCTGAAACTTTTGATTTAATTCTTGAATAGCATCATCAGCTGGCATGAGAGTTTCTTCACTACATCTAAACGAATCAATGGATGGGAATTTATTTATCATAGAACCTATTGGCCTTTGTTTCTATATAAAAAAAATAACGTATAGTATTGCGTTCTTTATACAAAAAACTTGTATTTTGTGCCTACCAAACTTTGAAGCGAATTTCTTTGATTTTCATCTAAATTTAAATCATCCAGGAATGCTTCAAGAAGATTTAATTGACTTTGAAGATATTTAATATCCGCTTCTTTGTTAGACATTAGTGTTCTCATCAAGACGTGTAAATTTACATATTTTCCTAAATACATCTCCTGCTAATCATTTAAAATCATTACTAATTTATATACTCCGGCACAATAAGAACTTACTTGAGGTTTTGGATTATCTGCAGTAAATAAATCTAGAATGTAGCTTTTTCTGTCGTTAGATTCAAGGGCCCACGCTCGAGGATCGGTTGCAGAATCGTATGATTTCAGATGAAATATTGACTCGGAATTTGTAGGCAGATCACAAGTGTTCCCCGGCGTCTGAAATGCTCTTATTTTGTTACTTACAAAAGTAGCCATTCTTGTGAGTTCACCAAGATTGTCATTAAGTTACAATGTTGTGGCATTTGCTTATGATGAAATGCAAACCGTTTAGGAGGAGCCCTTGTTCATAAGATACGTGAAATTTTATTTACACCATTAGGGTGTTGCGCCATTTGACACAGTTCAAAGTGATTGAAATTTAATAAATGGCCAAAATATCCAAGCCAACTTGTACACACTTTGAAAATATCAGGGTAATTATTTTACAGAAATTTAAAATCTAAAATTTCAAATATGCTTCTTATTCCATTCCTAATTTTTAATAAAATATCTATTAGTATCCAAAATTGTACAAAAACCCTGCAATTAATAATATAATTGACTTTATTTGCATTACATGCATAGTAGAAATTATTTTTTAATATTCTCAACAAGGCAGTTTTAAACTCTCTTATTATTAAAAATCTCAATCCAATATCCATCTGGATCAGTGATAAATGCAATTGTTTTCATTTTACCATCCTGAGGACGTTTAATAAAATTTACTTTGAGTTGCTCAAATCTCTCACATGCTTTATCAACATCAGGAACCATCACACCAATATGACCAAAACCTTTTGGTTCAGAGTTTCCAGTATGATATTTAAAGTCAGCTTGATCTTCAGTACCCCAATTGCTACAAATTCAATATTTTTAGTATAGTTGTATAGTATAGTATATTTGTAGTAGATATATTTCATTATTCTCTTACTGTGTCAATTCAACAGTAGCAGGTCTTGAAAGAGCCCATTCTGATCTTTCTCTTGAGCCCAATTCTCCAGGCATACAAGCAGCATCCTCATACCCCATGAAATACAAAGTAAACTTCATTTCTGGAAAGTCTAACTTCTGAAGAAGAGACATGCCCAGAACACCAGAATAGAATGGCACTGTTATTTTCGGGTCCTTGATTCTGTACATGGTTTGTTGGAATATGAAGTCTGTTGTTGCTGCATCTTTGGCTTGTGCTAACTTTAAAGCTTCCGCGTTGGAAATTGGCATCTCTTCAGCCATATTGTAAAAATTGATTCCTGTGATACTAGTTACGAAATAACTGAATTGGTAATCTGTAAGTACCGGTGATACTCGCACTTTGCGATAAATACGAGAAATAAAGGTCAGGTTAGCGTTTATCAAATTTTCCTTTTACTACAACTGGCGAAACCTATGAACAAGAAGGAAGATTAATACGTATTTGCGTCGTTTTGCCTCGCGTAAGTCTGCCGCAACCATACCAACTTAAGTTTCATGTTTCTAACTCAAACTGCAAAAATAAATAAATGTAGGAGAATATTAAAGTGATTTACATGCGATCAATCTCATATAAATATGATACCATAATGTGACGAAACTTGTTAGTTATTTGATTAAATATGACAAATTAAAAAAAAAACGTTGGTTTTTTTTATTTCAAATACTGTGTCAGTGTTTTTTATTTAATTTTATGCATTTTTACATTTTTAATTACAATCTAACATTTGTACATTTATTAAAACTTTGGTCGAAAACTTATTTGGTTTAGGGGTATGCCGAAATTCACTAAATTTGGAGCATCAACGTTATATTTTTTATGTATAAGTAAATTACTTTCATAAGATTTAATTCGATAATACCGGATGCCACTATCGTAATCTCTGATTAACGATAAAATTAGAAATCTTTGATTGAATTAATACACTAAAAATTAAATTTAAAAAATATAAAAATATCGAAAATGTAAAAATGCAGCCAAATGCTGTCAACTTTGGGTTAATATACTCCATATACCAAAATCAAAATAATAAATAACAGCAAATATTTCCATGCATTTGTTATATTTCATTATCTAGTAATATTTAACATATTGCAAATTTGTACTTATCTACAGAAAATATTACCTATCTCATATCATGCCTATCTCATTCAAATAATATCTTGAGTGAAAGCAAACCATGGAGTAAAATGATAAAAACTTTCCGAAGATTCGAAGATTTTCCCTGCATAAAGAAAATTCATTGCACAACAATTACTTTAATAAATCATCGTCAGTGTCAACAGTTTCTTCCGGTCGACTATTTACGTATCCATAGTTTTGTATATTCATAAAATATTCTTCATCTTTCAAAAGCGCAATCCGCCATGCTTTATTATCAAACGGTCCAAGCTTACCTCCATATTCTTTGGGCAACATTTGCGGCGAAAAGAAAGCGTGTAGCGAGTTTAAATCACTACCATGAAGATAAATCTAAAAATTGATAAACCATGACGTTTTCATTCTAATAAAATATTATGTATATGTGTTACCCTTTTTCTAATCTTTTCTTTTAAAAATGGTTTGAGCACAGCCATGACAGCATCAAAATAAAATGGTTCGTTAACAACGTGGAAGCCTTTAAAACGCAACGGGAACGTTTCCTGTACCAATTCAACCATTTTCTTTGCGTAATACGGAGTAAAAAACTTGGCATGATTTAAACTAAGGCCATTCATATCCAACAGAATTGCTAACCCAGCAATTTGTGTTTCTGGTTCACGAACAATATGTTCAAGCGCCATCATGTTTGTTCGAAATATTTCCTCAACAGTCACTTTCGTAGAATCGAAGTTATCTACTCGGATTACATAAACACGTCGTCCAAATTGGTCACGATTTTCAAGCATTGTTTGTGCTTGCAATTCGAAGACGTTATCAATTTGAGAAGGCAATGCAGATTGAAACAGTTGTGGACACTTCAGTTTCATCAGATAATATCTTTGCAGCTGAAATTAAAATTTGTATTATATTAAAATTTATTAAGATTAATGAGGAATGCATACCATGTTGAAAGCTTTTTTACTATCAAATTTTCGCGCACGTAGAAATCGTAATAAAAATTCATCATCATCAGGTACCACTAAATTGCTATCATCTGAAATTATTATTTATTAAATTTTGGCACTATTTAGGACATAAATGTGTTACGTACTGTTTAATAAACGTTTCAAAGTGGTAATTTCTTGTTTGCTTTTTTCGGGAGTTTCCTTCAACTCTTCTTGTGCTATTTGCTTCCATTTTTCATCAGTGAATTCCTCAAAAGGTTGAATTATTGTCGTGTTACCGACGGATTTTTGTTTAATCATCGCGTACTATCTTTTTTAAAATACGTTGAACTTGCAGTCGAAAAATATTCGGAAATTTGTATAAAATACACATTTACAAATCAAACTGGTTCTGGTACAATGATGAAATAAAGTGTTGTAAAGGTTATAAGTGAAAATCTAGGCCACTAGGGCAAGGGGAAGGACGCATAAAATGCGCAGAGAGCGTGTGAGTGTATGCGATGATTTCCTCCTTTACCCTTTGCTGGAAAGTACCCCAAAGTATTGATGAAATTGCCACGCGTAAAGGATAACGGTTGCCTTATAGGCAACCAATTATACACCCAAATTTAATATGCAACAATTTCTATTTTAAACAATATTGGAATTCAATACAAATTATTAATCTTATTAATTTACTTCCTGTATCACTTGGCGTCTTTAACAAAGAACTTAATATATTTTGTAGTTTCGACCAACTGGTTATCTTTGTCCAATACGTCCTTGATGTATTCATCGTAGGACTTCGTGTTTGTGCCGCCATATTCCGTTGGTAACGACGCCGGGTCGATGTACTTATGAAGTGATTCCCATTTATCCTCATGGAAATAAATCTAAAAAAAAAAAGAAAAAAATACAATAAAACAACTGTAACTAGATCATAGATATACATTACATTTTCCTTGAACTTAGCAGGCAAAAATGGCCAAGTGATGGTCATCATCGTACTCAGATAGCGTGATTTATTGACGCAATGAATTTTCAAATCTTTCACTGGCATGGCTTCTAATTTCTTCACAGCAAATATTAGGTTTTTAGGAGTTGCCCACTGCATCAACCGGAAGCCCATGTCTTTTACGTCTAGTATACCGCAGAATCCTTTGCGTAGTGTTATTGGATCATCCCAGCCTAGTTCCATCATGATGTCGTCCAATTTTAGAACATCGTTCAAAGAACTTTGAGAAGGATTTATGTTACCTTGGAAAAAAATGACGCGATACTAATTGAAGTCATACAAATGCTAAGAGATTGCTAGCTCTGCAGATACATATAACTACTTTTTGATAGCTATTATTATGAAATATACTCTGTAGAAGTTTTTGTAATTACCCATTTTAGCAATAAGGATCAAGCGCCCGTCTCTATCTCTTGTATCCAACAACAAACGCATATTCTTTTGAAGTTGATCTTGATGTGCTTTTGGAGTTGCATATCCAAACCATTTTGCATCATTTGTTAGCAGTTTGTAAAATTTTTTAAACTAGAATTAAATAAATATTAATTTTATGTAAGACCTTGCCTGCACAAATAATATATCCATAAGTGCTTACACCTTGCAGAGTTGCAAAACCTGTTTTTGAAATTACCAATCACCGATTTATATCGTCAATTCAAAAATTGAACAATTTAGTGTTATTGCAAATTGCACCTACATGCCTAATTTTATTATTTGTTTTGACTTGTTGTTCATGTATGAACTCACTAAATGAGTCACTTAGTTCCCCAGAATTTATTAAAAGCAATTTACTGAATTTACTTTAAACGACGCGAATTATCGTGTTAAATTGCTAAATAAATATAAAATATTTTTATAACTTACTTGTAAATGTGCTTGTTGGATATTAAAATCACTAAAATGCAGATATCTCAATAAATAATCATCATCTTGCCGCATTTCGTTGTTGATATCGTGGTCATCTATAAAAAAATACAAAAATATAAAAATCTGTTATTTAATAATACAAATAATGATCGATTACCTTTAATTCGTACTTTTAGGGCTTGTAGTCGCTCTTTAACGTCATTTTCCTTCAATTCATTTCCTTGATAATCCGTAATAGCTAGAATTTGTGGATCCATTATTAAATGTGTGTGCTACACAAACCACAAACTGTCGCGCACACAAAAGAAGAGAAGTGTATCGTGTGGTCGAAGTCGACAAACAAAAAATGTAAACAACGACTTTATTTTGAATGTCCGACTGTGTGTGTCCGGGAGTAGATACTTCGGTCGACACTTCACTGTCTAGACTGGCCTGGACCTTCTTTCTGACTGATTCAAACAAATTCGAGTGTCGCATAAGCATTACTATGTTTTTTAGTCTATCATTACAGCACGGAAATGGTAACGCTCAAGGTTATTACATTTTCAATGCTTGTACGAAGTTACCTTTAGAAACTAGTTGATGGCTTTGACTGTAGTTGCGTTGACAAACCTGGCTGTACAGAAATCAACTCTAATTGTAGAGGTGCGTGAATAATTATTATCGAATATCCGCGTAATGTTATTTATTAACAAGCAGACGGATTAACGACGCATTTGAATCGAGGATATTTTTGTGGTATTATTTGTTGTTGTTAAATGTATGTAGTTTTTGCTTACGCAATCGCACATGTGTTCTGACCGCAAACGCTCGCGCACTTGTGGTGTATCAAGTTCACAAATGCCTAAAGTAATAGTTCTGATAAGTAATATACTTAATGAACAAATATTAAGATTAAATTATTTTACGCATTGAAAATCGGGATTTCTGGCAACCTCATCAAATTTCGTAGACATTCTTGAGCCTAAGATTAAAATCTTATTAAAATCAATTACCTTGATCTACAATCAAATTAATTGATAAGTCTTGCTGTCTGATTAGATTAGCACGTACGTTGAAGTTTGTTTTTATTCATTTGATTTGTGAACTTGTGTAAAAACCGACATTTTGAAATGACAAGGTTATTTAATTAAAATTTAGGATACCAATAGACTCATAATGATTATACTCGTAAACCATTTTAAAACTATTTTTTCTCTTTAATTGTATTTCTAACTAGCGACTTCGTGCCGGTAGTGTTTAATAAAAATGTAATTCGTTTTTACTCTCTGGTTCTAGACATAGTATGTATCAATTCTATCAATACGATTCGTAATTTTACTTTAAAGAAATTAATTATATAAAGAGTTGCTAATAATGCACTTCAGCGCGCCATCTCGGATTCAACTATTTAACTATAATTATGATTGAATCTCAATGCCAATTTTCTTCATATAGAAAAGGGCTGTCATTAGGGTTTTCCCGGCAATTATTCAAAATTTTCTCGCCGTAAAAACCATCTTTGGACTTTAACAAACATTTAAAAAAAGAATTGGCCAAATTGGTTGAGGCGTTGTTGAGTTATACGCTTACCAACAGATTTTGCAATTCATTTTTATATTACAAAGATTCTGGTATTCAAATAAAGTATTCAATTCCAAAATTCATTTTTTACCATCGACATACTCGTATGGTACATTCGAGTACCTACATACTCACATGCTTACATAATAATTAAACCAATTCAACCTAAAAATTATACTTAATCAACTGTTGTACGAGTACGTCATTCTATTGCCAATGACATCCGTTTTGAATATAAAAATATATGAATATTAACACATATGCGCATGTTTATCTGAAAAAATGAGTACTTACCACGAGCAAAATGCAGATGATATGGGTACCGACAAATTAACTGGTAAATGATAAACATTATGATTAATCTTTGCTTGCATGATTCCAAAAATCAAAACATTGACGTATTAACTGTGAATTTAGGTTAAGTGCCAAATGATTACTGATGTTTGGTAACAAACTGAGTTGAAATAATAAAACTGAATGAAAAACTTCGAGAAAAATAAATTGCAAATTTATTAATTTCTTATCTCATCACATTATTCATATCCTCGCACAAATACAAAACCCATGTGTATACTATTCTACAATACGAAATGGTGTCGTTGTAAAAATACGATAAATGTTTTAAAAACGAATGTTTGCATTCAATATTCAATAATTATGCAAACACAAATTTAAATTCACAACCAGCATCATTATTTGAATTCTATTCTGCTGGTGTTACATTTGTTTCGTCATCTTTATAACCTAATGATTCTAACTCTTCGCGAATTTTGGCCGTATTTCGGAAGAAGGTGATCCAATCGTTGTAGTTGTAATCTGGATGAGCACCGCCATATTTCTCGGGTAAATGTTTCGGATCAATGTGTTCATGCAAGGATGCGTAATTTTCACCGTGGAAGAAGATTCGTGCTTTCATTTTCTCGTCTAGGAATGGCTTGAACACGTTGTACGCCATGTCGAATACCCAGGATTGATTTACTATATGTATGGCTTGTATTTTCATCGGGAAACTTGTCTGGAAATAAATATTTGAACATTATAAGTCGCACAACTGGTGGTAAAATTATTTGTGAAAGGTTATATATGTAGTATCGTGCGATTGTGTTTGCGCAAGCATGACGAACATTTGTTTTTGCAATATTTTACGTGCTCGGTCATAATATACACTTTATATTGAATTTATGACAATATCCTAGAATACTAGAAAGTATTGGCTTATTGTTTCTAGATTTTTAAAAGAAAATATGTTATAATCGGTGTTTATTTTGTTAAGTAACTTACGGCAACAGTACGTTTCACGAAAATGCAATACTTAAAGGAACTTAAATTTCCAAATATGTGTTTGTCAAAATCAAATGTAATTTCAAAGAAAGAGAACTTCAGAAAGAATTCAAGTCGTAAAATTTTCAATAAAAAAATATTTTTCTACTTCCACCTTTAAGCGCCTGTTTTTCCACGGTTTGGAGGAATAAAAAATGGTACTTTATATACCGACGGCCATGGTCGTGATTAATGTTCTTTAGTCATGAGTTTTAGTCACGGGGTGGAGCCTTTTTTTGTCAAGCTTCATGCTGATCAATAATTGATTAATTACAACTGCAGGCTTAAATTACTTTTAAAATTTCTCAAATTCCTTACATCGTAGGAAACATGCAGAAACATAAATTAACCTTGCAAACATTTATTTATGTTTCTATTGATATATTGACCTCAAATCAATTAATAGTTGTTTTCATTGAAGCAATTTAACACGAATCATGTTTTGAATTAATTAATTGAATAAATTTTCAAAAATTAAAAACATGACCTCTATATATATTTTTTTTGGGATATAAGAATAAAAATGTTCTACTTACAACCATAATTTGTACAATTTTGGAGGCCATACTTGGAGTGATGTACCAGGCTTGTTGCATTGACAGATTACCCAAATCAAACATCGCGATACCACCTAAGATTTGAGCGCGTTGCTCAAGAATTGCTAACTCAAGTATAGCCATTGTTGCTTGGAATAATTGGTCCGTGGAGTATTTCTTTGGGTCCCAGTTTCCTAGAAATTCATATTATAAACAGATTTAGTTGCAGTTGTAATGTTGTATTTGTTTTATGTCATTGCAAATTTTAAATTGACTTCTAAGCAACAAATCACCTAAAAATCTATCATAATAAGAATTTTTTAAAGTAATTTTCAATATTACGAAAACCTAAACTTAAACCTAATCATTTTAGAGTTTAAAATAAAAATATTGTGTTGTAGGTTAACTTTGCTAATTTTTAGGTAGTGTTTTTTAAAAGTTATTGTATGCTCCAGTTATTAAATATAAATATTTGAATCCAATTGAAAATCAAAAAGATGAATGAAATTAAATTGAATACGCCTTGGCCTCATTAAACAGCGATTTTAACAACACTGATTCTACTAAATCCATTATGTAATTATTACTATGCACATGGCCACTAGACAATTCTAAATACAGTGCAATTACAGAAACAACGAAGACATGAAAAACACATAAAGAGTTGAAATTACCCATTCGATACAACAGTATCCTTCTGCCTGTTTGGTCCCTGTATGGTGGCACAGTAATAATATCTTCATCGCCCATCCGCTGCAAATGTGACAAATTGACATCCTTAAAAAATGCTGGATTCTCCAGTTTAAAATTGTAGTAGTTGACCAACTGAAACAAATGGCAACGTTAAAATCAATCGATACAATCCATTAATTTGCAATAAATAGCAGTTTGCAATAAATCATAGATAAACACAGCAATAAAAACTGAATAAAACTGAACAAATCGTCGCTCGTGACATGTAAATAAGTTATATGAATGATATAAAAGCTATAAACGTACCAATCGATGTGAGGCGTTAATTTTGAAGTGCCTGCCGCGCAAGAATCGCAGTAGGAAAGCGTCGTCAGTTCGATGTGGTGTACATTCTCCTCGACCTGCCAAAAATAATAAATTTAATGTTGAATTAAGGTTAGGTTAATTGACACTAGCGCCACAACTGCATTGCGTCGTTTTCCCTCAATACTTTGACATAATTTATTACAAATCTATTTGTAGATATTACGCAAACCTCTTGCTACTTGTAAGAAAAACTAACTTCCCTAATTATTCTGCAATCTGCATTATTAAGGCGCGGTACTTGTCATAGATGGTACTTTATGAACAAGCACACGAAATAAAGATAATATTTACGCATGACACACATTCATTCAGCTGAGAATACGAGTGTGTACAAAATAAAACTTTCGCACGTAAACATTGTACAAAGTAGTATTTCTTCATTCATCTGGCGTGTTCGCTTTGTGTTTTATTCTCGTTCGTGAAAAGTGATAGCAAATATGTGTTATTTATGTAAATACTTTCGTTTTCAGCGGTATTTAAGCGTCATTAAAATATTGTCCACACGTGTGTTACTAAATAAGACTTTTACTTTTTTAGTTGTTTTCCTTTCCAAGCGGTATGAATTATTGAAGATAATATATAAAGATAGTGGAAAATTGTAAAATTCAGTTAACTAAGTCCATAATTACAAAAAAAAAAGAATCTGGATAAACTTTTGTTATGCAACACTTGTGTTACAAACACAATTATTTTGTGCTCTACCGTAGGCAAATGTGCAGATGCAAGCTTCACCACGTGACTAAAGCCTGTGACTAAAGTACTTTAGTCACGGCCTTGGCCGCCCGTGTTTAAAGTAGCATTTTTTATATCTCAAACCCGTGGATAAACAGCCGTTTTAAAGGTGGAAGTAGAAAACTAACTCAAGAGCTAACCATTCAGATGAAAATGCACATTTTCACAACAGAGTGTGGAAAAATTATATTATTTGCAAAATTGATGTAAAAATATGTACCTACGTCCGTTGCTTATTGATTAATTGACCGATAATAAATGATGTGAAGAAAGGCATAATATAATTATATTTTATCATCGGTTGAGCCTTGTAGAAACAAGTTTAAATGCACAAAGGTAAGTACAAGCTGAAGTTACGACGTGTTCATTTACGTTTTATAGTATAGCTAAATAATTATAAATAACAAAGCAATAAATGTTATTCAAGGTAAAATAATGCATTAGCCATTGTTAGTTTTTCCGGATAATAAAAATTTAGTAAAAATAAATGAACAAAAAACTACTTACTAAAAATCATATCCCTAAACTCCTCCAAATCTTTACATCTCGTATCCGGATTTTCATTGATGTTTTTCTTTGCCCATTCTAAAAGCTCCTTTGGCGGATCGCCCAAGTCCAATTCAGCTAGTACTTCACACATTTCTATAAAATCTAAAAATTTATTGGTTTTAGTTATGTATGCCTTTCTTTTAATTTGAATTTTAATTTTTCACACACAAAATGTTTATGTGTCAGTAGCATGCGACTGCGTACTAACTGAGTTCACAGTAGTTCTATAACTAAACCACCTTGGCAATTAACGTAGACTCGTAGACAAAACTTGCAAACACGGTGCGTTTCGCGTTCACCTTCGTGCACTCTCAGTCCATCCTCCAAACGTCAAGCAGAGTCTGGTGTGAGAAGTCTACGATCACTGAGAAGTAGCCAACTTAGTATATACTTACTTAGTAGATAGGCTACTAGTAAATGAGTGCGACTGCGATTTGTTTACAAAACAGTCTATAGATACGTGCGCCTATGCTCCAAATACACTTTTATCAACTTTTATCAAACATCACGAATTAAGTCATTTCGTGCAATACTCCGAACAAAATAAAACAAACAAATTGACTTCTAATATGTTGCTTAATATTTATATCAAAAGTACGTTCACTCCTTCGATACAAAACAAAGAAAAGAATCACTCACCCAATGATATTATTGGTAGCACACGTGTGTGTATCAGTGTGTTATATTAAATGTTATTACTATAGAGCGGTGGAGGTGCAGATTGGTAACTAGTCGGTGGAGTTACAATGAACGAATTGGGCTGGCAGGCAACGACCGATCGAACTCTGTTGACGAGTATTTGAATGTTTCAGACGAGGCAATCACTGAACGTTTGTACTGTACGGTACGAGTACTACACTCGATTGAACTGCATGGAGTACGAGCTCATACATTAGTTAGTTTCGAGTGTAATAACGACATTAACGCAAACGACAAACCAGCAAGTGATGTTTTCGTAAACATAAAATATTATGAAAAAATAGTTTGGAATGTATTTGTAATGATAAAGATGTTGTCATGTTTTTTGTGTTATCAAGAATAATTGCATTGAAGAATGCAGGTAGTGCTTTAGCTACTGATTATTTTTGTTTTTGTTTTGTGTAAAAAAATGAGTTATTCTTTTTGAAGATAACAAAAGTATTTCAATGTAAGTGTTGTAATGATAGCAATAGATATAAATAAACGGTAAATATTTATGAATTGTGTTCCTTAATAGCAAAAAACAAAATTTCAACAAATTATGGAGTATAATCAGCAAACAAAAAATATTTTTCTACTTCCACCTATAAAGCGCCAGTTTTTCCACGGTTTTTAGACACCAAAAAGTGGAACTTTATATACGGACGACCAAGCCGTACATAATATTCATTATGTACTTGCATCATGCACCGGACGGAGCAAGCGCCTGCGCATTTGCCTACGGAGCAGCACAAGGCGGTATGAAATGCCATGAGACGTCAGTCAAACACGTCAAAGCGAGGGATGCTGCTGCTCGTATCGAAGGGGCACGATATGAACCGAACCGTCATATGGGCCGGCACGCGGCATGGCACTTATAACCATACAGTTTGTATAAGTGTGCGAGCAAATTTCGATGATTTAAAATACTTAAGTTGAAATAAAAAACCACAACATGGAACTAGAGTGGAAGTAGAAAAAATAGCGTAAGCACCTCGTGGCTAAATGTTATTAAAGCCCTCGTTTAACCACTTGATACTTAATATATTATTTCCTCCGCTTTAACAAAAAGTTAATTCTATTTCTATTATATAAGCTAATTGTGAGTATTTCAAGGTTAATAATTAATTAAACGTTGCTTTAAACGTGGTTTTGACTTTTTGTATTAAATAATAATTAAAACATATAAATTGGATTCAAACCAAATTGAATCCGGTTTCATCCGTTGCTGCTCAGCGCAGCATGAAAAGGTTTCGTCATTGAAAATTGCATCATTTGTATAATACGAGTATGTTCCAACTGTTACGAGAATGGTACATGCTCTCATTATCTCAGCTCGCATGCAAAATAAGAAGCAAACCGCACTTGCATATTGCAATGACTTTTACGAATCGCATAGCAAGTAGGACAAACACCGCTGGCATTCACAGACATGAAATCGAAAAGGTTTCGTTTTCATTGGCAAATACATTAGTGCATAGGTGAACGTACAAAGCAAGAAGCAGTTATTGTATCGCAAGTACCATTCCATGTACCTCTCTACAACAACTCCATTAGGCATTTGCAGAAGATGCATTTAGTATTTTCTTCAACATCAATTGAAGTGCAGTTCCGGTGTGATTAAAGCAAGCGTACAGTCACGAATACATAAATTCTCCGGAAGAAGTTGGACAAGGACTAATATAATAATTTGTTCGCTTTGCAGCGTGTACATCGCGTGATCATCGTTGAACGAAAATGAAAAATGATGTAACGGCGTCTATTCAATGCGTCTACGTGATCACCTGATATGACAGGAAAATAGTTTGTAGTATTTAAAATCGAGAAGAAAGTTGCTTTGTACATATATACAAATCAAATGTTTGACTGTTTGAACAATTCATTTTAATGAGTAATATAACTTGTCATAATTTTTCTTGTAATTTAAATAATTTATTGAGTAATTTGTCATTTTAATTTATTGCTAAACTATCTTTTGCCCGCGACTTCGTCCCGGTAGTGTTTAATAAAAATGTAATTCGGTTTTACTCTCTTGTTCCAGACATAGTATGTGTCAATTCTATTAATAAGATTCGAAATTTTATTATAAAGAAATTAATTATATAAAGAATTGCTAATAATGCAATTCAGCGCGCCACCTCGGATTCAACTAATTAACTATAACAATGATTAAATCTCAATGCCAATTTTTAACCTGGAGAAAAGGGCTATCTTTCGGGTTTTCCCGGTAATTAATCGAATTTTTCTCGGCGTAAAAGCCATCCTTGGACTTTAACAAACATTTAAAAAAAGAATTGGCCAAATTGATCCAGGCGTTGTTGAGTTATGCGCTTACCAACAGATTTTTCGATTCATTTATATATTATAGATATAAGAAAAGTTTTAATTTTGTGTATTATTATTGAGAAGTAAAAATAAATTGCAATTACAAACGCTTAAATTTAGAAAAAAAAAACACGATAAATTAAGAATCCTAGAAATTTAAAGAAGTTGTGAAACAATTCTTTCCTATAAAAAAGCTTTGTAACCCACCATAAATAATTAATTTGAGACGCCAACGATTGCAATATTTAACACCTGAAAGTTATTTCTTTTTGTCAAAAATTCATTGTAAAGTGTTATGCAGCGTTAGACACATTTGTCGCGCGTCTCCGCATTAATAGTTTCATGGTTGAACTGCCAATTAACTACGAATTTCAGCGACCCAGATAAAAGTTACGAAAAAGTTGAAACAAAGAACTTGTCCCGCGATTTAAGTTACGGCAAATAGCAAATAGGCAAAAACCATTTATCACGGTATTTAAAATATACTCATATTCAACAATGGTTTGCTATATTTGAAAAGCATAGATATTAAATTAACCTCAAAGTACACTTACACTAAAAAAAAGCTTTGAAACATTGTTTTTGACGCTTTTCACGATGCGTTTTTGGCATTCTCCGACTATTTTATGTAAATTAGCTCTACTTTCGCAGATAGTGTCTCACAAAGAACAAGTGACATTTAAATTTTACATTAATAAGTTTAACTAAGGTAAATACAGTGTTACTATTTGAGATTTGCACTGAACAGATTATATTAAGTAAAATTGCATTAGAAACTTTTTGGTTCATTTGAAAGTCTATTTCTTCGTTTTGCACACGTAAACTTTTCATTAAAATGCAATTTTCAAATTACCTTTAATTATTGCTTATTGATCCAACACCAGCATACACTCTTGCACACGCGCAACTTATACTTAATACACAAAATATTGTTAATTAACCAGTCGAGAAATACATCAAACAAAACGATAATTACATATGGTAATTGTAATTTTTGAGTTAAGGTGCGAAAATTGGAACAAATCGCGGAATGGAAACTTTGTTTTGCGTTGCTTTGCGCTGAATGACGAGAAACGACTAACCGGATTATTGCAAATGAACATTGCAAGCGGTGAGCACTAGTGCTTCTTATTTCGATTCTCTGCTTCGTTCTTTCGCTCACAGGATTGCGATATGCCACCGCAATTCAGGCGCAACTCCGACTTGGCTTAAGTCACCAGAGCGGTAAGCGCGATAGATGTGTCCTTCACCGACAACCGGCGCACTGCACACTTTTCTGCAATTACGGTTACAAGTTAATGACTGAAGTGGCAAAAGTTGTTTGGGGCAGTGTGTGCTTCTAGAGATGCAAATTGCATGTTAAATCAGCTAGTGTTAGTTGCTTATATTCGATATTTTAGGTCAGTTAATAAAATTTTTCCGTTCAATAAATTCGAAGCATATTAAATATATTCATACTGATTCTTGAATGTGTTTTGCTGTATCATTGATTAAAAGACATATCTATGTAGTATTGATATTTTGTCTATATTTTCCTAGCACTTATAATTATTCTATTAATTTCTATTTGCCGGAATTTTAAGTTGAAAATTTATTTTTTATATGTTTACTTTATTTGCTCTATATTTATTTAACTTCATTGTTACTTATTATATAATTATAGGTGTCGCACCTGTTAAAAAAGGCTTAGAAGCGACACCAGGCTCACAAAGAAAAAAGTTTATTATTAAAAGATTAACAACGATTGTTTCTGGCAGGTGTGCTTAAACTACTTGTGATATTTTAATTGTAAATGGTTTGTCTTTCAAACACTGTACTTTGATACTTCATAGTACTAAAACATTAACTTGGTAGTAAATTTGTTTGTAATAAATACTTGTTTATATACCTACTATGTAACAACAACTAAACCTGCAGTTACAATATTTATCATAACATAGGCAACCCAAACAACTATAATGTAATACAAATACAAACTCATTGATTAAAAAGTTGCCAATCATAATAATAAACATTTTATACGTAATAAAATATAATAAATACATTGCAAAATTTAAATTAAATCATTAAATATTATATTTATTAATTAAATTAAGTAATTATATAAAACATATGTATTTTACTTCTTTCTTGTCATTGTTATCAATAATTTGCTGAGTGTAATCTCTGATCGTATACAATACGAGTAATAAACTTTTAATCTAGTTGTACGAGGTACCTAATTAGTTCTTGCCGCTGTTGACGAGGTATTGTGTGCGCTTATCATTAGCTATATTGTCATCGCAGCGAAAAACAAAAAACGTGCGCAATCAATGGAGAAATGGCGGCCATCATTGCCAAACTCCCAGCACTCCAATGCATACGAGTACATATCAACATATTGATCCACTATAAATATTTCTGCACAATGCATTTACCAATCAGTCCATCAGTCGGTTTCGGTTCGTGTTAATCGCCGGCGATTATCGGGCGTGCATATTAATACGAGCATTACTCACGCATTGACCGCGTCGGGCATAATTTATGCGTGATAAATTCGAGAAAAAAAAAGCAACGTTACATTGTGTTACAATATCGCTGATACATTGGTTATTCCACACTTATTACCTGCCACAGTTTGTGTATTGAATGCTGGCTTAAATCCAAGTCAAACTAATCGTTTCGCAATTAGTTTTATTCAATTTTTCGCATGGAGTCCAAGCGGTCGGGTTTTTTATAGTTTAATGTTAATGTTTACATTTTGTGGTGTGCATTTTGCGGAAACGTAGCCGTATGTTCCAAGTGATTATATAAAAGCAACGCGAGCGACCAAATTCCAACTCGGCTGCACGACAATACATAAGAACAATATATAGTGAAAAACGTTTAGAAGCCGATCTTGCTTAGTCTGCCGGCGAGAGTATTTGGGTTAAGAGTGTCGCTACCACGTTGACCAATAAGTTACGTTTCATCTGCGGACTCAGCGTAATCGTCGCACACACCTGGTCAACCAGAAGAGAGTCAATTCAGACTCGAGCGAAGTGCGTGTTAATATTGCACGCATGTTGACATAAGACTGCAATTAAACCTTTAGCCAATTAAATCATTAGAATACAAGTTATTAAAGAGATAAGACTGTAGATTTTAAAAAGTGATTTTTAAGTGCAACGATGACAATGGAAATATTAACATGTAAACTGTCCAAAGAGCGTAAGTAAATTTATCCTTATTATTTTAAATTAAGCAAATAATTAATTTCTTTTGTAAATTGATTTATTTATTTAAGTAAGTAAAAGTTATTTTATACGAATACGCAATTTTATTTCATTAATATTTTCGCCATTTTGATATCTATCTGTTGAATGTGTCAATGTGACAAAACACGTTTTAACCACACAACACGCGGTTTTCTTTCCTTGATGGGTCTTCACTTTCTTAAACCTGTTATAAAAATTATTAGTATACAGGTTGTTTAGTTAATTTTTTGTTTCTTTTTTATTTCTGGCTACATTTTGTTAAGTCAAAAATGGAAACATGTTTAAGAAGTTGAATTCCCCACCTTGGCCCGGCCTAACAACTAAAAGAGTTGTTTAAAAAAGCAACCGTCTGCAATTTCGTTCATTCGTTGCTTACCGTTGCGAACCGAGTCATTGAGAAAGAGTTCAGTAGATACAAAGTGCGCGCTAATTAAGTTTACGATTACGGCATCCATCGAAGCGTTCGGCTATCGTCAGCATGCCCAGTAAGTTCAATGTGCAATTACTTTTCGATACGCAAAAAGAGTTTAATGGTTTTGTGAAATAAAATTATGCTCTAAATTTACGTTGCAAAATTTATTTAAATTAACACACCTATAATATTAGTAGATAGTCAAATTGTTGTTAAGAAGTGTATTTATAATTACGTTATTGAATTAAACTATAAAATCTGCGTTTTATAGGAATATTCTTGTTTAAAAATTAGATGGCGACAATAATACAAGTTTAAAACACAATTCGAAAGTATTAATCAATTTAATCAATTAAGGCAACCACAGAGCATAATTGACTTTGGGATAAGTGGTAACTATCGAGATCTTGAGGTGTTATGGAAATTATGTCGACACTGGATTTTTGTTTCTACGCCTGAGTACATGGAAATTATTTTTTTTATAAAGTTGTTCGCGAAAAACCGTAGTCACAAAATTTTAGGATAACCTGGGTAGAAATATATCTTCCGCCTTCCTCTTCCTCTATTTTTGAATAAATTGCAAGTAACTAGTAACCAATAAGAGAGATTTTTGATGCATAGCAGCGCCACCAAAAAAACTTTACTTTGACTTTTGATTTGCATTGCTCAACCTATGCAAATACAAGTAACTGACTATGCGCATTCGATGAGGAATTAGTTGCTCTTTAATATATACTCTTGGCTAATGTTCGATATTTCTTATTTATATATTCCAGTTTTAATGAAAACTGACTTATGTATTTTACTCAAAAACTATTGAAAAAAAAACCGCACCAAAAATTGATACCGCACTTGATCTTGACTAGATGCACTCCAACCAAATGTCAAAGTTTAGTTTTTCATGGTTCGCCTCTCAAAAAATCATGCTTTGCCTTGTATCTCTAAATTAATGCCAGTCTATGTGTACATGTAGATGATGAAGAATTAATTTCTTCTTAAATCATAAATTCATTCCGAATGAAAATAACGAGGCACGTGAATTTTATATAATAGATAACCCGCTATATTTTTGATTATTTATGGTTGACAACCCATAAAACTTAAATTTTAATGATTTTATTACATTGGAATTACCTTGTTAAAATAATAGAATAATAACCATGAAATTATGCAACTTGCGTTTTAAATGATGCAAATTATGTTGCAAAATTAATATATTTGCATTTAAATCGCTAAAAAACTATTTGACATTTAGTCTAATAAAAACAATCAAATTAAAAAAATGCGAACGGAAAGAAATGAGAAGTCAAAAATTGTTATTTCAGATCGGATTTCCGTCTGATAATAGACTATCTACAAATATACAATGCACTTATTTAAAAATGTTTACGTGTTACAACATTTTTAAACTAATAATAATTTTCAAATAGTATGTTTTAATTGTGTTTTCTTATACTTCTTATATTTTGAAATGACCAACTCTATAAACTAGTTGTTTTTTATTTCCAACAATTTATGACACCAGACAGACGAATTAAACTAGAATATAATTCAAAAACAAATGATTAAAGGTTCTCTTTGTATTTATTTTTGTAGTCATCATCATTTTAAGTAAGCAAAAACTTATTACTTAAATACTATTATACAACTTTTTGTTGTATTTTTTACACCCGTTAGAATTTTATATTTATTTAATAATTAATTCTCAAGTTGGCGCAAAGTGCATTGAAAGTGCACTTAAACGCAGTTACGTGTACATTATCAATCAATATAATTATGAACACTTATGCAAAAACTTTTTCTTCAAAACTAATAGTAATATATCAAACAATTTACGAGAATGTTAGACAAGAAAAAAACATTATGTTACAAGATGCAGGCAGGCGCAGGTTTTTAGACAAATAATGATATGCGAATGCGGTTTTTCATATTTTCATTGCAATTGACGTACACAACTCCCGGTTGTTACGTGTTGAACAACGAGTGTTGCTGGGTTACAAAGTGTAGTCACACATTAAAATGTAAATTGAAACATTTGTTCATTTAGTCACTATTGCACCGTCAGGCAAGGTAGTAGCTTCCACAAACGCTGGATACTTCGAGTGATTTATAACAGTTCATTTAAGTTGATGTAAGTTGAAGTTTTATATTAGAAATTAATTTCGGGGATCACTTTTGTGAAAGAAGTTAGTTATGTTGCATTATGTTGAAGATTCAAACACGTATTATTTCTATTATATGCAACCAACACTACTTTCGTACAACCCGGGCTGTTCATTCTGTGAGCAGGTGAAAATATTTATTTTTCTCGTGAAAATAACAACACAAGTGAATTAGGTTAGCAGGAAATTGCTGCATGTGTACGTATGGCAAAGTTCAAGGTTTCATACCGATACACTCCGCATTAAAAATTCTCATTCATACTAATATCCTAAAAAGATAATATTTAAACTAGGTATATTTTTATCTTCGAGTATGTATACTGTAATCATTATTACAACCGCATGCAAATCAATTACTCATAGGAAAGTTCTGTTTTTGTACAGTGAGGCACAGATCATTACGTTATCTGGACTATTTTCAGCAGTAATGAGTTTGTAACACCACAATATGCAAACAGGTGCTGCTAGAAATATCTGTATAACTATAGGAAGCAGTATTATTTATTACACAATAATGATGCACAACGTTGACTGAGGTTAGCATAATGAAAAAACGATAAGGATAATAGCGAGGGATACCTTTATTCATGAATATTATTTTTGATATTGCATATACTCTTTATCTTGATAGTGTATTTTAGTGTTTAGTTTGTTGTGTATATCGTAATTATACTACGAGTATTAAAGAATTAACCTGTTATAAAAAACGATTACAAATTGGAATTTTTCGACTTTGTGCCAAGGCTTCAATTAGTGATATTTTGAGCTTTTTGCTTAGGCATTTATTTCACGTAACATTAAAAATTACTACTACTAAATCAGAGAGCAAAATGTTGTTTAGAAAAGATGTAATAATGTAGAGTTGTGTTCAATGTCAAAAAATAAATAAATTTAGAAACTAATTAAGGTAGAGATTTTACAAAAAGCTCTTAAAGCAATGTTTTAATTAATTATATTACCTACCTACTTTACAAAGCTGAAAATCGGAAAAGAGTTACTTAACAGGCTATCGTGATAACCATATAACCATAACCATATCAATATAGTTTTGAAAATTGGTAATTATATAGGTTTTAACGTCAACTCTGCAAATTTCACAAAAATAAGATTTGGACATAAATTGTAGGGTTGTAAATTTGTAGGATTTGTATAAGTTCATTATACGTGACGAAGTAGTCACGGGCTTTAGTCACGGGGGCAGATTGCGCTTGCGCATTTAACTGCGGTGCAACACATTGCAGCGCAAACTCTCATGCATTTATAACCTTACATTTTCGTTCTAACAAAATTCGATGTTTTACAATACAAAAGTTCAACTTCACAAACCTGAACGTGGAAATAAAATAGAAGTGGAAAAAAATTGCGTGAGCATCACTAAACGCTAAACATTGTTAAACGCTCGCTACGTACGCTTATAATCATTTTTCCCGATATACGGGAAAAATTAATTTTAATATTTAAAGATATACTTTTATAGGTTATCAAACAATAATCGAATGCAGCTCTTCACGTTCTGTTGTGTTCATAATACTGATATGTTTGAATGCAAATAATTATACTTATATTTGCAAAATTCCTAAATAATAGAATAATCCGGAGTTAAAAACATATTGTATGCAATAGCTTGTTTTCATCACGTCATTAATTTAATGTTTTATTGAGTAGTCGAAGATAAACAACAAATAAGTTTTGTTGAACAACAAATATAATGTTGTTCTATCTCAGTTACTATTTCAGTTAAATATAAAGTATAGTATTGTGTTTACACGGCATAAACTTGATGAAATACAAAGATATATTATTATTATAAATAATAATAATAGACTATTTATTGTATTGGAATAAATATTACATAAGTACCTACTAGCACTCATGGCCCATCCGTTATGAGTTACTTAGTAATTGAATAATGAATCGTATTCATTTTAAAACATTAAATAATTATCATTATCATTAATAACAAATTGTCTACACGTTTACATTCAGTATCCACTTGACTAATCTGAATCTAAAATACATTTAACATTCGCAAAGTAGCGACACATTAATGCGATTGGCATCATGACGCGACGCACTCACTCAATTAGTGAGCATTGCATTTCTCATTAAAGCGGTGTCTCTATAACACTTGCACGCACTGCGCCTGCTAAAATCCGCGGCGAGTACATCACATTCGTATAAATTCATCATTTGCATCGTGTCATCGTCATTCAGTCGCGATCATTCGTGGCCGTAACAATCATCCAAAATCAACGGTGTAGAAAAAAGTCAAGTGGTTTGAAGGATACTCGTATTTCTGGATAGTCAACATGCCAAAAGGTACGTTATTAACTAAATATTAAAAACTGCGTATTAATTTTAATTGAGTTTACTAAATACATAATTAACGTGACATACATAAATATATAGGTAAAGAAGGTAAAAACTGTTATAAACACAGCGTTTTCTCTGCGTTTGCGCAGTTAGTATTAGTAACAACAGAGCTACCTATTTTTAATGCTAGTCACAGATAGAAGTTGCAAGCAAGTAAATAAATATGTGCAATGCATACACAACAAAATACGACAGCTGTTTACTAATTCCAGAGACAGACAGACTACGGTATGATTTCGGCTTACAAACTGCGCTAATTATATTTTTTAGCAAAACATGATTGATGAAATTTATTTATCATCATATTGAAGGACACTTTCGAAAGTGCGTAACTATATTTCTTGCAGTAGGAGGTACATATTCTGAGATATCAATGTTAAAGTAGTTTTTAACCTTGCAACTTAAACTTCTAAAAAGAAATAAAACACGGTTAAAACACGTTTGATATTTATTAGTTTTTTCAGTGTTAAGGTCATACAGGTTGCTTAATCATGTGATGAATTGTTTACTCCCAATCAACCAACACTCATGTTATAGTTATAGATTCAATATTTGGGAGAAATATAACATCACTTATAGTTTATATAATTTAATTATTATTAATGACAATATCATGACAATATCATGAACTATGGTAATAATAAGGTGGCCGTAATACTGATTTCAATTTTTATGATTTCATGGCGAACTTATAATTCATATTTTGTGATTGTATAATAATAGAGACACTTTTTTAATTTCATTTTTTAATTACATTATACATAATTGCATACCTGGGAATGCAAATGTAGTTTTTTTAATTATTACAGATAAAGTTTTTTTTCTTATTTTGTTTTCCATTTTTAACCAACTCAAAATTAACATTAATTTAACTATGCACGAAACACGAGGCGCGTGAATATTTTAATTACAAATTATTAATTTATTGCAAAATTGCTAAGAATAACGTTCTACACAAATGCCAAAATCTATTTTGGTTACAGCGTTGTAGATGATAGTTTTTTACTTAGGTTATAAAATGCAGAAACTCTTTATTTGCAACCAAACGTGCGTATGATATAGAAGTTGCCTATATTAAAGAAGGAATTAAAAGTTTAATGATGTAATATTGCATTAAATGTTCAAGTGTTATGAGTGCTTTCTTTCAATTATAGCAGACGAGAAAGTATGACTTAAATAACACTTAATTAATGCCTTAATTGTTATTTTACTATAAAAACAAGCGCGAAAACTAATGCAACGTAATTAAACGCTGCAAACGAATTCCAAACACGAACGCGCCGAAGACTTTTCATTCACTTACTTCCTTTACAAACTGGAATCGAAGTCAGTACGTCGTCCACCTTACACATGCACCTCTTGTACCGGTTTTCACGGTGTGCCGATAGTAATACACGTAATAATTGCGGTTTGCCGCGCGGCTTGTTTATTTTCGGTGAGAGCGAATAAGCGCGCACAGAAAGAAAGAAGAAAGAAGGCAAGGAAAGACTACAGGTTCCAACATTCAACATGCGGATTGCTGGTTGCTCGCCTATACGATTCTTTCATTTACTGTTTCAGTCTCCGAAACTATGCTGTCCGAGATGGACGTCCTACCGTCCATCAAAATCGGTGACTTTGTGTTGTCACTGGAGATGGAGCAGCTCTCTCCGGAGATGCAAGAAGTCGCAAGGAAGGAGTTAAGGGAGACGCCTGAAAATCGAGAAGAGGGTATAACTAAACTCAGGGAACTTTTAAAAGGTAAAATTCATCCACAAAACAATATAAATTCTGCTTATTTTTAAAATCAACTTGAAATAGCGATTTGGCATAAAGTTAATTATTGTACAAACCATGCAATTAACCAGTTTTTGATGCTTATTCAATGACACAGCATATGCAAATTATACCTGCCAACTGCAGGCGACTGCAGGTAATTTTAAGATGGATGTGCGTGCAAGTGACAACAAAAATTGCTTTTTTAATTCAAACTGGCTATTATTGATCATTGTGACCTTATACTTTTGCACTTTACACTGCAATTAGAAGTAGGTAGGTAGTAGGTATAATTATTTAAGTGTTAATAAAATTATCACATACTAAATATGAAATCAATCGAATCAATTTGTGAGCATTGAAAATTCGAATACGCGGTGCAAATTTCTACACTCACACGTGGACAGTACCTGCTTTCACTTGAGTTTTACCCAATTCCATTCAAGGTAAAGTATACATAGCATTCGCAGGTTGCGGTGGGTATGCTCCATTGCTTTTCCACTAAAAGTAATTCCTGCCCGAATATAACTTTCATTTTTATTGCTCATGATGCGTTTTATAATGAAAAACAACCAAAAACTACTAAGTACTTGGAAACAATGAATTGTATAATTATAACAATGACCATACTTTGATTAAAAATAACTTACTAAATTTATAGGTAGCACATTTTATATTTTTGAGTAATTAATAGATTATTACTGTTTATGTGTATTCTTATGCCATTATTTATACATTTTTAGGTGAAACTGATTTATCTTGTCCTTATGATAACGATGCATGGCTAGTGAGATTCCTACGTCCATGCAAGTTCTATCCGGAAAGTGCACATGCCCTGGTAAGTACTAGATATTTACTCTCATTGACAATTAAATCATTTATTTTCATTGCAGGTCAAACGTTATTATGCGTTCAAAGTCAAGCACGAAAATGTCTACAAAGGTCTACTGCCCAGCACCGAAACAAATATTTTCGATCATAATATTCTGGTTGTTCTGCCAAATAGAGATCAGTTTGGTCGCCGAATTTTGATTATTGAATTAGGCAGTAAGAATATTATCAATTTTTAAAATAATATTAAAATATGTAACCAAGATTTAATTTGATTGTTTTTTGCGTTTTAGAAAAATGGAAGCATAATAAATGCTCTCTCGATGAAGTCTTCAAAGGTGTTGTATTGTATCTGGAAGCTGCCATGCTGGAGCCCCAAACACAGGTGGCTGGTGCGGTTGTAATCTTTGATATGGATGGATTGACGCTGCAGCAGACATGGCAATTCACCCCGCCATTTGCTAAGCGTATTGTGGACTGGCTACAGGACGCCATTCCGTGCCGTGTGAAAAACCTGCACATTATCAACCAACCGTACATCTTCAACATGGTCTTTGCTCTCTTTAAACCATTCCTGCGCGAGAAGCTGAAGAGTCGTATTATCTTCCACGGCACTGATCGCAAGTCGCTTTACAAGTATATGGATCCCAAGTGTTTGCCTTCGTGTTACGGTGGCACTTTGGAAATTCCGCGTGTCAATGGCAGCCAGTGGTTGGAATTATTGCAGATGTGCGATGAGGAGTACAAAAGTAAGATTATTGTATACATGTTATAGTTACATTTGTAAAATGCAACGTTGTTAGTCATGCATAAAGGACTGAGGATTGTTCTGGTAGTTTTGGTACGATGCATGTCTTACCGAATTTCATATTTAATTCAAAGTCAAAAGATTGAAAATGATGATTTTGAGAAAATGCACATTAACAACGTTGCTCTTTGGTCTTATGACTGAGGGTCTCTGCATTAATACAAAACTAATAATTTTGTGATTTTTTTAGAAATCAATTCCTACGGGTATAAGAAGAAGTAAAGATTAGCACAAAGAATACTTGCAGAAATTCATGTTTCCATTATACATTGGATTACTCATAATGATTGTATTATAATTTTTTAGCAAAAATGTAGATGTGTCGGAAAATTTCCAAATTATGAGTAATGTTTGTGGGTGATTTATATTTAATATTATTATTGTTTTATAGTGCAATACGTACTTATTAATATTTTATCTTACGAAATGTTGTGCCTAAATTATATGCAAGTTTATCTTTATAATAATTAAATTTTGATACCATGTAAACATAGCAAATTTTATTTTGACGCAGCGTTGGCACCATTTACTCATAAACTTCGCAAATTTGATTCAAAAATGACTTTTGCAAAATAATACACTTAAAAGAGAAATCTTACATGCCTTAACGCAAACATGGTCCAAATGTTGCTCTGTTTCATTGCTTATAAAGCAAAAGATTAATATTTCACATATTATTCGTATGTAGTTGGGAGCAACATAAATAACGCGATCAGTTTCAGTTGTGAACTCGAACAATGCCAGGCCTTTACTTCTCCGTATGGAAGGAAGCCATTAACATAACAATCGCTGTGCGTATGCAAACTTGTTTAAAACTCAAGGACACATCAACGATTGGTCGTGATTTTTTTAAATTTTTTTGTTCGTTTGTAAAAAAATCAATAGATGGCGCATTTCGTTGCTTACTTTTATGGATATTTAATTACTAAACTTTTAGCATTAGCGGACTTAGTACTTCAGAAGGTCACCTTTACTTGCCAGCAACCCTAAGAAAGTGGTTGAAGCAGGTCGGGGTTATTGCTGTTGGTATCTGCGAAGACGAAGTGTGCACGCGAACCCGCTGAGTGTGCCCATTATCCTGTCACCATTTCGGACGAAGTCCTGAAAGGGTTCCGCAAGCTTAATGAAGATTTTCTACCTTCGTATGTGGTTTATTATTTAGTTTCTCGGTAATATGCTAATAGAATCGACGAATGACTTGACAATGTGATAATTTCATTGCACAATCGCGCTTCAAACACGATTTGTCACGCTTGCTTAAAGTTTTCGCAGTAAACAATGTAGAATTGTTGATCGCACCTCAAGCCGTAAATCAAAAAAATATCATAATCATATAATCATAATCAACTCGGTAGTAGAAGTTGTGTTTTCCTTGACTTTTACCACAATCTTTTATTATTCAGTACTGACAAACGCCATCCAATTCGCAGAGTGGTAAAGTGGTTTACCGGTTGGTAATTATTCGTGCGCCTCATTTGAAGAGGAATAGAAAGCAAACAAACCGCGGTTAATGATAAATACTCGCACAAATGACATTTTCATAGCACATACACAAAAGGAAAGTTCTCAATTATTGTTTAATGTCGATGTTCTCATTTCCCTGTTAATCATAGTACACATTTTAAGAAGAATATTTCACAAATATTTAAATTCATCAAAATGAATTAATTAAATCAATTTTAGCAGACTTTCATGCTAGTAACGCCTCAGAAAAATGAATAAAACATACTTTCGTCTGAAAGTAGTACAACGGGTCATGATAAGACAAAAATGATGAACAATACACATTGTTAAATTATTCCACGTTGTAATGCTTCTATAACGGAACTTGCGTAAATAGACTGTTTCAGCCTAAAGTAGATTTAAGTAGCATTTAGTCATAAATTTAGTTGTTATAATATAAACTCTTATCATATCACAAAATATACAAAGTATAAAATCGTCTTACAACTAATTCTTTTTTTTATTATATAATAACTGTTAAAAATCTAATAAATAGCGATATAGTTACTTTCGATCCAGTTAATGATGATAAAAATACGTTCAACTCTTTTTGTGATAGCCATATCCTAGATGTTCTGAAACATGAATTCATAATTCATAAGATATTGATTAGATTCACAAGGTTATCAAACATTGTCAATATATTGAAATTAATACTACGCTTTTTCTATATTCAATCGATACTTGTGGAAAACACTGATGAAAAATGACTAGGTCTAGACTTTTATAATTGCCAATTAAATCAAATCAATAAAATACTCATTACAACCATTTGAAAAGCAAACAAAACAATTTAAATTTAAAACGCAAAAAGAACTGTGTCGCCCAGGATCGTAAAAATTTCACAAACAATTTAATTACAAATATCACAGCGTGTCAAGCACCCAAAAAAGGAGTTATAAGACTTTCTCCCGCTGATTACCAAACAATTGATCCATCCCACAAGTGCACTTACATTGATTTATATTGACTGAGTGGCTCAAAGTGGTTTTATAATGACTTACCTTCAAAGTCTTTTTCGTAATATTGCATCATTTCGACCATCATCTCGCCGGGAATATTCGGAATATCAACTTCACCGCCGTAACGCACCGGCAAATGCTTCGGTGAGATGTGCTCGAACAATGTGTCCCAATCATTGCCATGAAGAATAATCTGTATATGGACAAAGACAAACAACGACATCAGAAACATAGGTAGGTCTATCAAGTTTCACGATGATGTAAGAGAGTGAAACACGAAATCTTACCTCACGCTTGAGACGCCCTCGAATAAAGGGCTTGAAGATGGCGTAAGCAATGTCGAATATTTTCGGTTGATTTATAACGTGGATGCCTTTTACACGCAGCGGTACATTCTGCAAAAAACGTGTTTATATTTAAATTGAGTGGAAATGTACTGCGATTGTTTACGTATTATCACGTGACTGACTCAGTGTGCTGTGGTTTTATTGCAGTTTTCAAGCGAATTATTAACGCGAAGGTTTAACCCATGACACCATCAGCTTTCACTTAGGTTATATTAATTTCAAATTTAAAAAATGTTATAACTTTAACAAAGCATCCTGAACATCGACCCAAGCGACGTGCACCGCGAGAATCATGACTAGACAGATTTTATTTTATTTTGTTTCTTTTTGGATTCTTGGTACCGCTGTGCGTGTTTATTTTGGTTGATCAGTGACTTAACACTGCACAGCGTGTTGCACATACCTTAATAAAGTCCATCAGAAGTTTAGCAATCCACGGATTGCAGGCAAGAACATGATTCATATTCATGCCCTTTGTGTCAAGAATAACGTGTACTCCACATAATTGCGATTTGGGTTCTTTCATGGCGATTTCAACACCAACTACGATGGTTTTTGAAATCATTTCCAACGGGACTACCTTCGGATCCCATTTTTCGATCTCAAACACCATGATTCTAGTACCTTCGGCACGATACGGCAAGAAGTGAATAATGCCAGTGGTAAATACATCACGCACCACTTTCGGTGTGATATTATACATGTAGTTTGGATTTTTGTAGATTAATTTATAAAGCGATTTCATTTTTTTGAACGCTTTATCTGCGTCCAGTTTGCAGGGACGAAGAAATTTCATAAGAAAAACATCATCGCGAGGTATATGTAATCCTTTTTCGCCTAAATAAAAAATAAGTTGTAGATATAAACCCGTATTTTTGTAATTGTAATTACCGTCAATCAGTGACTTCAATTTCGCAAGACAAGTTTTTAAAACTTCGTCATTTTCACCGATTTCTTCTTCCGCACGTTTCTTGTAAACATCGTCTAGTTCTTCCAGGTCTAAACGCAGTCGATAAGGTCCATTTTGTATGAAAGGAATTCCTTGTTCGTCTTTACCCAAAAATGGTTTAATTTCATCCTCCATGATTTTTTTATTTTTATTTTTATTCGCAGAGGAGTCTTTATCACAATATCAATCACAACCACAAATACCACATACCCCACTGAGTTCAAACCACACAATGTTTAAGTTTAGCCTGTTCTAACGTAATGAAGAGTATTGCTGCTTCCGGAATTACAAACTAGAATATTGTCGGTGCGTGCATGCGTGTGCGCTCGTTAACACGGTTTGTTTGTTTGCCGGGAGCATTAGTGATCGCGGTCATCACTCAACTAGCACTAGTGCGCTGTCTAAGGCGCTTCGCGCTTATATTTTGGATTTGTATTCGTCGAACGCGCGTTTGCGCTCACCGGTTGTATTTTTATGTCGCGTTCTCTTTGCCTGCCGGTCTGGTTCTGCGCACTGTCGAGATTCATTGTCTCTTATACATAAAGTCAGCCTGCTGGCTGGCAAGCCAACCAATTATAACGGCAATTTAAAATCGCACCTTCTTCTTCATCATCTCAACTTTTTAATTCTTCTGTAGTCGCAGTTGATTAATTTAAATAATATTGATTATTTTCGATAACTAACAGCACGATTATATTATTTTAATTAGGTTAATAAAAACGATTGCATGTTGTGTGAGGTGTGAAGAAATAAAATATAAATACCAGATTTAGTTGAGTTCATTTCTCAATCTTGATCATTTTCTTACACTGTACTTTTTGCATTATTTGCAACATATTGTGTGGAAACATGAAGAAACTGAAGGAAACGCATGTGTCAATTATTACAATGCATTAATGTTGATGCAGCGTAAACTTTCATTTCGTGCGCAGCTGTGCAGTAGTTTATGGTTGAAAATTAACATTCAAAACTTATGATTAATACGCACGCATGGACGTATCTTCTAGTGTTTCAATTCAACGTTTTTGATGCATTGTGTGTGCTATTGCTTTAATAAAGCAAAATAACAATAATTACGATTTGTGAAGTGAGTGTGTGCATTAGATGAATGTAGGATATTGATGTTACACCGTAAATCAGTGGCCTGGAAGCAGGCTTATAAGACACGTCACGCACAATTAAATATACATCGATTTGGTATTACGACGTGAATCTATAAACAATGGGTTGCGTTTAAATGACCTGTGACACGTACTCACAGCACGCGTCGAGCGAAATATAGATACACAAATCCATCACATTTCTACATACAAACTACTAAAAATATATAACTAACGTATTGAGGTGATGGTAAAGTAGTATTATTTTTTAAATACTTTTTATTGAAAAACATACAATTAACTTAAATAAAATTCGTGTTGTTTTGGTCGGTGTGCCAAATTTCCAAAAAACCAAACATTAGACATCAACGTTTCTAATGTATTTTTATCACGATTGTTGACTGAGAAATATGACCCTCTTTAATTATTTAATTCTTTACAAACTTTATCAACAATGATAAAGCTGCTTACCCGAGGCAAATCTCATAACATGGAAATACAACATGATATAAAATTAAATCCAAAAGTGACAGAATCTTAACTGGGCTATTATAAAAACGTAACAAAAGGCAAAGAAAAAAAAGCTTCCGGTACCGGGAATCGAACCCGAGCCTGCTGGGTGAAAGCCAGCTATCCTAGCCACTAGACCATACCGGAGGTGTAACGGCTTGTTGATTTTGCTACATAGTAAATAACTAAAATATAATGTTAAGTTGTAAAACTCAAATTTACGAAAATATTTTAGCAAATCCTCAAAGGAAGCTGTGTGTATATGTGAAGAATGTGTATATTTTTACATTGAAAAGAATAATACTCTACTAATTGCACTCTTTAATTTCCAATTGCAAATAATAATTAAAAACGTAACTTACTGCCCTGTTAAAATAAATTTGCAAAAATACCAATCCTTTTTATAATACAATTTTAATAAAATCGAAGAATTTGAAAAAAAAACTCTAATCCAATATTTATTAATATTTAAACAAGTCCTTTCATGCAAGGTTTAGTAAAAAAAATAAATTTATTAAATTTATTTAAATTTCAATTGTCTCACAAAAAATAATAGGTATTTCTTAAATATATTATGTATATCCAGTTTTTACATTCACTCTTACATTTAAAAACATTAGCATAAAAATAGAATACATTATTTTAAGAAACTAATTATTTCCTTAAAAATGCAAAACTTTTGTAACAGTACGAAAGAAAACCTACTAAAACTAGCTTAAAACATTTTACGACCTTGTGCAAAGTTAACCAAACGAAACTTAAATTATAATCATTGTGTTAATGTGTTTTTGACGTTGATGCCTCCAGGCCACTCATTAAAAGAAGAAAAAATACGTAATTAACAATTTATTTATATAAACTACTAACAAATGCATATGTATTGGACAAATTATTCTAACATTATTTATATTTTATGAACGTGTCTTCTTTACTACTTTTTTGTTTATAACTTAAATAATAAAATAAAAAATAAAAATAAATTGAAAACGTGGTAACATTAGTGAAATATAAATGTTTAAATAAATCTTTTCTTACAAACATTGAGTAATTATAATAATAATTGATTATTTATAATAAAATTAGTTTTTTATGCGTGGATCCAGCATATCTATTTTGTTCTTATATGAACCACCAATTTCTGAAATCTTATGTAGATTACAGATTATTATATTCACAAACGTGTATATAATTAATTTAGTTATACCACTTTTAAATCATGAAATAATAAATAGTACGTGTTTGCTCGCCTATACTTTAAAACTACTACTACGACTAATTACACATGTGTAAGAGTATTTAATTGCAAAATTACATCTAACAAAAATAGTGACCTTAGTCATGGTCGTACACCTTCCGGAAAGTAAATTAAACATACAACAATAATTTGTTCACTTTTATATTGAATAAAATTTAACTAAAACATATCAATAACATAACATAAACATAAACCATCATATAAAGTGGCATTTTGGTTTATCATTGGCACTTGTGATCACTTAATGAATAAGATGGAGTAATTGTATTTTTAATATGTCATAGATATTGCTATTACGTATTATAATTATGAATAATACTAGAAATTGCAAGCGTACGCAGTTATTTCTTGGTCAAGCCGTAAGTGTTCCACTGTTTAATGTGATCGATGTGTGTTTCGATCGCGGGATACCAATCAGCACCGGTGTAATCAATCGTGGGCAGATCACCATCGTAATCCTTGGGCAAATGCGTCTTAGGAATGTGTTTTTGCAGAGACGACATCTTGGAACCATGGAAGAAGATCTAATTTGACCAAAAATAATATTTTTACTTATTTTTACTGTACTTAGTATAAAACACTTACTCTCTTCTTCAACTTCTGTTTGATCAAAGGCTTGAACAAAGCCCAGACAATGTTGAAAACAAATGGTTCCTTAACCATATGCACCTCCTTCAAACGAAGAGGCATTGCTTCCTGAATAAACGTGAGCAGCTTGTAGCTGAACGCCGGGGACAAAGCTTTCACTTGAGACATGCCCATGCCGTTGAAGTCCATTATGACAACAACGCCACGCACCTGAGTCTCTGGTTCCAACATGGCGGCTTCATGAATGAGGTAGAAGATTTTGAACAATTGATCAGAGTCCACTGCATTGGTGTCCCACGTCTTGCCTACGTTGACAATCAGTACACGACGACCCAAATGGTCACGATCCTTCAACACATTCACCACATTGTGGTTAATGAAGGAATCCTTCTCCTGTTCGGGAAGAAGGCCGTCCAAAAGTGCTTTCTGGTCGTTCTTGAACTTAGCAACACGTTGCATCTACGAATTCATCAATATTTTAATGAATTATCTAAATTTATTTTATTAATTTCATTTACTAACCAATTCATGAGCGGACTTAGCGTAGAACTTGCACGGCCGAAGGAAAATCATAAGGAACTCATCGTCGTCACGGAAATGAATGGTATCATCGGCTTTGAGAAGAGCTCGAAGTTCTTCAATGGCGGCTTTGACGATTTCGGGCTCTTCACGGAGTTCCTCTTTGGCGAGCCTTTTCGCCTCGTCGGTGAATGTTGTGGTGTCAAGTGTGAAAGGGGCGGCCATTGTAAACGTTGGCTGTCTATAAATTGAACGTGTTATTCAACGACGCACTGCAACGCAATATTAACGCGCTTATCTCGCTATGCGGAATATAAGTAGCTCGTTTAGCAATAAATAAACAGAATAAACTACATTTAGCAAGTGAAATGTGACCTTTTTATGATAAGAGCTACTCTTGATATTTCTTTGTTAATATATTAATAAGCTTTTAGTATTTGTTTAAAGTTAAACCCATAATATTCACCTTTAAATATTTAAGCGGCAACGAACGCAAGTGAACTGTGCAATTTGTCAATCAATTCAGCTTATAAGTAATCTGAGTATTTATTTTTATTATTCTAGAGTGATATGGTTCGAAGTACGTGGATAACAATTATCAGCAACTGTTTTAAAGATTAGACTTTATAAAAAAACAATTGAAATAAAAATGAGGTATTATGTGATATTACTAATACCAACACATCTTTGGGACTAATCTCTAACAAAATTATATCAGAATAAATATTATTATTTATTTAATTAACAAAACTCAAGATATATCTAAAGTGAACCAATTTGCTTAACTTCGTTCAAATAAACACGATTTCTTCTTGCTAAAATTTTTGTAATAATTATCAACGTGTTTTTTTAAATTCAACTTAATTCAACTAAATTTATCGAAGCTACACATCAAACAAATCTCTTATCAATTTTGATACTATTGAAATTGAACATCAAACATAAATAAGTGTTTACTTTCCCAGACAAGTAATTTAAACTAGTTGCTTGTGGTTCAGACAGTTTTTTGTATAGATGTATCCTACATTTAAATTTTAACCTCCGTTAAACCCGATATTAACCGTAACAATAAAAAACCTCCGCATAGTAATGACAGTCCGTTGCATATAAAATAAATATGCAAAAATCGCCAGCACACTTTTACATCAGTTTTGTTGTCTGACGTCGAAATGTATGCCATCGCACGATAAGCCACGGAAAAAAATTCTAGATGGTTGCAAAATATTTGTCGCACTCACCTGCTGACTAGACTGGTACCGATGTATGGAAAATGCGAGTGAAGATGCACTTAGTTGTTAATGCACCACGTCCGAACGGAAAGAGAGCGTGTACGCGTATCGAGCTTTTCTGGCAAATAACACAAACCTTATATCCGTCTATTATCATAATCACGACCCGGTCCGGGTGACAAAGTTCAGCCGCTCAGCCATTTTCGTATTCCGATATACGAAGCGATGTGTGTCGACGCTGATGCATCGTCGATGATAGACTATGCTCCTCGGCGGGTGCTTCAAGCTTCAGGTCCATAATCGAAGCATCATTGTCTATGTAACAAATAAGTTGGAAGTTGACAGCGATGATGCCTTGGTTCCTAAGTACACAATGTGCGATGAGCAATCGGTCCAACAGTGCATTGTTTTATTTCGCATACTTGCTTTTTTATCAGTAGGGTGACGCATCGGTGATAATTATGTTAAATTTGCTTTTTATAACAAAGGATAAAGATTGAGAAAGTTATAAATTAAAATTATTTTTTTTTTGGGGTAATGTTCAAAATTTAATGTCCGTGTCCTCGATACGGTGCCATATTTATTGCACAAATAAATTATTTCCGAAGATGTGCTTTTCTCAGCTTTTTTAACCTTTATTTTATACCTTTCAAGTAAAATTTTGCCACCAATCTTCACAAGATTACTCGCTAAACTAATAGGAAGAATACTTAAATTTTTAATTCAAATTCATCCAGCCGTTTTGGAGTTTATAAAATACATACATACATTATACATTGTTATGTATATTTATATATTGACTAGCTTTAGCCCGCGACTTCGTCCCGGTAGTGTTTAATAAAATGTAATTTGTTTTTACTCTCTTTTTCGAGACATAGTATGTGTCAATACTATCAATAAGATTCGCAATTTTATTTTAAAGAAATTAATTATTTAAAGAATTGCTAATAATACACTTCAGCGCGCCACCTCGGATTCAACTATTTAACTATAACTATGATTGAATCTCAATGCCAACGTTTATCTTATAGAAAAGGGCTGTCTTTAGGGTTTTCCCGGCAATTATTTGAATTTTTCTCGCCGCAAAAACCATCCTTGGACTTTAACAAACATTTAAGAAAAAGAATTGGCCAAATTGGTCTACGCGTTGTTGAGTTATGCGCATACCAACAGATTTTGCGATTCATTTTTATATTATAGAAGATATATTGATTTAATGCACGTGGTTAAACAATACAACATCATAGCACAAATTTGTTAATGCTGATTTAAAATAAATTTAAGAAATATTATTATTGTTATGATTTAACATGCACTGTTCATTCTGTAATAAATATTTAAGTATCTATATGTTATCCCTAGACAGCCATAAATGTAAAATTCATATTGGTGTTTTAAAAATAATAGGAGATAAATTCAAACTTGTCTCCACTTAAATTAAAAAGTACGTAGGAAAGCGCCATGCGTATAAGTGTTCAAGGTGCTTAACTAGTCGAAAGTTCGAGTATTTGAAAACAATCATCGCCAATATTGATTAAAACAATACAAAATGCTGTTTATTATTAATCGCCCATTTGGTTGCGCAATCGTTGCTCAAACAAAAACAGTTTCTAAGTAGCAAACTGCGCGTGCAATCCAGCATTATAAAGTGCATCACAAAATTTATCTAGCGTTCGAAAGTTCGTCCGTTTTTCAAGATTCTGCTAATTTGTTTTTGTTTTTCATATACATTACCTTCAATAAAAATGTAACGCATGTGCGTGCATCTTTAAATTATGTATAAATTATGCTATTATAATAATATTTCTCAATTTAAAATAAAATATATCGGAAATAACCAAGAAAATGTCAGAAAATCATTTTATAAAGAATACGTCCATTATTATTATTATTCTTTACATTACACTCAAATTATTATAGATTAGCAATCTATAATATAAAAATGAATCGCAAATTCTGTTGGTAAGCATATAATTCAACAACGCCTAGACCAATTTGGCCAATTCTTTTTTAAATGTTTGTTAAAGACCAAGGATGGTTTTTATGGCAAGAAAAATTCAAATAATTGTCGGGAAAACCCTAAAGACAGCCCTTTTCTATAGGATAAAAGTTGGTATTGTAATTCAGTCATAGTTATAATTAAATAGTTGAATCCGAGATGGCCAGCAGCAGTGCATTATTAGCAATTCTTGGTATAATTAATTTCCTTAAAATAAAATTGCAAATCTTATTGATAGAATTGACACATACTACAGCAAGAACAAGAGAGTAAAAACGAATTGCATTTTTAACAAACACTACCGGGACGAAGCCTCGGACAAAAGCTAGTACTATATAAACGATACTGTATTTGTCAAATTACTAAATGTACTAATAAGACCCCTCATAGTCGCAAAAGCTATCTCATCAGATTTGACAAACACTTGCATTGATTTGTAATAGTTTCATATAGTATTGTTCAATCGGCATTCAAATTTGACATCGTATCGGCCATACAAACTTATGAAAATACTCGGTAAGTAAACATTGAATGAAACGACTGCCCTATTACATTCAATTTTATCTTGGCCGATACAAAAACGACCGTCAGAGATAGCGATTGACCTTCCGTGCAATGACACGATAGCCCAAACCGACTTACATTTTCTATCTTTGATTGTAGATTAGGGCTTTCACTTTAAAATGAAATGGGTGCACGCAAAATGCCACAGATCAATGTTATACATGTAGGTTTATCACAAAAACAGTTACACCAACTTGTGATAAGAATATCTGTTAATCGTTTTCTAAAGTTTGAGTTACATGACAATCACCTCGTACACATTTATTGTGTCCAGTGGAAAATTCATTGTTTCTTTGAATAAATATTTATATAAAGTAATCATCAATCGTATGCGTAACTAATATGTCAATAAGTATAAAACTTGATGGATTTAAATCAACTTTGTACAACATTTTGTACATCAGAATAATGTTTAATAAGCTGTAAGCAGGATTATGAAGAGAAAGTCGTTAGTGGTTGTTAGTGTAACATTGTGATGAATAATAAAAGCTAGTTATATTAAATTGCACATTGCAGTTTTATAGGAAGTAAGAAATAAAACGAACATGCTATGCGATTCACGTTGGTTCCGTGTGCTACAAAAACAAGAAATTTGTGTTAAGGAAATTAACAATGAATTATATACCAAGCATGTACGTTTTGGAGTACTTATCTCTGTTCAGACTCTTCGTGTTATAGGTACATCTTTTATGAACAATCCAATTAGTTCTAACAATCAATACGATTTAATTAAATTTAATCAAAAACTAGAAATTAAATAATATTAAAATGTTTTGACTCAACTGGAATATTATCAAAAGTTATATAATGCAAACAGGATATTGATAATATTGTATTATCAATTTGTTATTAATAAATGCAATTAAATAATTATAAAGTGCTAAATCCATCAATTAACACTTCAAATATTAAATAATCTTATTTCAAACAGTTTTTTAATAATGAAATAATTTTATATTTATAAATATTGAACGAATTATCATACTTAGTATTATAAATATATCTGTATTATGTCTGAAGCATACAAACATATGAAAGACCCAAAACTCTCGAATTGGATAGATTGGATAAATCCAACTGCAGTAAAAGGTGGGAGAATGCGACCAAGGAAGACGCAATTTTTATGACCTAAAAATTGAAATTGGTATAATAGAAAAAGCACTGGATGTTCCTGGATAATGAATCTTCATTCCATTTACGGTTTTCATGTTTTTCTGTACATTTTAAACTATAATTTAAAATCCCTAAAAATCACTTTTATTTAATAACCATTTATAGGCCCAAAGTATAGGACAGCAACCCAATCAGGTTTTGTCTAGTACTTCATAATTCTACAGAAAAATGAAATTTCATTCAAAAAATCGTTGTGGAAAGCTTAATCGTACTCGGTTCCAGTACTACCACAGTCTTAGCACAAATATTGATATTTTACCGGCAACATTATGCAACCCACCGCACCTAACTACACTAAAGCAAACCTCATTTGCTCTTTCGTTTTTATCATTCCGGTTCTGCTGGGTATGTAAATAATAAAACACTGCGCGTTGCGTGTTTGATGATGTGTTAACTCCAAATCATGTGCCGGGAAAGATAAGATCAATATTAATACGAATTAATAATAACTACAACATGCGGTGATCGTAGTAGCGGTGTATGTACTCTTCGAAAATACTGTTTGGAAGTGAAAATGGGTAGGAATCCACCTTCTTTGAAGCTGAGGCAGCAGGCGCAGAACGGGAGTTTTAATCGAAAAGATCACAGAAAGGAACCAAAGAAACTGGCGGCACAAAAAGAAAAAGAACAATTCCAAGGAAGAAAGTAAGTCACTTGCTAGGAATATGTGAGTAAAAATATTGATTGAATTTATTTCATAGAAAAAATGAAAAGAGTGATGACTCTCCACTCTATCCTGGAGGTGATACTGCATTCAAAGCATTATTATCTGCCAGATTTTGTGCTGCAATCTGGTCCAATATTTCAGATTGTGATGAGACCTATAATTATTGGGAACCAATGCATTACTTAAGTATAACATAAATGATAGTACATAAGACAGAACTAAAATGTTTTTGTTGCAGTTTTTGGAAAAGGCTTGCAAACATGGGAATATAGTCCTGAATTTGCCCTTAGATCTTACACTTATTTAATGATCCATGCCACACCTGCTTATTTATATCACAAGATCTTGCAGCCCAATCCACTATTGATATTTTATTTGATTCGGTGTGTTTTGGGTTTGCTTTGTTCTTTTGTTGAAGTGTATTTCTACAAGTAAGATGTTAATGAATTGAAGTAATCAAATTGTATATATGATTATTTTAGAGCTGTATGTAGAGAGTTTGGAGTACAAGTTGGGCGAATTTGGCTTGCATTTGAGCTGCTTTCAGCAGGAATGTTTATATCCAGCAGTGCATTCCTTCCATCATCATTTGCAATGTATACATTTACTGCAGCTTGCTGGGCTTGGTGGACCCAAAAGTATCCATTAGCAATATTTATGGTTGCATTGGGTGCATTTTTAGGTATTTATTAAATTTGACGAATTAACGTACTTAAATCTACATACAACACTATTTTTTTGTAGGTTGGCCTTTTGCTGTTGTATTAGGAATACCAATAGCCTATGATATCATATTCCGATGCAAAGAATACAAACTGTTTCTTCAGTGGGCAGTTATTTCCGCAATAGTGATTTTGGCCCCGATGGTTGCCATTGATTCGATGCATTACGGCCGCCTTGTTATCGCACCATTCAACATTGTCAAATACAATGTATTTGGTGGTGCAGGTCCAAATTTGTATGGCACTGAGCCTTTAAGTTACTATTTGATAAATGGATTTTTAAATTTCAATTTTATATGGGTAAGTATAACAAACAACAATAATTTTTAATATTGATATAAAATATAATCTACAGATACTTGCCCTGACATGTCCGGTATTTCTCCTTTTGCAATATTTGTTGGTGCCTGCAAAGCATAAGATGACACTCACATTGCCATATTACCTCTCACTATCACCACTTTTCTTATGGCTTGCAATCTTCATGATGCAACCCCACAAAGAAGAAAGGTAATTTGAATTATATATTAATTTATTAGTTGTTGAGTGAGTTTTTCTTTTTAGGTTTTTGTTCCCGATTTACCCTTTGATATGCCTGTGTGGAGCAATATCAGTTGATGTAGTACAAAAATTATATTACCGCGTATATTGCCTATTCAAACCCAGCAGCATTGGCACTCACTACCTGGAGAAAACCGTCTGGATAATGGTCATTGCTATTCTATCAACAGGCGTGATTGGCATTTCCCGCATGTTTTCTCTGTACCAGAATTATCATGCTCCATTTGACTTACTAATGGAACTCAATCGGTATCCGAGTGAAGGTCGAATCCTCCCAAAAACTATCGTTAATGTCTGCGTGGGCAAAGACTGGCATCGCTATCCATCCTCATTCTTCCTTCCTAGCCCAAATTGGAATATAAAATTTATCAAGTCTGAGTTTGACGGAATGTTGCCTGCTCCTTATTCACAAGGAGACAATGCGACAAAGATTATTCATGATCACTTCAATGACAAAAATGAAGAAGTTGAGTCATTATACTTTGAATTGCACAGGTGCCATTTTATGTTGGATCTTGATCTTGGAAAGGAGACCAGCCTGGAACCGATTTACGCAAAGCAGGTGGATAAATGGAAATTTGTTAAAGGCTTGCCGTTTTTGAATGCGGAGAAATCACATCCATTATTTAGGGCTTTTTACATTCCATTTCTATCGCAGCAGTATGTAACGTACGGTAATTTTACGCTTTTACAGAAGGTACCTATAAGCAAACCTAGACCTAAACCATAACGAAATATGTATATGTATTAAACAAAGGAAAATCGCGGCGTCCTTGTTCCTGACGATTTTATATTTCTTTTACAATAAGATAAAGGAATAGCAATATTGTGAATTTGCAAATTCACATCAAACAAGAGGCACCAAAGATAACATGTAGTACATTTATTAAATAATAATACTTAAACATTTAATACATTGCACCAGGTAACATATTTGGCATTCCTCCATCCCTTAATGTCATTCAGTTTTCTAAGCATTTTCTTAAATTGAAAAGTAGACAACCAAATACACACATTTTCTTTTATAAGTATAAAACATATTTAAGTTTTTACATTACTATATATGATATTATTTCTATTGTGTATAATTTAGGTGTTTCTAAGTTTGGTAGCACTTCAATAATTTAATTTTTGCTTTCTACTAAAATAAAATATCTCTTACCTCGTGCGAAGTCGGCAATGATCGAAAACACTTTGTTGTCAATGCGCAGCAGCAGATGCGCGTTGAGAGGAGTCATCCGACGAAGATCGCGGTTAGTGGACGCCATTATTGGACGTTTTAATTTGACTTGGAAGTGTATAATAAGAATTGTGTGAACTTAATAAAGTTTTGGTGCATCGAGCGGTGGCGGTGCGTGGTTGAGTGCGTTTCGGATTGAAATTGTGTGCAATAACCGAAGTGCCGACGAGTGCGCCGAGTGTAAGTGTGGCGTGCGGTCCGGAACAATTGTCGGTGCATTTCCAATCCCCCATCTCACTTTCGGGACCGAACGAAAATAGGAACGAAAACAGTGCAGTCAATGTCAGCAGGCGTGTCAGATCAGGTACGCTGAGCGATTGCCGCCGCCGATGATGATGCCGGCGACAAGCTGGTCTCATCCGCCATCCTCATGTCTAATGCGCATTTGTTTCTTTTTTATGATGCATCCGTTCACGTTGCTGTACCCACCTCCGGCTTCGTCGTCTCATTCTTCATGCGTGGAAGCAGCGGATGAAAGGTCAGGGAAACACAGGTTAGTGTAATTACTTCATGCGATACGTTGGTTTTTCCGGACTGATTCTGTCGCGACGCCGGCATTACTTTCTTATCTTTTGGCGCCGCAAGTTACATGCATAGGTTACATGTGTGAGTACCGCGTCGAAGCCGGACTGGATAAAATTTATTTCCGGCAGTTGTCGTACGTCGTGCGCTTGATATTCTCACGCTTGTCATTAATAAACGGCCCGCTTCGCACATTCCGTTCATATAGAACGATTGTTTGTCTTTATCTTTTGTTTCTCTAATGTTGGTATTATCAAGATATGCAATTTGTTGATTCAGTCCAATGAGGTTAGAATGTATCATATTTCGAAAGGACCGCACTATATATTTTTTTGAATACTTGATTTCGGTTTATTCAACTTTTTGATTGTTTGATTGAATATCTTGCAGTGTCCAATGGCCCTAAAGAGCAGTTAGGAACGGCAGGAACGGGCGGCGACGGTGTGGTAGCAAGTGGTAGCGGAACGTCTGCAGAGCAAGAGTTCGAGACATGGCGATCGCAGCAGCAGCAACAGGCGAATTCAGCCGCCGCGCACAACAATCCATATGGCACATCAGTGCCGATCTCGACCGCCACGGACTTGTACAACATGAGCACGGCAGGATACTACGGCAGTGGCGGCACGTTTCCTTATCAGGCGTACGGCGTCGGCGACGGCACATGGTCCAATGGCCAGGATCCGATGGCGTTCCTCAGCGGCGGCTATCATCACGACTCGTATTCCATCGACGGTGAGTTCAGTCGTCGGCTGTAAACTATATTAAGTCAATATTGACTCGCTCACTGCTTGATATTTATTACAGGAATGTTTGGCCCGTCAACGACATACTCCACCCCGAATCCATTCGCTCAGCCTTCGTCGTTCAACTACTTCCACAGCAACGGCGACTACAACACCTGGGGCAGTCAGATCGGCCAACAGCGCAAGTACGACGAGTACTATCGGGATCAACAGCCCAATATGTACACGCAAGCCATGCCCGGAGACACGTTGAAAACGGTAGAGCAAGCCATGCAAAATTTAGGTAAATTTCTTAGTTTCTTGAAGAGTTGAGTTCTATATTACCTTGAAAATAATTGTAGATTTGAAAAACTCCGAATCTAAAGACCAAAAGAAAATGACATGGGCGAGCATAGCAAGCCAGCCTGCAAAACCCCAACTGCCCATGCCCAGTCAAGGGCTGAAGAAGAAGGGTCCCGGTATGCCGCCTGGACCAATTATCCCGGGCAAGCACAATATGGATATTGGTACATGGGACACCAACAAAAATACACCACCGCAACAACCCCCACCACCACCGACGTTTGTCAACAACCCGCAGCCGCCTGTGCCGAAATCGATGGGAGCCGCTCCAGCAATGCCGGTGCGTCCAGCATGGAATTGCCCACCGACCAATCGCGGCCCCCCGTCGGCGCCCAGGCCTGGCCCCCACACCATGCAATCCTATCAGCCAGCGATCATGCCGCCGCACATGCAGCCACCGCCTCCGGTCAGCATGCCGACTGCTGGATCGCACGTGCAGAGCTTAATGCAGCAAACGAGTATGCAGCCGCCGTCGCTGCCTGCTTCGATGGTTCAACACTCTCATCAACAACAGTCGACGACTGTGGCGGCGGCAAATGCCTCGCACCCGGTGCTCGATGAGCTGCGCGGCAAGAACAACTACAATCCGCCCGAATTCGATCTGAACGCGCCCAACGCGCGATTCTTTGTTATAAAGTCCTACTCGGAGGACGATATACATCGTAGCATTAAATACGAGATCTGGTGCAGCACGGAGCACGGTAACAAGCGGCTTGATCAGGCATATCGCGAGCGCGAGCCAAACGGTGCAGTGTATTTGTTCTTCTCGGTCAACGGTAGCGGACATTTCTGCGGCATGGCGCAGATGGTGTCGCCGCTGGACTATAATTCGAACAGTTCAGTGTGGTCGCAAGACAAGTGGAAGGGACAGTTCAAAGTGCGCTGGGTGTATGTGAAGGACGTGCCCAACGTGCAATTGAGGTATATTCGATTGGAGAACAATGAGAATAAGCCGGTCACCAATTCCAGAGACACGCAGGAAGTGCCTCACGCTAAAGGATTACAAGTATTTACTTTTACATTTTCTATTCAAACAAAATGATAGTCTGTGATTGTCTTGTCTTTACTCGTCGTCTGATCGTTTGCAGGTGTTGCGGATTATTCATACGTATCGACATTCGACGTCGATCTTCGACGATTTCATCCACTACGAGAAGCGACAGGAAGAGGAAGATACTCGGAAACAGCCGGACGGATCGTGTGGTGGTGGTAATAGTGCTGTGAAAAATAATAGTGGTGGCGGGCGAGGCGATCATGACGGGCGCGATCCACGTGACCATCACGGTCCTAATCATCGGGGCGACCATCGCGGTGATCGCGACAGAGACCGTGAACGAGGCAGCGATCGCGATCGTGATCAAGGCGTCCGCGGCGATAGGAGCGAACGCGGTCATCATCGTAATCATCACGACCACGATCGACACAATGACCATCGACCGCACCACGGGCGCAATCACGACAACCATGACGGTCGCGGCGGCGACCGGGGTGGACCTGATAGAGGAGATCGGGATCGCGATAATAGGTACCACGATCGCGGACACCACAAGGTAAATAATTATTTTAAACTCGTAACAGTTATCTATTACTTATGTGGACGTAGTTAACTGACTGGCATTATAAAATTCACCGAAAAATAATTTAATTTGCATTGCAGGAACGTGGAGATAGAGGAGGACGAGGCGCAAGGAATCGCAATTAAAGTCAACTAAAAATACATATAAAATTGAGTGCGGTTATACTTCGACACGGATTTTATGAACTACCTTTAAAAAAAACAGAACACTGGGACTGAATTTACAATCGAAACTAACACTGGACTTACAAAACAAGTTCCTTTCTATATGCGCCGCGTGCGAGCCGTACTCAAAATGATTCTAACTTGTCGGTGCGACGTTCAAACCAATAACAATAGCCACCAAGAGAAAACTAAATTCGCGTAGTGCCCCCCTCAGTTCAAGTTCACTAATCGGTTGTAAACAAATGAAGGAAAACAATGGAGAAACAAAAGACGTCAAACTGAAACGTTCGTCGTATCTAAGCATGAAATACGGCCGCGTCCGCTATTTAATCTTACGATAAGATTACCTAAATTGCGGGCAGGCGCGAATAAGTAAATAATTACGAATTAATCAAAATAGTTGATTTATTACAATTACATATACACCATAAATACATTATATGAGTTTACTGCGCGATGGTTCAGATGATTTGCTGGATTTTTTCCTCCATGTTGTTAGTTTGTTATATTTCTTTGTTTTGAAGATTTTCAAATTATACACGCATAGGAAAAAGCAAGCTGAAAATATACGTTTATATGCTTTCGTTGGTGATTTTTTCCGAAAGATTTTTGTTTGTTCAACTTCTTATAATTTTGATTGCGAATGTCTTTCTAACATGAGTATCGTTTCGTGTGGGACTAAAATCATATACATAGTTACTAAAGTAAAATGATATACATACAATACATATGATGGATATATGCCTAATGAATTAAAGATTAATAAAATTAAATGGGACTTCTACTTCATTATAAATATATATTACAAAATTAATAAAAAAAAAAACAACAAATATTAAGCTGTGGTTATTAAACTTTTATTGTCATTGTCTACTGATATCATTTATTGATACCGCTATAATAATTATGAATATTTAGAAATTGATATGTTGCTATTAAATGGATGTAGAGAAAGAAATTGAGCAAAAAATTATGAATTTGTTATTACCTGTATAATTTACATTGTATTCAAGAATTGGATAAATAATAAGAAGAAAGATGAAGTTTGATGGATTGTGGCAGTTGTTTCCTCATATTCTTCAATTTCGATCATTTACGTCGTCTCCTGCTTGGCAACCGCAAATCCCTTTCAGAACGCGTAAATTTCATAAACCATTACTTAAAATATTATTGTCATATTTGGTTAAAAAAACACGCTTATCTTCAACAATACAAAGTTCTGAATTTACAACTATTAAAATTTAAGTAAGAAAATATTTTACGAACGTACTCCCCCACCCCACAAATCTTGGCGAAGCAATTATTATAGAATCATTTAAATTTAACACAATTTGATACGTTAATAACAAACATTTTTTGAAATATGAATTAACGTAAATCCAAGAATGTTTATTCAGTATTTATGGTAATTCCGTTGAAATCAATCTACACTATCATTAGGCATCTGGGTAAGAAGATTTCTTGTATGTTGAAACAAAAGCAAATCTTTTACCAAATCAAGCAAACCAAATGAAGACTTCCGATTATCTTCGGAGAGTGGATGGAAGAGATCAATAAAGGAGCCCTAATTTTAGATTCAGGACCACCATTTAACACTAGCTAAAGTGTCGACTAAACTTATTGAAGATGTCTTCCTGCGCTTTAACTTCGTTGTCCAAAGAGATGTGGTAATGGAAAAGACCTCGAGAGCTTCCTTTTTGGCCTAGCCCTAATCATAGATATGTGGTCGTAGATAGCAAACGAGCAGGAAGAGTGTTAACATCTTTGGTCGTTGTGTGGCATAAGGATAAGCAGTCGCCAACGACTTGACCATAGTTATGGTGGTATTCACACTTAACATGTGGCTTACATCCAGTTACGACATCAGCTTTATGGGGTTTTGGAAGCTACAAAAGCAACTATTGGAGGTCGATGTGTGGGAAATAATTTGAATGCAGTGATATTTCAAATAAAGTTGGTGTGCATGCGAATGGATGTGGTTGATATAGCTCAAAAGACAAAGAAGTTGCTAACGCGGCAGATTTGAAGACAATTTAGAGTGTTGTTGTGGGTAGATGGAGAGATTGAAAGCTGAAGAACATGGTCGGAGATGGATTATATTGAGTTGACTCAAGTCATCCTCTACAGATGTAATACTATCTTTTGTATAATCGATCTTTTCGTCGTTAATTTAGTCAGATTTAATGGGACAGTTTTTAAATAAATAACAAGTCAAATTATATCAAATAAACTGGTATCTCTACGAAGATATAATTATAAAGATATATCATATAAAACTCAGGAAAAAATAGTTTATATGTATACTGTTATATATTTTAAAAAATCTATACTTTATTTTCTATAGTACATCATCACAGATCACCAGTAAATTGGCATTTTAAATGCCACTTACATGTTTCATAACATATTCTATAAAATATCATACAGTAATTATTAAATACATTTATGTATTATATTTGGTTCATAACTTAGGCAACTTCATAAAGCTTTAGTGCCTATGAATAATATCTGGTTACTTCCTTCAACAATTTATCAATATTATTCTCATCTATTATCACAAATTGTTTTCTTCCACGACTAAAGTAATAAATTTCCCCTGTATAAATATCAAACCATAGTGCGTGAATGTGCAACTCAAATTGTTCCAAACGTTTTTTCAGAAAACCATAACTTGCAATGTTTTGTAACTGTTGTAGGGTATTAATCTGTGATAGTTTGTCCTCTAGAGCAAATTTGTTTTCTGGATCGATGTAAGCAACAAACTTTCTCAAAGGCGTTTCGGCTTGGAACAGCATTGGTTTTGTAAAGTCGGAGAGTTCGAATTGTTTATATTTGTCCAAACTTGACATTGCGTGCGTACAGAGCCAGGAACGCAAGGGTGAAATTCTTCGATTATTCTAAATACAAAAATTATTGATCGTATTTCTCATTGTCATAAAACAAATATTACCTGAGAGGCAAATTCACTATCTTGTAATTTGTATAATAAGTTCATTGCTTTGCAGTCGCTGTGGCCGCAAACAATAATATGTCGAATGTCGTTAACAACACAGCCTAATTCCAAAGCGGCGGGCTCATTTGTAGTTAACTCGTCCAGGAAATGTTGAGAATGTGGAATGATATTACCAGCGTTACGAACTAAAAACAATAAATTTATATGAATTTAATAAGTTTCTTGATTCAATCGAGAAGTTTTACCAACGAACATATCGCCTACGTTAGTCTCCGTAAATCTTGTTGGAATCATCCTACTGTCCATGCAAGTGAAAAATACTGCTTTTGGCTATGCACACAGAAAACAAAATTGTATTAAAAAGTTTTAAAGTCGGATCCAGTAGTTAACTCTTTAAAATAGCAAAAGTGTGATTCGGTGCTATTTTGGTTGCATAAAACTACACTTTTAAAAACCCGACTCAAAAAACGCCACATGCGCATATTAAATAAAAATACGAAGCATGTGCAAAGTGTACGACACATACGGCTGTGTACTCACCGTGGGATTGTCCTTGACTTGTTTAAACTGCTCTACCATGCGCTTTTTGTCGAGCGTGCGATACCTCATGATACCTTTTAATATTCGATCCATGATATCACTTTGCCCAAACCCTTTATCAGTGCACTGGCCAGAATTCGCTTGATAATATATTCAGCGATCGAATGCAGAAAAACGAATTTCTACTTGTAAACATTACAGAACAACTTTGACCCAATAATCTCCCTCCATATCACAGTTCCGTTCTACAGTAACGACGGTAGAAGTTTAACTATGCACGAGGTTCAAAGTTTGTTTCAAGGCCGTTGGTTCATTGAATCAAATTTACTGCATGAATTACAAACAAGTGACTTATTTTAAGTAAGTTACAAGTGGAATGTTGATCACTAAAGGAAAATTAATCATTAACTTCGAATAAGGAAAGTTTTACTTGAATGAGGGCATACAAAAATGTATGAATTACATCGTTTTGCGGTATCAGTACATATACACTGACACTGTCGCGATAGTATCTCTAGAGCAAATACAGATTGATAATTATGGGAATAATGACAAGCTGGAAAGAACCAAACTGATTTTTATACTCATTTTATTATCATTTTTCATTTTGATCAATATAAAGTCAACAATAAACTAATTTCCCATTACATTTCCTATTTTGTACATGGAATTCCGAATTTAAATTAAATTTAGCACCTTGACACTATTTTTACTTAATTTTTGCTAACAAAAATATTACAGGTTTTAATTAATTTCAATTAGTGTAAAATTCTGCTGTTTAAAATCTTTATATTTTCTTATATATTAACCATGATTTACTATATATTACAAATATGATAGATTATTAAGTTGCAAAAACATTTGTTATGTTTTCACTCGTGAAACCATCTTGTTAGACGTAAATTCGTTCAGTAGTTTGATAGCAAAATATCAAATCAGTCATTTGGCTTCAAAGTGAAAAACATATATACAACTAAACATTAAGCAAAATTAGCATTATAATAATTCGTGGCATCTTGTTGATTTAGTATTAAGGGATAATTGTCTTATTAACATTATTACTAGCTGGAAAATAGCTTCATTACAACAGGACAGGAACACAATTTAAAAATTACGTTAATGGCTGACTGCTGGTCACCTTTTCCAACTTCTCAAAGTGTTTCCGGGCATTTCTAATATTAATCAAAGTAATCTCCGAAGGAATTTTTGGATCCGACATGCACACCATAACATAAGTATTGCTGGTGAACATATCAATATAAGATGCGAACGCAGAATTTTTCACTTCCATGCTTTGGAATTGTGCGGCCAACTTGGAGCAAGACAGTTTAAATTGTTTTATAATATTCGAGACTTTTTCGAAGCGGTGAATGTCCTTATGGTGACGACGTTGACAGTGCGAGATTACTAAAAATGTCGCGCGTTCGAACAAGAGAACTTCATCAGCATCAACAATATTCGTAAATTGTTGCAGTGAGTTCTCCAAAGCTTTAACATTTGGAATAAGCATGTAGACGATGCTCGACCACGCACGGTACAAAGTCTCATCCCATATAGAGGTCCGGAAGCACGTGCAATGTAGTGGCCTAGATAATTCCTTTATGTCTTTTTCGCGTTCGCGAAAAATGGTATCGCGTTGATCTTCAGCAATCAAGTCCATTTTGTGTATGAGGCAGAATATCTTGGCTTCTGGACTATTTTGCATTATGGCCTCCAAACAACTCTGATAGTAGTGAATGTCTTTCTCAAGTTCTCCACTCTCAACATCAAACACATATATAAGAACTTCAACATTCCTGAAAATATTGTCTCTTTGAGTGTTGAAGTAGTTCTCCATGAAGGCTTCCTGTCCACCACAATCCCAGAGATTTAGTACTAAATTGCCTAGAAATCTGACATGACTGTGCTCTACATCAACTGAAAACAGTAAAAAGTAAATAATTAGAGAGTTAAAACTATATTAAAACCAGGACTTACTAGTGGCACCAAGTCTTCTTGTATCTCTGGCTATGTAATTGGCAAATATGATTGATCTCATACTGGTTTTGCCGGAACCACTTTTGCCCATAAGCAAGACCTTCTTCTTCATGGTGCTGCTGGATTAATGTGCTAAGGTTTGGAAGGTTCTAATAAATGTAGAATGAGGACAGTTTGATTGCAACAGTTGTTTTCCACTGAACTAGTACTAGTACTGAACTTATCAGAGCAAATACAAATAACTAGTGCGCAATTTCTGTGGGAATTTATGACCCAGAAGCACAACTTTCACGTAAACAATTAACTACTGATGAATAAATAACAAAAGCTTCCTTTATTGAGTGTTATCAATAGTTATCAACAATGGTTTTGTAGGTTATTTTATCTGCGCCATCTACGAGATCTACGCCTCTAACGAGGATCTAGCAAATGACACTTCAACGTTTTGTGTCAAATAAGTTATCAATGCTATTAAAGCTTAATAATTAATTTTAATAAAATCAACTTGAGAACTGGACATTTCTATAGGAATTGTTTTATTTGTTAACGTATTTACATAATTGATAGAAATAGTTTTCGAAAAAGACTAAATATACTATTTTCGTAGAATCTTAAAATAACATGCAGAGCTATTTATTTACTGTAAGTTATTCTATAATGTATTTATAAATTAGAAAATAAGAACAAGATAAAAGTTATGCGCGATTTCAATGCAGTTGGCAATACTGGCAGTCAAAGTACGACTCCTGACGAAAACTGTCGAATGATTCATCAGGATTGTTGAGTTGTAGAGAAGGACGACTGCCTTCTTTGCAGGAGAGATTAATGAGGACAAGTGCAATGGATAGCGCTGAGTTCGGTCACACTGTGCGACAGCAGCTCCATTTACCACGCGTGTGCAGCAGTGTGCACCAGTGTCGCTCGATGTTGCTGGTGTTGGTGCATGTTAGTGTTTTTCGGTAATAATGGAGGCCCATCGCTCCTGAACCCTCACGTAAAGTCTGACTAATCACTGAAAACTCAGGTGATCAAGCACCGATCGCGGACGAACGATTACGGCAAGCGCATCAATGCGGCGGTAGCTCTACGCGAACGCTTCGGCACGCACCGACCTACACACGCAAAAGTCCAGCCCTCAAACAACATCTCATACAACAGTACATTCAGTGCCTGCTTAATACCTTATAGCGCAGATCAGGTGAATATCGAGGCTCGTGAACGGTAACCAACAGGATTCTAACGAAGGCGCTTTTAGCATGTCCTCCGACGACGAGAAACCGCCAGCGCCTCCGGTGCGACTAACCTCCAACAGAGGCACAGACTTGACCAACTCAAGTTTGGCTCTTGATAGACCCTTGCCCAAGGAGCCGGAGGATGCCGACCGCAAGAAGAAGAACATCAAGTTTAAGACAAAAAGCCATAAGTCGTCAACGCTTAGTATGGACAACAAGCCCAACATTTCATATCCTACCAATTTTGAGCACACTGTGCATGTGGGCTTTGATCCAGCTTCAGGAGAGTTCACTGTAAGTGCATTATTTTGTTATTCATCCATACATTACATTCCACAAGTATTTGTGAAAGTGGCCAAGTATTGTGTAGGAGCTTGTTAACTTTTCTGTTTGATGATTAATATGGCTGAATTTCATTTTCTTACAAGCTGCCACTGAAAGTGAGTATAGAATATTTGAAACATTCTTTTAGGTTGCTCTTAGATTCATACTTGTTTAGTTATCTGTAAATATTTGTTACTCATTGAATTACTTTTTTAATTGTGCATTTCTAGTTCAGATAACAACATGACATCAACGCTATAACAGCCTGATTTTTGAGTGATAATTCAATTTACTTTATGTATTTTATTTCGTTGTTTACATTGTGCAAAAGGTTGCTATAATCAATATCGAATTGCATTTGTTTATCTTTCTCGATGGTATATAATTACAATAGGATGTACCTACGGAGTAATATTTCTTTTAATATAGTGATATCAAATATGTTAATTTAATTTTCGAGTAGATACTTAAAAACAATTTTGTTTTATTACATTTAGCAATCATTTTTATCGTAGATTAACCGATATTCTGTGCATGATTCAACTAACTATTCTCAGAAATACGTTGACTTCACGTCAACCGAATTACTGAAATGATATTTTGTACAAATCTCAGGAACAAATATTTATCATTAAATAATGTAACATACTTGATTCACCAGTATTGATAATATGTTTGTATAAGTTTGCTTTTCTTGAAATGGCACTTTAACACAGATTTTACTTTTATTACTAAATCAAAACGATACAAACAATGGAAGATACTGTAGGCAATACATCTGCATAGTCTAAAGTAATGTGTTTTGTCTCTAGAATGTCTAATGGCAATTGTGTTTATTTTAGGGAATGCCTGAAGCTTGGAGCAAATGGTTGATGAATTCAAACATCACCAAGCAGGAGCAGAAGAGCAATCCACAAGCTGTCCTCGATGTTTTAAATTGGTACGAGTCGAGCGGGAAGCAAGAACAGAATACAAAATATATGACAAACACGACAAATACGACGCATTCGGGTATGTAAAATTAATATAGATTTTAAATTTGGGTGTAAATTTGTACTCATCTATTTATTTAAATGTTGGTTCAGGTTCTTCCATAAGTAGAGTATCAAGTTCAAGTCCAAGTAGCACGACACCAACCGATGTGGAGGGCACTCCACATTCATACCATTCTCCAGCGCACGCCCCTAGCTCGGAATTGGAGGAAGACTACGCTCCACCTCCGCCTATTGCCACTCGTCCTGAACGAACTAAGAGTATTGTAAGTTGATTTTTCTATACTTAACGAGTTGTACTTAATGAATTGTATGAATTTCTAATTTAGTATACAAAGCCTATCGAAGAACACCAAACCAACAACCACAGTGTGCATTCGATTAGCACCCCAACCCACACGCCAAGCCCGGTACATACTACGCCCACACACAATGTGACTAGCAATAACTTGCAACCGACGCCGATTACCACCGCCCCGGCGACGCCTATTCTTGACCGAAACAAGAATCAGGCGACGCCTGATGTATCACGTGGCGCTTCAGAGAAACGCAAGAAGAAGCTGTCTGATGAAGATATTCTAGAAAAACTGCGCAGTATTGTGTCTGTTGGCGATCCGAACCGTAAGTACAACAAGGTCGACAAGATCGGGCAGGGCGCTTCCGGCACAGTTTACACCGCCATGGAATCTTCAACCGGCGTTGAGGTAGCCATAAAGCAGATGAATCTTTCCCAACAACCCAAGAAGGAGTTGATAATCAACGAGATTCTAGTCATGCGAGAAAACAAACACGGCAACGTCGTCAACTACCTTGATAGTTATCTCGTAAATGAGGAGCTATGGGTGGTGATGGAGTATTTGCCAGGAGGGTCTCTTACAGACGTTGTCACTGAGACGTGCATGGATGAGGGGCAGATTGCTGCTGTGTGTAGAGAGGTGTTGCAGGCGTTGGATTTCTTGCATTCGAATCAGGTTATTCATCGCGACATCAAATCGGACAATATTTTATTAGGATTAGATGGATCAGTTAAACTGAGTAAGTTTAACGTATATAACATTGATGATTTATTAATATTTTGTTATTTCGTGCAGCGGATTTTGGCTTTTGTGCTCAAATAAGTCCAGAACAATCGAAGCGGACGACAATGGTAGGCACTCCGTATTGGATGGCACCCGAAGTCGTAACTCGAAAGCAGTATGGTCCTAAGGTATTTAAATTTTCCTTATATCACAATTGTATAGGTTTTGGGAATCGATACGGCATCTATAAATTAGAACCGTTGCAATTTTCGACATTAAATTAATTGAGGTCGAAATGTCTAGGTCGATGTATGGTCGTTGGGTATAATGGCCATCGAAATGATCGAGGGCGAGCCGCCCTATTTGAACGAAAATCCGTTAAGGGCCTTATACTTAATCGCTACGAACGGCAAGCCGGACATTAAAGAAAAAGAGAAGCTGTCGCCGGCTTTCCAGGACTTTTTGGATCAATGTCTAGCGGTGGAGGTGGAAAAACGTGCATCGGCGAGAGAATTATTAAAGGTAACCTAAATGTATAGCGTTATTTTCTTTAGATATCGACCTATTCTGGTCATAGAAAATGTTATGTGATGTTACCGTGCTTTAATTCTTCTTTCAGCATCCGTTCTTAAAAATATCGAAACCCTTAGCCAGCTTGACCCCCCTGATTCTGGCGGCCAAAGACGCCGCCAAAGGTCACTAGCATCGGCCGTCTTCGACAAAGCGTCGTTTCTGAGCGATGTTTGCCAGATTGTAAAACAACACTCGTGTAAATACGGAGAGAACACTATGATAAATCTAATAGATTTCTAGATAGGTAGGAACCAAAAACAAAACTAACTAAAAAAACGTAAATATTTAGGCGAGAATTATTATAAAAATTGACACTAATTCGACGATCAATTAGAAGATTTTAATGTTAAACAAATTTCAAGTTGACATCAGATATTGTTAATCGTTGGCACGAACAAAAACACGAAACGAGTTGAAGAGTGATGGACATATCAATTTAGGCAAAAGCATATTTTCAAAACATCAAACTTTTCTTTCGCTATACGTACATATTTGAATACCAAGCCGGAAATTTGGATGCAACGTTCCTATATGTAGCGAGACAAGACGAGCTTCAAGATAATTTAATTATTTATTGCGTTACCGCGAAAGTATAACACTACCGAAAACATATTCGTGTTTCAGTTTGCGATTTGTGATATATACGTATGTAGTAACATTTTAGCCCATCAAACATCCATCGAACTCATCGGAATGGTCATCATCTTGTCATCATGTTCTCATCTCAAGTTATTAATGTCGGTTTCTACCAATGAGAGAAAAAAAAAATAAGCAGAGCTACTGAAAGTAGTGCAATGTACATTTATAGAATCGAGAACGAAAATCGACTGAACAATAATTAGTGAAACGTAGAGCAAACAAAGATTATTACCAAAAAAAATGTATAAACTTATATTGCTGGCATGAACAATTCAAAAATCGGACGTAGGTGAGTAAGCAAAACTTACAATAATTACATTACTTGCATTAATTACACGTGTACAATACGATATTTTTTTATGTGTACCATATGAGAAATTTGCTAAATATGAATTACAAATGAAGTTTATTAAAACGAGTATAATATAGGCGATAAAACAAATTATACATACATATGTGAAGAGATAGCATAACGATTAGCAGTGATTGTGTTTATTTTCAATACTTTCGTGTACTTAGCCGAGCTTTATCAGAGGCAAACCGATCCGAAAATGCTTTTTATTATTCTAGACCAAAATTTATACAATGAATGTCAGCTGTATTAGTGAGATCTTAGCTATTTGCTACACCAAATATACAAACATTTTTATATCAGTGAGTACAGAGGGTGGTGGTAAGAAGAGACGGGGGGCAACTGAATGTGTTAAAAATATTAGAAGCTGTCATAAGCGAATTCATCCTGCGTACATCCATCATCAGATAACATTACCTAGAATGGAGCAATACAATATATAAATATATTCAATATGTATATCTTTATTTAAGCGGAAAACGTGCATTTGGATATTAACATCTTATTTTATCGCAAGTAATCAAACTTTGTTTACGTTCACTACTTGCTACTACTGCTATAATTGATTGATACGGCGACGACGACGAAATATTTTAAATATTTTATTATTCATTACATAGAACACATAGAGATTTAAGATAGATTCGTTATATTTATGTACGATTGCTTTGTAGCTTATTTTATTATCTTGGATTTATTACCTTTTTGTATTGATATACTTATTTTGTGATTATTGCGTTATCGTCTTCTGCGTTGCCATTTAATGATTATATTGACGATTTTTTGTATTACGACACGCGGACAAAAATGAGAATGCGCGCAGTGTAAAACGATTCAATTTACGAGTCAGCCCGTGTAAAATTTCGTATTCGATCTAATTACATTTGATTAAAATGGGCTATGAAAACTGGAGATTGACTTGTAAAATAACGGTATATACATATAAAATATTATTGAAATAGCTCATAAAATTAATAATTGATAGTATTTTTGCACTAGTAAACAAGAACAAAAATCTGGACAACAAGATACTATTGTAAAAAGATGTATTTATATTGACCTATTATGACTTATAAACGAAATGATATTGTCAATGACGAATGCAAATCGTGTTTAGGAACTAAACTACTTGCAAATGTTTATTGTTTGTATTCGTGATTAGTACAATGCCATTAATAATTTTGTGATTAATTATATTCGCGCTATTATACATATTACATGTTTTTTAATAGACAAGAAATGTACTATTTCTTTCCTATTTAGCATCATCATTTCTTTCCAAGAAACCTTCGCAATTCATTAAGTGTTGTATTTCATAAAGTTACAAAACATTGTGATCAACTACGCCGGACGAACCTTATCTGTCTCTTTTTTCCGATGTAATATACAGAATGTTCGCGTAGTGGAGGAACAGGACAGGGCCGCCTTTATTTTGTAGTGTCCACTGTGATCAAAATTTTAGCAAATAGAATTATTTGGCTATGCAATTATCAGTTTGCAATAAATCTGACATTCTGACTGTGCCTAGGAGTAGGAATCTGCGTTACAAAACAAAGACTCCCCAACTAGATAGTTTGCGGTTTGGGCCAGGCATTTAGTTTGCACTGCTAAAAGATTGCTTATTACAAGTTATACGACTTGCCCTGTATGCCATTTCTCAACTTATAGCTTCGTCCGAAATCGTTTGCGCACGCTGCAGCACGATCGAGCTTTTAACAGTGAACGCGCGCCTGCGCATACGGTAAGGTTCTATAAACGAGTTTTACCATTTATCAAAACATTGAGTATACTAGGAAACTTTAAAAAAAACAATAGAGAAAACAAGCAATTCTAACCTTAAGTTTATGCCGTGCTTCAATCGTTTATTAACTTTTTAAACTAATTATTTATAATATATCCTGTTTTATTAAAGTTTAACATGGGCGTTCATGGTTTGTGGAAGCTGATAGAACCTTCAGGAAAAGTTGTCCCGTTGGATACTCTGGAAGGAAAGGTTTTGGCTGTCGGTATCCTTTTTAAAATTACCGGGAGATAGAATACATAAACGGACACGAAAGTGCAACTTTCAACTTTATTTTTTATTTTTGCACTAATCAATTCACAGTTGAAAGTGCCTATAAGGCGAAACATGTCAAACATTAAAAATAACTTGTAACTTCTTGTAATTAACTTGTAATTACGTTAACACGATAAAACAAAAAAATATATTTAATTAAGAAATTAGTAGGAAAGTAAAATAAATCAGTCTTTTTCTTAACAAATAATTAGATGTATCAATATGGTTGCACCAAGCAATAAAGGGCTACCAAGATTCAAAAGGATCACCAATGCCAAATGCTCATTTACTTACCGTGTACAATAGAGTGTGCAAACTTTTATATTTTCGAATTAAACCAGTATTTGTTTTTGATGGTGGTGTACCAGCTCTAAAGAGAGAAACAATTGTAAGTTTTACATCATAAGTAGAGATGACAAATTAATTCACATGCTTACAGGCTAAGAGAAACCAACTAAAATCAAAAAATCAATCTGAAGCCAACAAAATCCAAAAGCAATTAATCAACACTCTTTTAAAACATTCAGCTGTTACAAAAGTACTCTCAGAGAAAACAAAAGCTGAATTAGGTTCACAAGCAAGAAAAATAACCACCACAAAAAATGATACTGATGATGATTTATTTGTTCTACCTCCCTCACAAACCACATACGAATCTTCAGATTCCTATGATGAATCATATGATGAAACAAGTGGTACATCAGACTCCAGTCCGACGAAATATTTCAACATTCATGATGTGGATGAAAAGTCTATACAATTTAGAAATTTACCGGCGGATGTGCGTCATGAAATCTTAACAGATTTGAAAGAAACGCGTAAACAGAATTCATGGGGTAGAATTCATGAACTTCCTAAACAGTCGGATGATTTTGCAACGTATCAAATGAAACGTTTGTTAAAACGATTCTCGATTCAATCTTGCTTGGAAGAAGCAGAGAAAGAAATGGGCGGTGCAACTCTATCTCTCAATGAATTGGAATCTTTGTTGAATGACCACGGTGTTATTACGGAAAATAAGGGTAATAGAATTGCAAGCGATGAAAATACTAGATATCTGTATATTAAAGATGTAAAAAAAACTTTGGAAAGTACCAAAATAAAGGAGTTGAAAGATATCGAAAAGAATAAACTGCAAGATGAAACGTCAGAGGCTGCCTTCAAACAAGATTTGGAAACTGCTATTCAGTTATCAACTATTACAGAGGAAGGTGAACAAGAGGCCACAACTTTATCTAATGTGGAAAAATCTATTCTAAGTGAAGAAACTAGTTTAGGAGAACACAATGAAAGTAAAGATGCCGAATTGGACCGTGATTTGGAAGCAGCTATTCAATTATCATTACAATCTGAAGATAAACCTTCCGTTGAACTTTCAAAATCAACTGAAGACTTATCAGGTGATATTGATTTTCAAAAGGATTTGGCAGCTGCAATTAAATTGTCTTTGCAAGAAACACCGTCAACATCCTCATCAGTAAACGAAATTATTTTGCCATCGACTTCTCAACAATCTCCAAGATCTCAAGAAGTGGTATGTGATGAAATTAGCTCTAGTGATACAACACCAATGTCGTCTCAAGATATGTTGAATCCAGATTTGGAATTCTCGAATTATTTGGAGACTTTACGAGACTCTGATTTTAACTCATCAGATGATGAAGTCAAGCTTGATGATAGTCTTAAAGAGGGACAGAAAGCAGCGGATAAAATATTTTCAGCCGCACGGAACTACATGATGGAGTATGGAGGATTAACACAAGCTGGTGTTGAAGAAATATTTGGTCAGAATGAACAACTAAATACAAGACCGAAAATCAAAGGAAAATCTGTTAAATTTCATTCAAATCTTATAGCGGTTGCTCAAGGAAAAGAAACATGCGTTCAAACAATTGAACCTGTTTGTACAACCGAAAATGCTAAGATTCCGGACAAAGAAATTGATGTTGGAGTTATGTCACATTCAGATACAAGTTCGGATGACGATTTTGTTGAAGTAGCTGCTGAAAACGCTGATGTTGCTGATGATTTAAAAGATAGTAAGTCGGAAACAAAGTCGATATTACCAGGATTACAAATAGAGTTTAATACTAAGGACGACTTGGTTGATGATATATTCAGTGATATCTTTGCTACTGAACCTTCAGTCACTAAAAATATTGTATCTTCTGAAAAGCCTCCTGAAGCTGAATTATCATTGTCGCAAAAATCTGATGTTAATACGTCGCAAAAATCTGATGTCAATACATCAGTAGATGTAGATACTACAATTGATGATTTTGATACTCAAAAGGCAATTGAGGAATCAATCAACTCCAATGTTGAACAGAATATACCAGAAAAATGTAGTACATCAACTTTATTACAGGAATTAGTTCCACGTACATCTTCATCAGTATCAGGAAATGTTAGTGTTGAGTCTTTACTAAAATTGAAAAGTACTTTGAATCAAGCTTCTGTACAACTAAGGGCTAATCGTGGAACCCAAGAGCGTCTAGCGGGAAATATATCAGATCAAATGTATCAAGAAACGCAAGATTTATTAACCTTGTTTGGAATTCCTTACATCATCGCACCGATGGAGGCGGAAGCACAATGTGCCTTTTTGAACGAGATTAGTTTGACTGATGGAACAATCACTGACGATAGTGATATTTGGTTGTTTGGAGGTAAAACAGTTTACAAGAACTTTTTCAATCATGACAAACAAGTCTTGGAGTTTAGGTCTGAGAGTATTCAACATCATTTCAGTAAGTCATATCATTTTTGTTTATGAAGTGAACCTAATTTTGTTTATTCTGCGTAGAATTAAATCGTCATCAATTAATTTCGTTGGCAATGCTCGTGGGTAGTGATTATACAACAGGAATTCAAGGAATCGGCCCTGTTACAGCTCTTGAAGTTCTTGCAGCATTCCCATCTAAGAGTGATTTTGAAATAATTTCATCGTTAGAACAGTTTCGTGATTGGTTGAAAACCGGAAAGAAAGCGTACGGACGTGGCAAAGCTTTCCTTAGAAATAAATTGAGGAATATTGAGTTACACGATGGTTTTCCTTCTTCAAGTGTTTTAAAAGCGTATCTTGAGCCTACTGTAGAAACTTCGAAGGATACGTTTACATGGGGCAAGCCGCGTGTTGAGGCGTTAATAAATTACACCAGAGATAAATTCGGGTGGAATGCAAAGAAGGTGACAGATACTTTGGACCCTGTTTTGAAGCGTTTAAATGGCAATACTTCTCAGAAAAGAATTCAAGATTACTTCAAAACTGTCTACAAAGCACCCTTGAATACTTCAGTTGATATTCAACAAAAGTTGAGTAAACGCGTGCAAAAAGCATTGGGAAATATTGGCCAAGAAGTTGTTCCATCTTCAAGTGATGAAGATATGACTGGGATAAAAGATGCCGATGAATTAGAGGCATTAGGAGTATTGAAAAAAACCAAAAAGTTGTCTAAACAAAAGAATAAAGCCATACAGCAAGAGGTGGACACTAAATTGGAACTTTTAAATAAAAACAGTTTGGAAACTAAGCCGGGTAGAGAGGAACTTGTGGTGAAGAAGCCACGATTGGCGAATTTACATCGAAAAGAAGTTATTCCTCAACGTGAATTGGCTAAAACAAATCAACTTCAGAACAAAATGAAAGCAATTGAAATGTTTAGAAAGTCAAGAAAAGGTCCTGGTTTTGTTAAGAAACGCACCAAAGTTACGAGAAAACCCAAAGAAGATGCAGAACTATCAGAAAGTGATAGTGATTAATTAATATTGTCAGTATTATGTTGTTATTTTGTGTATTTATAAATTTTTAATATGAGTTTTTTGGTAAATTTTCTTTGTAGGCGCCTGATTATCAGGCAACTAAACGAACCTCTGCTTAGGTGGTTAAGGTGCGTCTGACCGTGTTTTGATAGGTAAGCTTAAGCGGCATCTGGTGAAGACGGTCAACCGCGCCGGTAGTTGTTAATTCAACAGGTAGATGAAAAGTGCGCGCGTCGCTGCCATCGATAAACAGTTGCGCGACGCGACCCGGCATCGCATATCAGCAGGTAGAACGTGAACGGCCGTCGGCACCGGAATACCTCAACGCTACCTGCGCGCGGCGTGTGTGCGTCGAGTGTAATAAAATATATTCGTGCGGGTTCAATGTGGTGGCTGCGAAGTTAAACCAGTCCAGTGTGTGTGGCACATCGCGCCGGGGTCGTCGCGATGCGTTGAAAACAATTCCGTGATTGCGTTGCGCATCGATATTGTGATTCGCGCATTTGTACGCAATGCACTCAAAGAGTTGACTAACATTTTTCGCACTTGGATAGCTGATAACATGGATGTGCGCATGCAGAAGTAGGACCTTTTTGGGACGTTCAGGAAGATTTAAGGATATAAGCGCTGTGCGCTCGAATCGCAAAGGTAAAATAATCAAACTTACGGCCTGGTCGCAAACTTGCCAGTCGGATACCGCTGGTTCTTGTGTTTTTTACACGTAGCAACCGTTCCGGTTCCACTTATTCCGTAACTGCTAAGAGTACGCTCTGTACGATGTTATACTGTTGTTAACTAGCCACCCGTAAAAAATGCTCATCTCTCCAACATCGTTTCATTCGGTTTTATTAGATCTATTACTTTTTTCGAAGTAGAAAAAATGTTTTAGTTAAATCATATTTGCAACAAAATGTTGGAAGCTTAAAGAGTGTTTTGCTATTCATGGTTTGCATACCTTTCTATCAGGCGCGATTGGGTCGCTAAACTTATGATAATCGGAAGCCAACAAACCGTCCAACAGGTGCAACTACTCACAAGTTGCCTTTCTTTCGTTCGAATCTGGTGCGCTCTTCTCGTGGTGCGTGGTTCGCGTGGAGGACACTCTCGTGCCGTTTAAAGTAATTCAAGGTCAAGCGCAATGACATGCCGATGATAAACTAATTGTTTTCTGTGGAGTTCTTCGAATTGCTTTGTAGGAAAACCACTCTTTGGTATGAGACCACCATGCTCCTTGAAAAATAATGAACTAACTACGTTAATTGGATTGTTCTTATCAATACGATGGCGCAACAACCATTTTCCAATTAAGTACTTACATACCATCATATTATTTCCATTATCTGTTTAACCTATTCATTTATTGCAAATTTATGCTAAATAAATGTGTTTTTTTTTAAATTTATATTGATTAAATTAAAACGTCATAATTGGGTATTTACATAATTTATATAATTTTTAATTTTTGATATTTTAAGAGTCAATGTATATTTTTTGAATTTTTGAAAAAAGTTTGTTTCGATATTTAAATTACTGACAAATACTGAGCTCGTACATGTGACATCACATTGCATAATTTATTTGAAATTTTTGACTCTATAATATCCATATAATTACATTATCACGTTCGTAAGTTCTAGACAAGAAAAAAATGCATAAAAATTGATGACAAATAATTATTTTCAGTGAATTCTAACATTAATAATATAAGATATGACATTTAAAAATGATATAATATTATTCTTTGTTTATTGTGTATTTAGGTATATACCTAAATGCGCCGGTATATGAACATTGACATCAAACCAATCACAAAGACTTCACTCTCGTGGCTTTTATGTAATTTAGAACAATTTTTATTTATTTATTGATTTAAAAATTATTTCCTTAATTTACTTTTTTTCTCTATGCTTATTAAAACACATGCAAAATACTGCTCAACACCTGATTTGAAATTTGTTGACGAATTGATGAAGAATGCAGTTTTAATAAAATATAAGTGCAAATAAAGCAAAAGAGCAATAAAATAAAACTTAATGGCATGGAAAATTGTTATATTTGTTGCTAAGAATAACAACATATGTCTTATTGCTCCAATATTCAGAGAATTTTATTGGCAAGAGAACTTAAGCGAGTCGGGAAGTTGAGCAACCCGGTAATCTTGCTTTCAGTTTGAATGCAAGTCTTTCGTTTGCGAAAGCTGTTTTATTGATGAAATTCGAAAGAATTGTGCAAATTTAATTGCAATTCAGCATTAACTAGGAATTGATGTGATGTCTTGAAGCGGTTGTGTGAAAATTATCCTAATTTTGGCGCTTCAACTCTAACGATACTTAGATAGGATAAAATATAAAATTGTGAGAACACGTTGAATTTGAATTTTGTTTTATCTAAGGCGGCAATATGCCATCCTTATTAGGTTTATTAAAATATACCATTAAAATATCAAATAATTCATCAAACAAAAGTAAGAATTATACAAATTTTTCAAAAATAATTAAGAATCTTTATAGACGTTAATGGTATAGGTTGCTTTTTAATGATAAAAACAAGTTCTCATATTTCACAATGCTGAAACATTTTAAAAGTAATGTAAGTTAGGTAAAATAAATCGTCAATAAAAGCATTATCTAAACTAAATTAATAAATGCAGTGGTATTTTTTATTAAAAGAAAATAATGTAGTCAATATTTGTCGGAAAAATATAACTTGCTGGATAAGGGATGTGAGTTGGCATAAAATTCAATTAATAATAGTTATAGTTTCATAAGTGTTTTAAAATAAACATGAAGAATCGTATTGGTGAAGTGGGCACATAATAGGTCCAAAAAACAAAGAAGCAATTAGCTAAACTACTATTTATTAAATATTCGAGGAACAAAGTTGTGTTATTAGGTATATATTTTTTATATCAATACAATATACGCATAGCCTTGTAACCTTGTTTGCAATTTGCATATTAACATTTATCGATAAAATACATAGACACTTCTTTCACAAATTTATTCTTACATTTGTAGTATTTTCATTTGAGTCATGGTGATAGAGGCGTACGTATATAATAACTAGCATCATCAGCGTCATCGTTCACAATAATCGTAAATTTATCAAACAATTGTACAAACTCTGATGTGGTGATGTCGTCAATTGTAAAATTAATATGATGATTGTGCTGGTACGAGAGCTCTTGGCAAAATGAGCATTTACCTGGAAATTACCAACGTTCGTTCGACATGGTCGCGCAACGCATTTTTTTTTTGCTATTAGCTTGCTCACGTTAATGTGATTTATCAAGTAAGTTTAACGTTACGTTTCCAATTATTTAAGATGTTTTGTGTATATTTGGTTTTGGCTTACATCAGGACCGCGTTACAGGTGTTAAACTTACGTTAATAACCACGTGAAACCGTTACGTTACATTTCAGATGATTACTGTTTGTTAGTGATGTTATTTCACTGTCATACAGAATAAGACATTAACTGAGTTGTATTAGTGTTGTTAATAAAATTTCGGTCATAAAAAACTAAATTTGAGTAAAATGTTGGTAGTGAAGACAAAATTGGATAAGTGTGCATAGTACGCACATGCGGCATGTCATATTTGAAGAATAATTCTATGTTCGAGTATATATGTAATATTCATCTTTCATTTTATAGAGCGGCTATAAAACATAAGTAAACTTATTTTAATATATTGTATAGTTGACGATTTCTCACTAGCCTATACCACTTTGACAATTTTCAATCACTTTAATTAAGATAACTTTTTGAATGAATGTTTTAGCCTGAGGTTGTCCACGTTTTTATACCAACGTGTCAAACATTATATATATAAATTAACAAGCGCAAAATTATTGATATTATATCACCCATTAAATTGTTTTTTATTATCTTGAAAGTGTAAAATGAGTGATGAATGACATTGTTGCAATTTTTAACAATTTTGCACACTTCAGCTTTGCACGGTTATTTGTTTATTTTTTAAATCATAATTAAAACAACACTACATTAAAAATAGTATGTAGTACATTCGTACTTAAACAAAATGAACGAGACGACACTATGTGGCATGTGTCGATTCACGTACACACACATGCACCTTATAATTTTACAGTTACGAAAAACTTGAAGCTGCGAAGCTAGAGCTATACCTAGGTGACGTACGTTGGCTCGTGTAAATAGCATACCTGTTAAACGGCGTCATTATCATTATCAGCTCGCAACTCGGCAAACTATGCGCAGAGCGCGTCGGAGAAAAGTTCGTTTTTCCTGCCGCGCACAGTTATACTGCTACATGAATTCGCCGTTGTTTCAACGCCATTTTTCGATTAAGCAGGGACGCCCGATACCCCACAGCGCCCCACGGGCGGGTTACAATTTTCATTATAATAATCATTACGTCACTCCGATTTCCAATAAAACATGAATCCTGAAACAACAGAGAAGCTACGAAACAGTAAATCATCAGGCAAATGGCCAGTTGGAAGTGCATTGAGTCGAGAAACTATTGTTTCGCTTGTTTGAATCGCACACCGATCGATTTATCATTGCCCGGTTTCTAGTTGATGCCCATTATTAGCATGAGTTCGCGCTAGGCAGCAGAGAGATTTAGCTCGCGAGCGATTCGAGTCGGATTAACTGTAAAAGCAATCTGATGACGCGGTGTCGGTATTGGATTGAAGGAATTTTGATTATGCAGTATTAAAATGTGGACATTATTATCTTATTATTTTCCGTATTAATAGAAGAAACCCTAGAAATTAACCTTTCCGCCATCGATTTTCCACTTGTCAATCGCACTTTGCAAAGTTCACGCGGTCAATTACTTATGAATTTGAATAAATTTAGATGATGTAGTTTAGCAGCTATATTAAGTAACAAATATCACAAACAGGTTTGTGAAATTCTAACACGGCGAGTTTCCATCATAAGTTCTCTCCTCGTGGCAACCATCGACCATGCACTTCATTCCACTTCATTCAGTGTCAAGGATAAAGCTCAGCGTACTATTAACACCGCATTGCCCGAAGATATTTACAACGCACAAGCCGTATACAAACATGAATTTACAGAGAAACAACAGTTCATACGTGTTCTCTCTTGGTAGTGGTATGTTAACCGTTCACTTCAATTCATGACCTATGTGCAACATTCACAACATACACGCCAAACACGGACATTTCCAGCGTGTCTATTTATTAATTGAATTAACATAAGCAGGCTGATGCGTGAGATGTTGTATAACAACTCGTTTTTCTGATGTTATGTACGTACACGTGGATGTGTGTCATTGGCGGCCATTTGTCGACTTGCAGCGTGCAGAGAAATCCTGCAAGTGCACAAGCACAAGTTTTCTCGGTCCGCAGAAAGTAATTTAATGCATCAGACATGCTGATTGGAACGAGTGCAGTGTACGTCCAGTCGTACTTAGTTTCCGGTATTTTTATCCGATCGTTTTAAGTGGAGCTGTCGCGAGAGCAATTTATACTTTCGAAATTATATTCATGCCGCTTCAACATGATAGTTCGCATGTATTACTTAAAATTTAAAATATATTTGTATTACTTCATATCTTACTATTAAGTGTATGCTAATTTGTGTTTTGGATATGTCGCAAAAACAATGAGTATCATTACTTTACTGTGTTGACAAATTTGTTCCATGAAAGCCTAAATTGTTGGCTTTATATTAGGCAGGCCCACTTTACAATACAAACGGATATTATGTAAATGACGTTTCGGCAATTCGCCAAAAACTCATCATTTTATTTTTTGTAGCCGACTTTCAACAGACTTTCTAATAAAAACGGACGTGCTCGTTTGTTATAAATTTTGTTGAAATTAATTATGTAGATGCCACCGCATGTTTAAAGACATATTTGTATTTAGGTAATCAATTCTAATACACAACGACTATTTTTCAATCTCCGATGCTATATAAACACATACAACATTTTAAATCTGGTAATTGCCCACAAATTTCTGGCACCTCTTATAAAATATTACAAAATGTAGCACAATATGTCGGCCAAACCAAAAGGATGCCGCTGGAAACAATCTTCTGTTCTTCATCTTAATTATACATATTTATTGTGCCGATATAGCAGATGTGCGCAGACTCAACAAGTTCAAGTTCAATAACAAATAAGACAAAAGAGTATTAAGAATTTTTTACAAAACTACACATATAATTATATTGTTAATCGAGCACAGAACACACCACAAGCCGCTCGATGAAACGCTACGGTTGTTCCTAAATCGACCCAAAAAATATCAAGCTTGATTAGAATATAAAATAGACGTATAATTTTTTATATTAATAAATTAATTAGTTACTTGATGGAAATGCGTAGTACATGAACTTAATTTCATTAACTTCATTCATTAATATAAGTATAATAGTTAGAATTAACTCTTAAATGCTACTTCAAATTACTCAAACTTGCCCATTCTCATATTTGTTCCTAACAACATAGTGTGTGAGCTACGAAACGAGCTGTGTTGATACAGATAATTTAGATAGAGCCGAAAAAGATTGTGTGACGCTTTAATTATGCTTCTTTGGTAATAAAGTGTGTACGACGACATGTGTAGAATGCGATATTGGAATGTACTCGTAAGCATCACATATTTGGGTTGAATGTAATATAAATTAATATTAATTTATTTATTGTATAGTAATGGCGACCTGGTTTTAGTAGATGGTTCGTTATTAGTTTACCTACGGTTTATTTATGACTTTTTCATTTCACTGGAATGAGAAAACTGTTTATGTGATCAAGGTGTTTTTTATGCTAATTGAAATATTTGTGTTGCAGGATTTTTATCATCTGTGGAAGGAATTCAACATGGTTATCGTTACAAGAGTAAGTTTTTTTTTAATTTAAAAGCACCCTTAGCATGAAAGATGGTAACAAACATTAGTTTTGTGCAACTATGTCAGAGTTTTCAATCATTTTTTGGAGGCACATGTAAAACAAATTTTACTTTTGGCATCAAATTACATTTTTCAATTTTTTACTTTTGATTAATCTTTTTGAAGAATATATCAAGAATTGTGGCTATGCGCATTCGTAAATTACAAGCTTTATTGTTATTGTTTTTTTTTTTACAAATATGGAAACTCGTCTATGTCCCCGCAACTTTTTAATGTAAACTAAATCATTTTGCTTGTAAATTAAAAATTAGACCATGTCTAATTGCGTACGCTCCACAATAGAAGAAGAACAAGAGAACACTGCAAATTATAAAACTGCGTAGAGCTAAAAGAGTTGAAGTCTACTCTGCCATGTCGTCGACTCGTAGAGAACTAACTAAGTATAAATAATAATGCGAGAGAGTCGTGATACTATGGTATCCTGTGGATGGTTATAATATCGTTCGAACGCGGAGTTGCTCGTTGTGAGCGCATCAAACAAGTGAATTCGTAACGCCGAGAGTGAAATTGCAGCAAAAAGCATAAAGTTACTCGGTGTAAGCGCTTTGAATGCGTATGACTTAAGAGTGCATTGTTGAACTGCGCCATTGCGCATAAGCGTAAGGCTAAATGCAAAAAGTGCTCTCGTTTTTTTCACGTGCGAACTTCTTGGGTTTGAAGAGAATTGCATATTTGTGATATACAATCTGCGCAAAACAAAATATGGGTGTGGAAAAACGAAGAATATACTTGCTATTGCTAACGACATCATCTTTATTATTATGTACTGTCATTGAAAGGCGATTATAACTATATTAGTATATTTTTAATATAAATTTACTATAATATACCTATAGTTGAGTTTAGTGAAGATACAAAGCATCACTTAAAATTTACTTCATTTCTTGAAATTTTGATACAAAAAAATGCAAAGAAATTTTGACAAATCAGGAGAGGAAAGTTTTAGTCATTAACTGCTCCGTATGGACATATTTAATTTTTTAAAGTATTTGTATTTGTATTTGAATAATTTGCAACATTTGAAGAGTGAAAGAATGAACGATAAAGATTCAAAAGCGAAATTTCTTTGAATCATTGACACTTTTTAATCTACATGACGATGCGCCTTTCGCTATATATGTTATTATATGCCAAACAACAAATAACCCAATTCACACCACACATCCGAGACAACGTGAAACATCGCTCTGAAGATGCGGAACGGTGCGACTTTTATTTTCCAGACAGCAGCGTTTAAAACGAAATTGCCTGTATTTGTATTCATGCATCTGTGCCTTCTCTTTCGCATTAATTTAACTCGTACACACATGAAAGTAGGTATAATAAATAAGTGTAATCAAAACTTTGCAAATCATCATAATTTTTTGTAGCAAAATGAGATACGTATTTATACGGAAGTTTAAGGTGTGGACGTGTTTCGCATATATAATAATTATTCAAAATTGAAAGAATCCGTCAAAATACATTAACAGGGAACACACCTTCTTGGGCACAGAGAGATTAGTTACAATGGATGTGAATACGTTGAATGATGAAGACTGGAATGTTAAGAGTTGTATTCACGAGTTCCATTATTGAACATTCCATTCAAGTATTCTACTCTTTCGTATCGCACACTATGGTTTGGGTTTTTGTTTTGTTTTATTTCCGATGGAACACAATGCACATCCATTGATGCAAATGAGAAATTTAAGTGTTTCACGCACCATCGATTGAAATGTTTGATTGTTTTTTTTTACCGGTAGTGTTGAATTTTTGGCATTCATTCCTTATTCATTGTCTATTCAGCCACGTTCTATTACTACCTAATACAATACGAAAACATACGAGGAATGTGAATATTAATTTATAACTTTTAATTATTAAATCTTTGTTGCATACATATCTTCTGGTTCTTATGTGTAGCGTTTTACCTGGGAGGGAAAACATGTTTATCGTACTTTTATTGTTGATTTCGTTGTATGCGTGGCGAGTTGTACGTGTATGCTCGTTGGAGTTCCGGTCTTTTTGAGGGCAATCTCCGGAAGCGCTCTTCATGGTTTACTAGGTCTCTCGCACCGTGCTGCGATTCAAGAGGCTCGTGCCGGCCGACCACCAGCAAGTCGACGAAATGAGCGTAATGAAATTCTCTCTACCGGTGGCACCACCGCACCCACTACACAATACACAACCAAGTTAAACAACTCTTTATCTCTGCTTCTGCTCGGCAAAACCCACATTATTCGGACGCGACACGCCAACATAACAAAGCCGAATAAAATACGACGCTATTGCAAAATACAAAAAACAACACGAAACAAAGAAGATATCATGCGTATATCTACAAAAACAGTATAATTAACGCGTTTTGTTGTTGGCCATGCTTCTATCTATAGTTTATCGATGCACCGAGTATATAATTGAGATGTTGCGGCATTGAGACTTTTTTCTCTATTGTTTTTAATGGTATTCTTTGTTTTGCTGAAGCATTTCATTGATCAATTGCGCCAATCGCATATTCATTCATTGTACTCACGTATAAAAGCAATTTGACTAACATTTCTTTAGTATCTACACTTACCTATATATAATGTATGTAATAACAGGTGACAAATGTGAAACATCACGGTAATTTGTTACATTATATTATTTACATATGCGCGTGATGAGCCTAGATAGAAATTATAGTTAATAAAATGACAAATCGTGATGAACACCTGGTGCACGTTTCTGTTTATAAACTTTCTAGTATTAAATGAGGAATATTTATTGTCCCCAATCAATTTAACATAATCATAGTAGCTACCAATTCAATAATTTTTTTTTTAAATACATGGGAAGTTTAAAAGAAAAGTCTACTTTCCCAAGTAGTCTGGTGGTTTTATTTAAAGCATATATTGTTTGATAATTTCAGGGTGATTACATTTGGATAGAACCAGTCGCCGCAAGTGAATTCGATGTGGCAATCGGCGCCAGAGTGGTATCAGCGGAAGGACGCCGCATTGCTGTCCGCGATGACGACGCCGAAGAACACTGGTTATCACCTGATAGACGCATCAAAGCGATGCATACCACATCTATCCATGGCGTCGAAGACATGATAGGTCTCGGCGACTTGCACGAAGCCGGAATTTTACGTAACTTGCTGATTAGATACAATGAGAATTTAATTTATGTATGTTTTATAGTTATCTTTTATATATCATCATTACTAATCTGTATTTTTGTAGACATATACTGGAAGTATTCTGGTCGCTGTTAATCCATATCAGATTTTGCCTATTTACACGGCTGAACAGATCAAATTGTATAAAGAACGAAAAATAGGAGAACTTCCTCCGCATATTTTTGCCATCGGTGACAACTCGTATGCAAGCATGCGAAGATATGGCCAGGATCAATGTATAGTCATCTCTGGTGAATCTGGTGCAGGTAAAACTGAAAGCACGAAATTGATACTGCAATATTTAGCGGCGATTAGTGGAAAACATTCGTGGATAGAACAACAAATTCTCGAAGCCAATCCAATACTTGAAGCATTTGGTAATGCCAAAACTGTCCGAAATGATAATAGTTCCAGGTATTAAGATGAAATAACACGTTTTTAAGTTTCCAACTAAGTAATGAATGTGATGTTTTGTTTTAGATTTGGAAAATATATCGATATTCATTTCAACAGTGCGGGTGTCATTGAAGGTGCCAAAATCGAACAATATTTATTAGAAAAATCACGTATAGTATCCCAGAATCCCGATGAACGTAATTACCATATTTTCTATTGTCTATTGGCTGGTTTAAGCAAAGAGGATAAACGAAAATTGGAACTAGGCGACGCTTCCCAGTATAGATACTTAACTGGTGGTGGAAGCACAACTTGTGAAGGAAGAAATGACGCGGCGGAGTTTGCTGATATTCGAAGCGCTATGAAGGTTCTTCTCTTTGCTGATAATGAAATTTGGGAGATATTAAAACTGCTAGCTGCACTGTTACACACTGGTAATATAAAATACAAAGCAACTGTGGTCGATAATTTGGATGCGACTGAAATTCCGGATCCAACCAATGTGCAACGCGTCGCCAACTTATTGGGTGTTCCAACTCAACCGTTAATACACGCATTAACTCGCAAAACGCTGTTTGCTCATGGTGAAACAGTAATTTCTACGTTGTCTCGAGAACAAAGTGTCGACGTACGTGATGCGTTCGTCAAAGGCATCTACGGACGTCTGTTCGTAATGATTGTGAAGAAGATTAACAACGCTATTTATCGTCCTAAAGAAAGACAGCGCAGTTCAATCGGAGTGTTAGACATCTTCGGATTCGAAAACTTTAACCACAATAGCTTTGAACAATTTTGTATTAATTTTGCCAATGAAAATCTTCAACAATTCTTTGTGCGACATATATTCAAACTGGAACAAGAAGAATATAATTTGGAAGGTATTAATTGGCAACATATTGAATTTGTTGACAATCAAGATGCGCTTGATTTGATTGCAATCAAACAACTGAACATTATGGCTTTAATTGATGAGGAAAGTAAATTTCCGAAAGGAACAGATCAAACCTTATTAGCTAAACTGCACAAAACACACAGTGCTCATCGAAATTACCTTAAACCTAAATCTGACATTAATACAAGTTTTGGTTTGAATCACTTTGCTGGTGTGGTGTTTTATGACACACGTGGTTTTCTAGAAAAGAATCGAGATACTTTTAGCGCTGATTTATTGCAGTTGATAACAATCAGTAGTAATAAGTTTTTACAACAACTTTTCACCAGTGATATTGGTATGGGTGCGGAAACGCGAAAACGTGCACCAACTTTATCAACCCAGTTCAAGAAAAGTTTGGACGCGCTTATGAAGACATTATCAAATTGCCAACCGTTTTTCATTCGATGTATCAAACCCAATGAGTTTAAGAAACCGATGATGTTTGATAGGACATTGTGTTGCCGCCAGCTTAGATATTCTGGAATGATGGAAACTATTCGGATACGTCGAGCGGGATATCCAATTCGTCATACATTCCCCGAGTTTGTGGAACGTTATAGATTTTTGATTAGTGGTATTCCACCATCGCATCGCACAGATTGTAGAGCTGCAACTGCCAAAATTTGTGGAGCGGTTTTAGGACGATCTGATTATCAACTTGGACACACTAAAGTATTCCTTAAGGACGCACATGATTTATTCTTAGAACAAGAAAGAGATCGTGTCTTGACGAAGAAGATTCTGATTCTTCAAAGGTCTATCAGAGGATGGGTATATCGCCGTCGTTTCTTAAGATTGAGAGCAGCTACTATGATTATTCAGAAATACTGGAAGGGTTACATTCAAAGACAACGCTATCGTAAAATGCGTGTGGGTTACATGCGCTTGCAGGCTTTGATTCGAGCTCGCGTTTTGTCACATCGCTTTCGCCACCTACGCGGTCACATTGTTGGGTTGCAAGCACATGCACGTGGTTATCTCGTGCGTCGTGAATATGGTCATAAAATGTGGGCCATCATCAAAATTCAGTCCAACGTGCGTCGCATGATTGCTCAGCGAAGATTTAAGAAAAGTAAGTTTGAGCGTAGGAATCATGTGGAAGCTTTGCGTCTTATGAAAAAAGAAGAACGTGATCTGAAAGATGCGGGTAATAAGCGGGCCAAAGAAATTGCCGAGCAAAACTACAGAGAAAGAATGTTTGAGTTGGAGCGAAAAGAAATGGAATTGGAGATAGAAGAACGCAGGCGCGTGGAGGTCAAAAAGAATATCATTAATGATGCTGCTCGCAAAGCGGATGAACCTGTGGATGATTCGAAATTGGTTGAAGCAATGTTTGATTTTCTTCCTGACAGTTCCAGTGAAGCACCTACGCCTGGTCGCGAGACATCTGTATTCAATGATTTGCCTTCTCAACCCGCTGATGTTGAGCATATTAGTCCGATGGTTACACAATCAGAGGATGAAGAAGATCTGTCTGAATTTAAATTCCAAAAATTTGCCGCAACATACTTCCAAGGGAATATTGGTCATCAGTATTCTAGGAAGCCATTGAAAAATCCATTATTACCATTACATACACAGGGAGATCAATTAGCAGCTCAAGCATTATGGATAACAATTCTTCGTTTTACTGGTGATTTATCAGAACCTCGTTATCATTCCATGGACCGGGACAACACCTCTGTTATGTCTAAAGTTACAGCCACACTCGGTCGAAATTTCATACGTAGCAAAGAATTTCAAGAAGCACAACTCATGGGAATGGATCCTGATTCATTCATGAAGCAGAAACCACGTTCAATACGCAATAAGCTTGTTTCCTTAACACTTAAACGTAAAAATAAGCTGGGTGAAGACGTGCGTCGCAAGTTGCAAGATGAAGAATATACAGCAGATAGTTATCAAAGTTGGTTAGAGTCAAGGCCTACAAGTAATCTGGAAAAGCTACATTTTATCATAGGACATGGTATTTTACGTGCTGAACTGCGAGATGAAATTTATTGTCAGATTTGTAAACAACTTACAAACAATCCGTCCAAATCATCTCACGCTCGTGGTTGGATCCTTTTGTCACTTTGTGTAGGTTGCTTTGCACCATCTGAAAAATTTGTCAATTATTTGCGCGCGTTTATTCGTGAGGGGCCACCAGGGTATGCTCCTTACTGCGAGGACAGATTAAAGCGTACTTTTAATAATGGCACCAGGAATCAACCACCTAGTTGGTTGGAATTACAAGCAACCAAATCGAAAAAACCTATAATGCTTCCAATTACATTTATGGATGGCAATACAAAAACGTTATTAGCGGACTCGGCGACTACTGCTCGAGAACTGTGCAATCAACTATCAGATAAAATCGGACTTAAGGATCAGTTTGGGTTTTCTTTATATATAGCTTTGTTTGATAAAGTCTCCAGTTTAGGAAGCGGTGGAGATCATGTAATGGATGCAATCTCACAGTGCGAACAATACGCAAAAGAACAAGGCGCACAAGAACGTAATGCACCATGGCGTCTTTTCTTCCGTAAGGAAATTTTTGCGCCATGGCATGAACCTACAGAGGACCAAGTTGCTACTAATTTAATTTATCAACAAGTTGTACGAGGAGTCAAATTCGGCGAATATCGCTGCGACAAGGAAGAAGACTTGGCCATGATTGCAGCGCAACAGTATTACATCGAATATAATACCGATATGAACAGCGAACGACTTTTAACTTTGCTTCCTAATTATATTCCTGATTATTGTTTAACTGGCGTGGAAAAAGCCGTTGATCGATGGGGTGCTTTGGTCGTACAAGCTTATAAAAAGAGTTATTATCTGAAAGAAAAGGTGCTCACACTACGCGTCAAAGAAGATGTGGTCTCCTATGCAAAGTTCAAGTGGCCCTTACTGTTTTCAAGATTTTATGAAGCCTACCGTAATTCTGGCCCTAATTTGCCTAAAAATGATGTTATTATTGCGGTAAATTGGACTGGTGTATATGTTGTCGATGATCAAGAGCAAGTTCTATTGGAATTGTCCTTCCCGGAGATTACTACTGTATCCAGTCAGAAGACAAATAAAGTGTTTACACAAACGTTTAGTTTGAGTACTGTGCGTGGTGAAGAGTTCACTTTCCAAAGTCCAAATGCGGAAGATATTCGGGATTTAGTTGTGTATTTCCTTGAAGGATTAAAGAAGAGATCGAAATTTGTAATTGCATTACAGGTATGCAAGAATACTACTTTTAAAATAGTAATAAACAATTAAAATTCTTTCTCAGGATTACAAAGCCCCAGGAGAAGGATCGAGCTTTTTAACATTCCTTAAAGGTGATTTAATTATTTTGGAGGAAGACAGCACGGGTGAGACAGTCCTTAACAGCGGTTGGTGTGTTGGAAGATGTGAAAGGACGCAAGAGAAGGGCGACTTCCCTGCCGAAACTGTGTATGTTTTGCCATGTATGTCAAAACCACCTGCTGATATTCTACATCTATTTTCTATCGAAGGTTTGTATCTACTTTATTGATTTGTTAATATTTATGTGTTAAATTGAATGGGTTTATGGGATACAAAGCAATTTTTTTATCTTTTTGGATAAAACAAAATATTGTGCCCAATTACAAATCGTGACATAGCATAAATGGGAAGCAATTGCACTGACGGAATAATAGAAAGTTAAGCGTAGAAGATCGTGCGCGCACTCGTGCTCGGTTTGCCGGTTGAAAAGAGCAAATACTCTTGCGCACATTCATGAATATTATGCATCTATTAGAATGTGCGGTCGGTACACACAGCATTCTGTCCTTGAAGATACTTAGGTCAAATCTTTACTTTGCTGACGATCTCCTGCACTAAAACACCTCTCAATACTGCGGTAAAGCAATCTGTTGAACAATCTTTAAATGCCAAAGAAAGTCTCCAAAGGTGCAGCTTTATGTAACGTTGAAATGTAATCACTCTCAGTTTCGATTTGCATTGCACTGCAACAAAACCGCATTTACTATTATTATCTCCGCAATGCATTCCTTCAAACGGTTTCAATTCAATTCGTCATCTTTTTGTTCCTCGTCTTTTAAAGTATTCGAAAATAAAAATGGTATATATTTAAATTGTGAAGGTATGGAGTGGTTAAACCTTTAAGTGATTTTGGTTTGTTTGTTTAAATTTAAGGTGCAGAACATGGAAAACGTTTATCTCAACAATATACAAATGGCACCGAAACACGAGATCGTCCACATACCCTTGCCGAGTATTCACTTGATCATTTCCGCACCCCAGCGAAGCGCACCATGTCCAAGGCTCTCACGTTAACTTCAGCCAGACGTTCTGTTGATGATCTTTGGCGTCACAGCCGTGATCCAATAAAACAACCTTTGCTCAAAAAACTCTTGGCAAAAGAAGAACTTGCCGAAGAGGCAGCTTTTGCTTTTAGCGCCATTTTGAAATACATGGGTGACCTTCCCTCTAAACGTCCTCGCATGGGAAACGAATACACCGATCACATCTTTGATGGCCCGTTAAAGCACGAAATTCTGCGGGACGAGATCTATTGTCAAATAATGAAGCAACTGACAGACAATCGCAATCGATTGAGTGAAGAACGCGGCTGGGAACTAATGTGGTTGGCGACTGGTTTATTCACTTGTTCGCAGAGTCTGCTCAAAGAACTGACGTTGTTTTTGCGAAGTAGACGACATCCTATTTCGCAGGATTCATTACAGCGTTTGCAAAAGACGATGCGCAACGGGCAACGCAAGTACCCGCCACATCAAGTTGAGGTCGAAGCCATTCAACACAAAACCACGCAGATCTTCCACAAAGTTTACTTCCCCGATGACACGGACGAAGCATTCGAAGTAGATTCTAGTACGAGGGCCAAGGATTTCTGTATGAACATAAGTCAACGATTGAGTTTACGTAGCAGTGAAGGATTTAGTTTGTTTGTAAAAATTGCTGATAAGGTAAGAAAACAAATACTTGCTTTTAATACAATTTATTTATGAATTTTATTATTTAGGTAATTAGTGTACCAGAAGGTGACTTCTTCTTTGATTTTGTTCGACACCTCACTGATTGGATTCGTAAGGCACGACCGAGTCGCGATGGGGTAACACCACAGTTTTCGTACCAAGTGTTCTTCATGAAGAAATTATGGACGAACACTGTGCCTGGAAAAGACCGGAACGCCGACTTAATCTTCCACTTCCACCAGGAATTACCTAAGTTAATTCGTGGGTATCACAAGTGCACCAAGGAGGAGGCATCCAAATTGGCTGCTCTTGTCTATCGCGTACGATTCGGAGAGAGCAAACAAGAATTACAAGCAATTCCGTAAGTAAATAATGTATTTTTGTTAAACAATGGAATATATGACGGTTATTTTTCTCAGGCAAATGTTACGTGAACTTATACCATCCGACCTCATCAAAATACAAAGTGCCAATGATTGGAAACGTCTAATCGTCGCGTCTTACAATCAAGACGCGGGAATGTCACCTGAGGACGCCAAAATTACCTTCTTGAAGATAGTCTACAGGTGGCCAACTTTTGGGTCCGCATTCTTTGAGGTCAAACAGACTACCGACCCGAATTATCCGGAAATGCTTTTGATTGCCATTAACAAACATGGCGTCAGTCTAATTCATCCGCATTCAAAGGTATGTAATTGCTCGTTACGGAATAGAGCTTCAATTAAATGTTTTTAAGTTATTAAGTCCTGTTTGGATGCTTATTGCGCATGAACACGCGAAATTCTTGTTTACAATCTATTCAGAGATTTGAGCATAGATACATTTATCCCAGATGGCATAACAGATTTAGGTGGATGGAGACAATACTATATTATGTAGTATTTTCCCACAATTTTCTGAATTCTTTATTATTATGGACGTGAGTTGTCTGTTTGCTGGTGTTTTGAGTCGTGCTATCCAACACTTCTAGGCAATGTATCGTATTCACGAGTGTTCAGACTTCCGGTAATTAAATGGTATCTCAGAACATTCACGTTAGGTTTTAATTAGTTTTGTGCATATGAAATAAGCGCATAACAGTTTTTATAGCTTAATTAATCAAATCGAATTGTTGATTAATAATATTGCCATTTCGAATTGCAGGAAATATTGGTTACTCATCCATTTACTCGGATATCCAACTGGTCATCCGGCAACACATATTTCCACATGACCATCGGTAACTTGGTGCGTGGATCCAAATTGCTATGTGAAACATCGTTGGGATACAAAATGGATGACTTGCTGACGTCGTACATATCACTTATGCTCACCAACATGAATAAGCAGCGAAGCATCAGAATTAAATAATTGAAACAATTGCAATATTAATTTACATATTTCAGTTTTAATTAATTATAAACGTATTAAGCATGGGTAAAAAAGACATTTATTTAACAGTAAATTCGATTCAACGCCGTCCACAATGAAACGGAAATAGAAGTGTGTATTACAGTCGTAAATATTATATCTGCTGATGTTTTATTTTATGTATTTTAAAGCTATAATCATCAATTTATTGCCTTGTCGCCTCTTATGATTGTAATAGTCGTTTCTTAAATTTTATTTGTTATTTTATTTATGAATAATTAATTCTTATTTTTGAGTATGTTTGTGAACGTATTAATTTCTTATAATAGTATGGATCTGGAGATAATATATTATGATATTGAATTATATTTGATGATTGATTAAATAAATGTTTTGTAAATACCTCGTAAACTATTTATAACGTACTTAAGTTTTCCTATAATACAAAAATTTATATAATTTTCTTTATTGGCATTATTTAAAAAAAATTGAAAACATGGTGTCGAAAACACCCAGTATCTTGCGAACTAATTGACTTTTTTAGAGTTTCGCAGCACCATATTAATGCTCAAAAGTACTTCTATACGACCCATACCTTTTCAATCTTCTAGCCCTTTCGGAAGTACTCTAAAATGCGCATTAAAAATTGGCATTTTTCAAAAAAATTGAAAACATGCAGTGAAAAACACCCTGTACCTCGAGAACTATTTGACTTTTTTGTAGTTTCTTACCGCCATGTAAAATTTTGAGAGTATTTCTACGCGATCTATATCTTTCTAACCCCCTAACCTCCTGGAAGTGCCCTAAAAAGCACTTCAAAAATAGCCATTTTTGTCCTAAAAATTTCATTTTTTGGTTGAATAACAGGGTCGAACTTGTTTGTTACATTTTTTTTCGGTCGAAGAACAGGGTCGAACTTTTTTTTAAATTTTTTTGATCAAAGTTTAAGGTAGAATTTTTTTTTGAATAACAGAGGTGAGCTTTTTTCTACTTTTTTTTTCATGAACTACAGAGTTGAACTTTTTTCTTAAAATGTTTCTGTGGAAACATTAAATTAAAAAATTGAAATTTTGAATTCATGATTGATAAAACAGTATTTTTTTAAATTAATAAAAGTTATTAATTATGAAAAAAATGGCGGAGGTGCTTGACATTTAAATGAGTTGTTGAATTAATTATTAAGAACTACCTCATTGTATAGAGGGGCTCTTAATGATAAAATTTAAACAACTTTTTTCCTAATAGCAGTAAGGCTTCTTCCTGCAAATCTCATAAGTGAAATGTGCACTCCCATCGAGACTTAAGAATCAATTATCACAGGAACTAACAGAGATAAACAAAAACCAAAACCACCCCGATGTTCAGCATTAAATTCTAGATAAGACGAAATTTAAAAAAATTGAAATATAACATGTGCCTAAAAAATTTTCCAACACGGTTTTCTCGGAAAATAATAAAGTTAGTTAAAAACTTTCTTTATTTTGTTCATGCCGTGATAAGGATCTATAAAATGGCAGATTTAGTTTTTCCATTTTCCAAAGTTGATCAAAAACCACTCAAAAAGATCAAGAGGTTACACTTGACTCTTTTTGAACACAAAAAAAAATTTTTAAGCTAGAACAAAATGGAAAACGCTAATCGATTAAGTTTTTCAATGGGATGAAAGATATGAAGTTACTTTTCCGATAACATCATTATTTCGGAAAATGGGTGGAAAATTCTAAACTGATAAAATAAAACCACTTTTCCGATTTACCCCAAATGTTTTCAATTAAAGTAAGACATCTTCAGGATTCCATTAATCCAGGTTTGATTGCCCTATCTTAATTAGTTTTCATGTTATGGACCATTTATAATTATTACGTAAGTGTTGATCACTGAAAATTTTAACATGTTTTATAATGTTAAATATAAATCTACATTCAAATATGAAAATCGTTTTTCTCTATCTCTTTTTTTTAAATTTTTTTCCTCAAATTACAGAAACAAACTTTTTTCTTAACATTTTTCCTCAATATTTTAACAACTTCTTAAATTTTAATTTAAATATTTAAGAGTAATATTTTTTACAACTTATCATTTAGCTCCTGTTGACAGTTTTAAAGTAATTTGAATAAAGACAAAATTAGACATAGTTAGAGTGATTATTATTAAAACGCTTTATTTTAGAGTAAACTTTTATTTAGTTAAATTATGTAAAATCGCATGTTTTTCAATATTCGGTTATGAAAAAGTAAAATTTTCTATTTTTATTTTTTGTTTAGGGAAACCAGTTTTTCGCACTTATCTTGAAAACCATTAGAGATAGAGAAATACGGTTTTCATATTAGATTGTTGATTTACATTTAACATTATATAACATATTAAAATTTTCAGTTATCAACACTTACGTAATAATTAAAAATGGTCAATAACATGAAAACTAATAAAGATAGGGCAACCAAACCTGGATTAATGGAATCCTGGTGATGTCTTACTTCAATTGGAAACAATTGGGGTAAATCGGAAAAGTCGTTTTATTCGATCAGTTTAGAATTAACCACCCATTTTCCAAAATAATGATGTTATCGGAAAACTGACTTCATATCTTTCATCCCATTGAAAAACTCAATCAATTAGCGTTTTCCATTTTCTTCTAGCTTAAAAATTTTTTTTTGAGTCCAAAAAGAGTCAAGTGTAACCTCTTGATCTTTTTGAGTGGTTTTTGATCAACTTTGGAAAATGGAAAAACTAAATCTGCCATTTTATAGATCCTTATTACGGCATGAACAAAATGAAGAAAGTTTTTTACTAACTTTATTATTTTCCGAGAAAATTGCGGTGGAAAATTTTTTAGGCACATGTTATATTTTAATTTTTTAAATGTTATCTTATTTAGGATTTGATGCTGAACATCGGGGTATTTTTGGTTTTTGTTTAACACTATTAGTTCCTGAGATAATTGATTCTTAAGTCTCGATGGGAGTGCACATTTCACTTAATGAGATTTACCGGAAGAAGCCTTACTGCTATTAGGGGAAAAGTTGTTTAAAGTTTATCATTGCGAGCCTCTCTACACAATGAGGCTCTCAATAATTAATTAAACAACTCTTTTAAATGTCAGGCGCCTCCGCCAATTTTTTCAGAATTAATAACTTTTATTAACTTTAAAAAAATACTGTTTTATTAATCAGGAATTCAAAATTTCCACTTTTTAATTTAAGTTATCGACAGAAAAATTTAAAGAAAAAAGTTTGACTTTGCTGTTCCTTCAAAAAAAAATTAAGAAAAAAGTTCAACTCTGTTATTCGACCAAAAAAATTCGACCTTGTTCTTTGACCAAAAAATTTGTTTTAAAAATTCGACCCTGCTCTTCAACCGAAAAAAAATTTAACAAACAAATTCGACTCTGTTATTCGACCAAAAACTAAAATTTTTGAGACAAAAATATCTATATTTGAAGTGCTTTTTAGGGCACTTCTGGAAGGGTTAGGGGGTTGGATAGATATGGATCGGGTAGAAAGACTCTCGAACTTTGACATGGCGGTAAGAAACTATAAAAAAGTCAAATAGTTCTCGAGATACAGGGTATTTTCCACATAATGTTTAAATTTTTTTTGAAAAATGCCAATTTTTAAAGAGCATTTTAGGACACTTCCGGAAAGGCTAGAAGATTAAAAACGTATGCATCCTGTAGAGAGACTTTCGAACTTTAACATGGTGATAAGAAACTACAAAAAAGTCAAATAGTTCTCGAGATACAGGGTGTTTTCAACACCATATTTTCAATAATTTTTTATTTTATAATAAATCAACAGACATTATGTAATATATAATTCATTACCATGTAGTATGTAGTATGTATGTAGTATGTAATATGAATTATCTTTAATTTCTTGTGTTCACTTTAATAATGTAGATCATTGAAACTTGCCCATCCCATCCCATCCCATCGTTGTTGCCACGAAGTATAGATACACAGGAGCCCACAGGAGGTGCACTATTATAAACATAAATCATATTTAAAAACAATAGTTTTACGAGAAGGTAACAAATTTCTCAACCTTACCTTGTTCTGCAGGACAAGAAGACATACCAACCCTATACATTAGTTTTAAGACATTTTCATTGATCTGATAATTTTATTTTAAATTATAATCTACTAAAAGCATGCAAACCCTTTATTTTATTTTAAAAATGTACTATTTATTGTTCAATTGAATTTTAATACATATATCTGTTCCATCAAGTGATTACGCGGATGTCCAAATATAGCAACTATTTAATTTAAAAGTCGTTATTTTGTAATTAAATAAAAATAGACTGTGCGCGTAGTGTATGTAAATCATATACGAATTAATTTACTTTTCGGTCTATCTACACCCAGAATTCAGTATAAAATTAATTCCAAACTTATGAAATCAACATTAAAATAAACAATAATGCATATATTGACTTTGATTTACTTTAGTTTATACCTTGCTCAAATAAAATGTATCGAAGTGAGTAACATAATGCGCTTTACATCTTATTTATACAGTTTATATTAATTTTAGTGGTCCAGCCAAAAAACGTATACCGTTGTACTTCAACGATGCGAGTTGAATTCATACAACATATCATATTTGGCACATGCCAGTCTTAAATGTTTTAAATTAAATCGAAAAGATTTTGGATTCAACCAAACTTTTGACTTGGTAGCTCCGATTGATAAACAGGATAAAGTAAATAATTAAATAATTAACCTTTTTCATCTTCCACCTATAAAGCGCCAGTTTTTCAATGGCTTTTAGACGCAAAAAAAATACGGACTCAGGCGTGAGTAAAGTACTTTACAGACCATATGAAATGCCTTGCGCCGCCAGTCAATAACACATTTATAATAAGACATTTATAAGCTTACATTTCCCATCAGTGTGTGAGTGAATTTCGAAGATTTAAAATTCAAAAGTTCAAATACAAAAAATTAAACGTGTAAATAGAGTGGAAGTAGAAAAAACAGCGTAAGCATCATATGGCTAAACGTTGTTAAACAACCAGTAAAGTCCTCGTTTGGCTACTTGATACTTAATATTAAATCATAAATTAATTTAATTAAATTAATTTCGTACTTACCCAATAATATTTTATTTTAAGGTTACACTGCAAATATTAATTTACCGCCGCATCAACAACGATTATCGCCACAAATTAGGTGAATTTGAAATGAATTACTGCGACGTTATTGCGCGACATTTCTTTAATGTTGTTGAAATGCGTTATGAAGATGGCACAGTATTATCAAAGTGTCCTGTGAGGAAAGGAATACATCAAGCAATAAATCAAAAATTTGGCGGTAGTAACTTTCCTGCAAATGTTCCAGCAGGTTTCTATAAATTAATGCTTTTATTTAATTGTAAAAAGACTTCTGCATTAAGTGTTAGTTATTATATAGAGATTGTATATAAACAAATTTAATCAGTTAATTTAATTAATTATGCATCTAATTTTTCGCTTCTTAGCTCTGGAAATATTTGGTCTTGAACATTTTGGTAAAAGTTATAAGATCATTTTTTGTTCTGATCATTCCGATTATGTCAGAAATAAATTCAATTATTTTAAAGTAACTGTAGAAATATAATGAATCTGCCCTTAGTTTCCTTAGTTGCTAACAATGCTTTATGGGTTTCTATGAGCAGTCGTTGTGTTTTACAGTAGACAGCTTGCTAGTTTTATTCAAAAACCCTCCTTTTTTCTTGTGTCTATAGAATGGAAAACGACAGATTGGCGAAATGGGCAATGTTTGAAAAACCTAACAAGATAAGACCATTCTATTTAAATTGTGAGTAATTCGTAATCATCCCTAATTTATTGTACAGTATAAGTTACATGCAACGTCCGTGATCTGTATATTTCAAATGAAAGTCAATGGTACAACTATATATTATATATCCTTACATCTCCCTGGAATATCATCATTTCATTTGCATGCCTCAACGAGGTAATTTTCGTTAAAATGATTTAAATATTTTTAAAAAGTGTGATAACTTACCAATAAAAATTAATAAGTAAAGCAATTCGTGTGAGTAAAGAAGAAATAATGTAATTTAAGACACGGAAATAAAAGGAAGTAGTTACCATGTTTCCACCATATTGTTTAATTTTTAGTTCACATGCTTATTTATTTTTACTTGTAATCTTGGAAACATTCCCACGCAAATAATTAATAAGATGGTCTGAAAATAAGATACGATGAACGTGGTTGTATGGCTAATTTAATGTGTACTTTCCTTCAAAACAAAAGGAAGATATTAAGCGACCGAAAAAAAAACGAACAAACATGGATATCCCTGCTTTAATAACAACATAAATTATTAAGACACAAGGTTGCAGATTTATAATTATTACCAAACCCACTTTTTGACTGTCCTTACTTCCATGCATTTTGCAACAACAAACAACTTTGATTCAACTTTTCCTTCGCCATTCATGCAATGTGGTGAGAAGCAGATAGCTTAAATTACTGATCTAGTCGACAATGTTGATGGACACAAATATACGAGCAACGTAAGAAAAGAAACAATAGCAGTCAACAAAGCCAAAGTTTATATTTTACGGAGTGCGAATGCCCGAATGCCATCCACAGCAGTACCACGCAACGCACCGGGAGTACAGCGCTGTTCGTTATATCTGATTCTTTAATAATTAGATCTCCCCAGTTGTATTGTGTTGTGCGCCGCGCGGCGCGGCAGAATATGAGTGTGCATGTTAATCAACGGGGCCCCCGTTCCCAGGGCCTTTAATAATAATCCGCAATGAGATCATTACATATTTTTCTCACAACAACTCGCAAGCGGCAGGCAGGCGAGTTTGCTACCAACGACCGACGACGGTTTTATTGTTTCGTTTTTCTTCCTTTTTGTGTAAAATACGCGCGGTTATCAAGCTAAACAATAGCGAATGCACAAAGCAGTTTCTAATATAAGTGTGAGAAAAAGTCGCCCGCAACAGAAAAAAACACAGAAAATCATAAAAATTACAAACAGCAGCAAGATAACAGTCGTAATTGAGATATGTTTATTTCGCTCCATTCGTCCTCGTTCATTGTGAACGCTTCAAAACTTAAAACATTTAAGTTCAGAGTTTTATATATTATGTACACATTCGCAGTATCATTGCAGCATCAGTGACTTGGGTTACGCCGTTCTATATTATATAAATATGTTTATAAAATTTAACTTGTTCGTTGGCTTGCAGTTTCATAGAGAGATTCGTCTTACATCTGAGTCAACATAGTAAAATTTAAAAATATTCAATACTATATAGTCAGCTAACATTACATACTATTAATACTATGTTTGCTAATGAGTGACTTATCAAATTAGCGTCGATAGTAAAATACAGCTTTGGCCTATAAAAAAATATCTTACATTTACATTAATTTACTGCCTTCTTCAGTTCCATCGTCCGAAATATAAATAATTATTTTTTAAGATACGTGCACAATTAAATCCTCAATAAAACTCGCAATCGTATCTTTCACATCTCAATAATCACAAAAGATTTATAAATACACTGTGTTGCGCGACACATCCATAATTAAGTTCATGCCGAAATACAATCTAGTCAAATTTAGTGCATTCCAGTATTCCACTGCTCGTTGCTCATGGGCGCCGTCGGTGCATTAGCCCTCTGTCCGGTGCGCATAATATCGTCCGCCGGCGGACAATGTGGCCTCGGACCTGGTTCTGGCGTGTAAGTAAATGTTAATCCAGTAGCGTATATGATGCCATCGTTTCGAACCAGTGAAACTGGGACTTGCGTCGGTTGTCGCACCCAGAGCCACTCACCTCGAAACTGTGAGATGTCTGGCACCACACAGAGCATACTCTCCTGGCACCTGTACATTGTCTCAGCTTCTACATCACCAAACCAAACTTGCAAATTTGGGGAAAAGTTATCCCCCGTTAGTTCGAGCATAGCAACATCGCCACCTCCATTAAGATGAAGACTATGCACAAGTGGAACTGGTGTCACAGGTGATCGAACAGGTCCCATACCTTCATAATACTGATATTCGGCTTTGTCCGTCGAAATGATTGTCCAGCAAGCACCATCATTGATCATCTCCTTGTTAGGCTCCTTGGGACATGGCGTTGCTTGAAACTGAATAATGCGCTCCTGAGAAAGACACAGGTACATCCGATCGGTGTCTTTCATGTAAAACGCGCATTTGTGAAGTTGAGAAACTGGATCATCTGCCTCTAAAAGTGCTTGTTGTTTGTCCACCTGTATGATAAAATAAAGTCATTAAGAAACATGCTCAATAGTTTTAATATTATCGTATAAATTACCTTTCTAATTATTAATCTTGGTAGAGCCATGCCTGTTACTGAGCAGACTAACTTCACAGTAGCACCATAATGAATGTAACCATCTCTAACTTGAAACTCTTCACTTTCTGACTCATTATCATCTAATAAATGTATTGTAAAAGCTCCCCATTGAGTAGAACTTGCATGAAAGTGTCCATTTTCAACATGAAGGTACCTTGTGCTCACTGTTTGTGATCTTAATCTATTAAACAATGCTACTTTAGTGCCACTTGCAATGCACAGATCTGCATTCTTCAAACTTTGTTTCTTCTTAGATGGTTTTGATATTACTTTAATACGCTTACTGTGAAACACTCCAATATCTTGTCCAGAACCATAGAACATCTTCACTGACAACATGAAATGCTTACGCTTGTCTGAATCAGAAATGTACAAAGTTTTGGCTGCACAATACTGCTTGCCATTGTTTAAATCTAACTGCTGCATATCTTGGTCAGAATTGCCAATTCCAATAAATGCACACAGTTGTGAGGCTTGTTCAGATTCACCTTCTCTTTGCATTTGGTCTTGCCTCAGTCTCCAGCCATCACCAAAGAGATAAATGCAGGGTGGTGGGCAAAAGAAGCGTTTTTCATTGCCGTAGGACTTCTGAGCAACTTTTGCGTGCAAAATAACAATTACCATATCGGATCGTTCACGTAAATATCGCTCCATAGCCTCTCTGGTGAGGCGCCGATCTTCTCGAATTCCACCAGGCACAACGGCGCCGGAGAAGCGCGGATACATAGCACCATGATGTGGCGGAGGCGTCGGTGGTGATTGAGCGTGTGCGATGCCTGGCAAACCGTATTGATGTGGCATTGTTATTGCAGGTTGTTGATGCGTTGCTATTGACGACGCGTGTACATTTGTTTATCGATAAACAAAACACGATCGTATTCAACAATCAACTGTAGTGCTTACAATGAATGCGAGTAGCATCGCGTCGGCGTCGGTTCGATAATCTGTCTGCGACGAAGAGTGGATAATCCGCTAGAGGAGGCTTGGATGTTCCGAAGCACCAGGTGCGTGTTTTCACATGGCACGTGTACTTTCACACAGACGCACAACACGCCAGCGCCGTTGCGATCTGAACGCTGACCAATCGCCGGCGACGCAGGGGTTAGTCCGTGTTTGAAAGCCGTACGAATAATTACGCATTCGTTGCTTGTTCAAAACTGCCACAGACGAAGTGTTTGCTTCCTTGCAATGAAATAACATAAAGCAAATTGGTCGCGGGCGTCAGATGCGTACGTACGCAGACTAGACGAGACACGCCGAACGAATGATTGCCGGATTGCCGCTGCAGCGCAGAAGTTCGCTTGCCGGTCTCGGGCCGTGAGCGAGCGGCTGGCATGCTTGATGCTAGGCGCTACCAAGATACGTGAGAATATAACTGTCTCCCCACTATCAGGCGCCCAACGAGCGTGGAGACCGTGGAGACTCCGCGTGCCGCGCCGCCAACCCGAACTCGTGAGCGAGTTTAAATGCCACTGACGCTCGGCCTCTCGCTCCACCGAAAACACCTGTTTGCTACTCGAATTTTCCCATCATTCGAATATCATCTGGAATCTCAAATTCACACCAACATATTTCTTTACATTTTTCATTATACGCACATATAGTGGCAAAAGTAAGTACAAAGTATCCAGAAACATTATTCTATTCTTATTATACTTATTTAATTCTTAATTTGTCAGCGTAAAAACTTAATTTATATTTTTTTCATTATTATTTTTAATTAATAGATTTAAATCAAAAGTATTCAAATCGCACATTTGCGTAAGGTTACACTTTTATTTCCATGTCATTATAGGTTATGTTAAATTTAAGGTTAAGTTTAAAGATTAGTTTTACCCAAATAAGTATGATTATGATTAATCCACGTTGTTATATAAGCGAGTAATCTCGTTGTCGTCACACTGATGAAGATGGATGCCTTTAATTGGCAATGCGAAACACGAAATCTTCGAAAATAACCAATTGAAAACCATAATCAAAATTTCACCATAATATCATGATACAAACTGTAAAATGCCAAACACGAAATCTTTTAAATTACTATTATGTCCGGTTATTTTGTGACGTGTATTTTGGGAAATGTTTGTGGGAATTTTTATCTACTTTATTAAGTCAATATAAAGGGTTGTCATTTAGGGCCACCAAATTGTTTACCGAGTCAAGTAGATTGGGCTCGTACATAGGCAATAATTATGTTAATACAAACACTGTAATGATATCAATTTTCTGCACATAAAGCGAAAAAACGCAGCCTGTTATTGATATTGGAGTTTAGGTCAGTTCATACCGATTATATGCTCGTATTAAGTGATGGGAGAGAGGATGTTTGGGGTTACACACTCCGGGGCGTGGGAAAATCTGTCCGCCGCCGCTGCCGGTTGTTGTTCGGTGTCGGCTTCGCGCTCCTCTGCCTCGCGCCAGCCGTGTGGGAGAGTGGGTGGCCTTTAAAACATTTGATTCACACACGAACGCATCAATTCCCCGACCTGCTATCAGCACGCACAAGCCACCACAGCCCGAAATGGTAAATTCCCGCGAATCTCGCACAAAATATTCGGTAATTTGGACAATTTTCTTCAGGTCGATCGTGCGCGCGCATCCTTTTCTCGAAAATTTAACATTCACGTTTCTTTCTTCGCGCCTTTATACCTATCTGATTCCTTGGATCGTGGAATCGTTGGCATCGCGAATACAGGCGGTACAAAAAATTCATTCGTGCTTTGTCGCTTGTGACTTACTTTATGCGGTCATTTCGATAAATGCCTATTACTTTGAAAGCGCCCCGTCTCACTTAGAGCTTACATCGAGATGGCATTAGTGAACGATCTGCTGGGATATATCTGTGAGTTGTCTGCGCGCTTGCACTCCCCGACCCGCTTCGTACATCATCATCAGTGTTGGTAGAAGTGAAGCATGGGAACTTTGTGGTGTTGTGCACTTGTTCGATTCTCACGGCGTCGCTCGACAATCAAAACGAGGGAATTCCTTCCTCGCGCCGCTGTACATTTTACATTTTTCTGAACATGCCTCTTCCACGTCCGGCATATCCTCCACATGTGTGTGCTCTCAAACAATGAAATGCACCATTCCGTTTCGCAAACAAAACAATCTTATTATCGTGTTATTAAAACTGAATCAAGAATAACTACGAGCAGTAGGTTTACATAAATTACGTCAGGTTACATGAAACAATAACTACATTCATTTAGGTATTTGAATTTATTTTTTACCATTTATCATTTAAAAATTTTTTTTTGCAAAATAGAAATCTATCATTTAAAATTGTAAATTCCTTAAAAAATGCTTAATTTAATAATCAAGTTTTATTTGTTCACCTAGTACTATGTAGTTTTATTACTTTCATTTATGAATACGTAATCCATTGTATAGTTTAAAATATTTATTTGTAAAATCCAATAAAATCACGTAGAAATTTAATAAATAAATATTTTAAACTAGTACTAGTTTCTTTGGTACAAAACACTAAAAATTATGTCAATTGCAATTTCTTTATTATAATAACAAATTGAGAATGTTTCACATCATAATAATTCGCACCAAGATCCATTACTTATTGTACGCACAAATGAGAAATCAAATCCGCTCGTGAAGTGAAACGAAAAAATCGCACGCATAATAAAAAATAATAGAGAGCATGCTACAGTTGAATTACTTACTTTGGCGTTCGAAAAGATGTCTAGGAAGATAAGTGGAGTACTGAAAACGCGAAAACAGACAGATCCGAACAGTCTGAATGTGTTATGTGCGTTGTAAATGTATCGTAAACAGAAGTACGAATCGTCTTCTGTATGCTTGTGTGTGTGTGTGTGAATAGTAAGCGAGCAGTAAATAAGAGAATACAAGCGCGTATCGCGTGGCGACCGTGGGAAATTTTCTCATGGATCCCCTCTCTCCTCGCGCAAACCGCGTTGCCGACCCGAATGGTGATTCTGACTGCGTTCGGGGCCTATAAGTGCCTCACTTAAGACGCGTCACGAATGTGGAATGATTAAAAACAGAAACGCATTAATTTATCGCCTGTAGTGCTGAATTTTACTATGAAAATAATGAGTATACTCGTAGCGATTAAAGTTGGAAATAATTTGCGGCTTTGTACGTAATTTTTGGAATCGATATGTTACTATGGAAATATGTTTACTTGACAACGTCTTATTGATATATCATAACGTTTTGTTGGAGCGTGATCGTTGTTCAACTCTGTTCATTTCCTTCAAATCAGTTTTTTTCTATAATATTATACAATTTTCTATAAAAATGGCAAGAAATCCCAATCTTCCGCTTTTACCAGGCTTAACTTTCGATCCTAATGTAAGTAATATTCTATTGAAACAATAAATTCTAATTTTTGATGGCAATTCAAGATTGGGAGAACGGATTTTCGAATTGATCCCAAATTTGGTTTCACTGCAGGCATACCATGCATGGTTGAAAAAGTAAAACCAAACATGTTGGGTGTTCTTTCTGACCGATATCCCTCGGTTTACGCACGTGGCGAAGTAATTGAATTGCCCGCATGGATTGCCTTTGATAAACAAGTGAGTTGATTGATTGATTGAATGAATAGAAAATAATTAGTATGTAATACATATGTTATTTTGATATAAAATTTATAGATTTTAACATTTGATGGTTTCTTTCAACAATCACTAGAAGAAGTACGTAATGCTCCCTATGCCGTACGAAATGTTCGTGTATTTTTTCATCTTGAGGATGGGACATTGCAAATTATTGAGAAACCACAAACAAACAGCGGGTTTCTACAAGGTTTTTAACTTATTTCTACCAATATTATAGCTTATGGCATTTTTAAAATAATTTAATTTAAGGTACTTTATTGTCTAGACAACGTGTACGTTTGCCTGCACCAATGGACGATAATTTTTATGACATTTTGGACTTTAATATCGGTCGTGAAATTGAAGTCTTCGGCAAGTTTATAAAATTAACAAATTGTGACAAGTTTACACGCAACTTTTTAAATCGACAAGGAATTTCTGTACCTGACCCTATTAACACACCGGCGGATCCTTTCCTCGTCGACCGTGCCAAAACCGCGGCTACTTCACTGGCCAGAAAACCCAACAAAACAGTTGATACTTTCGGCCAGTTTCTTAAGAACGATCGAAAACTACTTCGATTTTACGCATATTGGGATGATCGTGAGAGCGAATTCGGAGTATTTCATGACTTAGAAGTATTTTACTATCTAGCGGATGATACAATCGAAATAAAAGATGTTGTCTCAAGAGGTGCACTCAAGAGAAGCACTGGTACTTTACTGATGAGACGTTGTAAATTACCAAAAAGATTCACGGGTCTTCCTAACCCCGGATATAATCAGGCTAATATCGTGCTGAATGTATTAGGTGGTAGTGTTGGAACAGGTCGATATGTAAATGATCCACTGGATGCTGGTAAAGAACACGTCGAATACTACAAAGATAAAGATTTGTCAATTGGTGGAATATTGAATGTATTTGGACGTAATGTTGTCTTGGTTGATGCTGACGAAAATACGAAAAAATATTATCGCGATACTTACGGAGTAACTAGTTTTGTACCGATTAACAAACCTTTTGAACAATCAGCGGAGAATAAAAAATTAATCAGAGTTAAAGATAGAGAGTTGCCACCGTGGAACGGTTTTGGATCATACGAAGATTCCGCACAGAATTGTGTTACTGTGGAAATGGTTGCTCCGTTGAAAGATTTCAAGAAATTTTTAAAATATGATAGGTAAAATATTTTTACTATAGATCACATTTAACTATAGGCAACTTATTATACAAACTTGTTTGTAGAAAAGGAATGGACAGTCAAATACTTCGATTTGCAGCGCGAATGATTTCACGAGATCAACACAACTGCGATCGTAAATTTATAATATTGTACTTTCAATCAGACGATACTCTGCAGGTCACTGAAATACCGTTTGGAAAATTAACTGCGGTGACATTTTTTGCACGCGCTCCCGTTTTTCTTCCTGGACAAGATCCTTACACCAGTGAAAAACCATTAGTTTACACACCGCAACATTTATTCATTGGTGCGCAGGTTGTTATCAACAGTTTTTACTTTGTGCTTATCGCCGCTGATGAATACGCTTTACGCTACATGGAAATCAACTGCAAAAATTTTCCAAAATCTGATATTGACTTAATCATGAACAAGCTGCGTGATAAACTAAAACCGATTTATAAAGACTTCGTTAGCGATATGATACCTAGCGATGACACTAAAGCGATTACTTATGAACAACTACGGAACAAATTGTGCCCGATTATGGGCATGGACTTTACCGAACAGGAAATGGTTACAATTGCGCGAAGATTTTCACTTAGTTGTCAGAAGGAACGACTTAATAAAGACGCAATCCGTGCAATAACTTTAACTACGCTTAAACGTGAATTATGGGATGATCTTGCACGTTTACGCGAATATTTTATATTGAGAGATCCAGGGCGTACAGGATTATTATCTCGATCCACTGTGTATACTCTACTGAGAGGTTGTAGATTTCCTGTGGATATTCAACTATTGGAAAAGATTTTAGACGTGTAAGTGGACGAATATAATCAAATGGAATATTTGATTTAAGATTTAATTTTAGCATTGACAAAGACAAGAATGGAAATATAATATACCAAGCGTTATTTAATTTCTTGGATCGCAATCTATGCCCAATGACTGATACAATTCCACTTAATGTGAAAGTAATAATTTATTTCACAATTACAAGTGCAATGGTTTAATAAAAATTGTTTTTAGAGTGAACTGTGGTGGGCATCAGTTCGTGAACCACCGGCCGGTGATCTCATTGATTGGTGCGAATTTAACAAACAACTGGATTTGGAATATGTCTTCACTGATAAACCTAAATTTACCAATTTGGTAGTACCCGATGATCCAATACATATATAACATGCCACGTTTTTGTAATATCTTTATTTATAAAATCTGTTTTTTATATATTTGAAATCATAACAGTAAAATTTTAAATAAATAACATAATCTACGTTTTCGAATCAACGATACTTAATAGGTAGGTAGAACATCGGTGAAAGCTGGTGAATAACTTCATCCAAAGGTTTTTGCACATGATGAAAATGTTGATACGTATACAATTTGCCTACTAGGGAATATGGTTGATTCAGTTGCACATTTGATTGGCTCTGATCATATTTTGATTCTATGTGTCGTGTGTTGAATTCCTTCGTAAAATTCATTATGTAGGTATAACTTTTATATGCAGCAGAGATTGTTCGCTCCATGTCAAGATGTCCGTTGATCAAACCTTTCTTTGGTCCATAAATGCCACGCATAACTGCTTTTGTCATTGGGTTTTCAATCTTGTAACGAAAGTTAAGATAAAAATTGTCGTTGTCTTTGTTGGCTGATTTATCAAAAACAGGTGTAGAAGTACGCTCAATGGGAACCTGTAAAGTAAAAAGAGCTTAATAAGGGAAATATTTTTCATGGACATTAAAAGTAATATCAAAAGTAATATTACTTACGTCAATAATTTGTTGCAACTCCATTTTATAGATTGTAAAGTATTGAAGTAGATAAGAAGAGAGCAAAGGAAATAGTGAAGTAAACTTTCCCAGTATTGCACTTTTTATGTGAGAATTATAATGGAGGGGGTAAAATAAATAATTGTGTTATTATGCAAAACTTTAATCCATTAATCCGATTAAATATAGGTTAGATTGTACTCGCTACTTGTGCATTAAATAATGTTATAATCTGTATCTATCATGATAGCTACAAATATAGCTTATAGTGGCATATTTCCATGTTTCTTGGGAGGATTATCAATTTTCTTCGTTGATAAAATTTCCAAATCCTGACATAATCTTCTACGTGTTGAGGCTGGTTCAATTATAGCATCAACGAAACCTCTTTTCGCAGCGGTAAATGGATTTCCAAATTTCCCTTTATATTCTTCTTCGTAAACCTCTACATTTTCTTTTCCACGATATAAAATTGAAACAGCACCTTTAGCTCCCATTACCGCCAGTTCCGCGGTAGGCCAGGCATAATTTACATCTCCTCTTAAATGTTTCGATGACATTACATCATATGCCCCACCGTAACCCTAGAAATTTACAATACATTTTACAATACAAATTACTTCGTTAATAAAGTATTACCTTTCTTATGATTACTGTCAATTTCGGCACCGTTGCTTCACCATACGCGTACAATAGTTTAGCCCCATGTCTTATAATTCCAGAAATTTCCTGATTTACCTACACCTGGGAGAAAACCAGGTACATCTACTAAAGTAATTAACGGAATGTTAAAAGCGTCACAAAAGCGCACAAAACGTGCTGCTTTCACAGACGCATCTATATCTAAACAACCAGCAAGGTATTTTGGTTGATTAGCGACAATGCCTACCGAACGTCCATTCATTCTAGCAAAACCAGTAATAATATTTTTGGCATACTCTGGCATTAGTTCAAAAAACTCTCGTTCATCCACAAGACTATAAATGATATCCAACATATTGTAAGCTTCGGAGGAATCTTTTGGTACAATAGAATCAAACAATGGAATATCATCAATACTATAAAATAAAGTTCCTCGAATTAAAATTAATACTTATTGTAATTTTTGTTATTTAATCATTACCTTAAATTATTGCAAGGAATTATGGGTGCAGCGTCAGTATTAGATTGAGGAAGAAATCCCAGAAAATATCTCAAGTTAAGTAATGCATCTACATCATTTTTGAAAGCTTTATGGGCAACTCCTGATTGTTTAGTGTGAGTATTAGAACCACCTAGTTCAGCTTGTGATACATTTTCATTGGTAACACTCTAAAGTTTCACAGTTACACAATCTCCTACTACATTGCTAATATTTTATCATACCTTTATAACATCTGGTCCAGTTACAAACAAATATGAAGTATCTTCTATCATAAATGTAAAATCAGTCAAAGCTGGTGAATAAACTGCTCCACCTGCACAAGGACCCATGATCAACGAAATCTAAAATTTTATAACAACATTTACCAATATATATTAAGTTCTTAAACTTAAATCTATAAACCTGTGGAATTACACCTGACGCCAATACATTCCTTTGAAATATATCAGCATAACCAGCTAACGAATCCAATCCTTCTTGAATTCGCGCACCTCCCGAATCATTCAAGCCAACAACCGGTGCCTTCACCGCCATTGCTTGATCCATCACCTTGCAAATTTTTTTCGCATGGGTACTTGATAAACTTCCACCAAACACAGTGAAGTCTTGACTGAACACATATACCAGGCGACCGTTGACGCGACAATGTCCTGTAACTACTGAATCACCAGGATATTTCTTTGCTTCCATTCCGAAATCAGTGCATGTATGTTCCATGAGCATATCATATTCAGTAAAGGTATGCGGATCGGCAAATATACTGATGCGTTCTCTTGCAGTGAGTTTTCCCTAATATTTTTATATTATAAATAATTTATATTGTAATACTAATTGTGCAATACCTTTGCATGTTGCTCATCGATTCGTTTTTGCCCACCTCCTAAAAGTGCTTGATCCGTGACAGATTTTATTTTGTTTTGTATAAAATTTATTGTAGAACAGCTCCGTATACATTTTAAATGTTGACTCAGGAAACTCCGCAAAACTTTTGATTTTGCGTAGTTAATGCCTTGCATGTTGATGATTGACTAATATTTTATGTAGAGTAGTTATAGATAAACTTTGTAGTCTGCACTGATAATAAATTTTATTGCATATTCCTTATAAATATTAACTTGGAAGCTGTATATTGATGTTTTACAGATGCAATTCCAATTTTTACATATGTTTGTATCTGTTATTTTTGTATTTTTGTACACTTATTTTTAGATTGTATAAAAATAAATTTATTTTCTAAATATTAAACTTCCCACTTGGATATTTAGCGACCTCTGATGTGTTTTCATGATTTTTAAATGTTGACGCATGATGGACGCATGTGGTGAAACCAGTGGGTGAAACCAACGTCAACATTTGCAGAATTTAATCAAAATAAAACGAATTAACATAAGTGTGATTGATTGGTTTATGTTTATAACGAGTATATTCGCAACTTACAACAATGGGGAAAAAGAAAAATGGTAATCATTTTAGTTTAGACTACTTTTTTGATTGAATTATCTCTGAAGTTCTAATCTAACCTAACTTTATTGTAGAATTTGATCATTTAACATTTGAAGAAAAAAAGGTAATTTCTATTGCCGAAGTAATTCAGCATTTGATTAAGGCGCAGGATACGAAACAAAATGTGAATTTAAATCAATTGAAAGCTAAAATATCATCTAAATATGGCATGCATTCACAGCCAACATTGGTTGAAATTATTGCAGCTGTTCCCCAAGAGCACAAAAAGACATTAGTTCCAAAACTATTAGCTAAACCTATAAGAACTGCAAGTGGAGTAAGTTATTTTTTTAATATTTTGCCACTTCTGACATTATTTGTTGAAGATTGCTGTTGTTGCTGTAATGTGCAAACCACACAGATGTCCACACATCAATTTCACTGGAAATATTTGTGTGTATTGTCCAGGGGGACCTGATTCAGATTTTGAATATTCCACACAAAGTTACACAGGATTTGAACCAACATCAATGAGAGCAATTAGAGCTAGGTATGATCCATACATTCAAACAAGGCATAGAGTTGACCAGGTACTATCTCATTTAAAGTAATTTATTCTATATATATCATTAAATATATTTTAGTTGAAACAATTAGGACATAATGTAGACAAAGTAGAATTCATTATAATGGGAGGCACATTTATGAGCCTATCAGATGAATATAGAGACTATTTTATTAGAAACTTACATGATGCACTTTCTGGACACAAGAGTAACTCTGTAGCTGAGGCTGTAAGATATTCCGAACGTTCAAATAGTAAAGTAATTGGTATTACTATTGAAACACGACCGGATTATTGTGTGCAAAGTCATATCACTGATATGTTGAACTATGGTTGCACCAGGCTAGAAATTGGTGTGCAATCAGTGTATGAAGATGTTGCATTGGATACAAATAGGGGACACACTGTGCAGGCAGTATGTGAGACATTTTGTATGGTTAAGGACGCCGGATTTAAAGTCGTTGTGCATATGATGCCTAACTTACCGAACGTTGATTTGGAGCGTGATTACGAGCAATTTGTGGTAGGTCCATATTTATAATATGATTTGCTAGGTATAATTAATATTTATGTCTTAGCAATTTTTTGAAGATCCTAGATTTAGAGCTGATGGTCTTAAGCTTTATCCTACTTTGGTTATTCGTGGTACGGGTCTTTACGAATTGTGGAAGACTGGTAGATATAAAAGTTATCCACCTTCAGTGTTGATTGATTTGGTTGCTAAGATTTTGGCATTGATTCCACCATGGACTAGGGTTTATCGTGTGCAAAGGGATATTCCAATGCCCTTAGTGAGGTAATATTTTCATTCAAACATATAATTTATAATATTACTAAATTTCTAATAACTTATTGGTAACATTAGCTCGGGAGTTGAACACGGTAATCTCAGAGAATTAGCCTTGGCTCGCATGAAAGATCTGGGTCTGAAATGTCGTGATATTCGTACACGTGAAGTTGGAATATCAGAAATCCACGAAAAAGTGCGCCCAGATCAAGTGGAATTAGTACGTCGTGACTACGCAGCCAACGGTGGAAATGAAACATTCTTAAGTTACGAAGACCCCGAACAAGATATCCTCATTGGACTCTTGCGTCTGCGCAAATGTACAGATAAGTACACTTTTCGGCAGGAGTTAATGGGGAGCGTTTCAATAATTCGAGAATTGCACGTATACGGTAGTGTTGTGCCCGTTAGTGAACGCAGTGCTGATAAATTCCAACATCAAGGATACGGCGTGATGTTAGTTGAACATGCGGAGTTGATCGCTAAAAATGAACATCAGTCGAAGAAAATAGCGATTATCAGTGGTGTTGGTACAAGAAATTACTATAGGAAGTTAGGGTATGAGTTAGAAGGTCCTTACATGATAAAGTCCTTGCTTGACGGCGAATTTAAAACTGCACATGAATGTAATGAAGAGCGCAGCAGACCGAAAGAACGAGTATCTTATCAAATACAACCAATTGGTTCTGTGATTGATGTAAATGATGTTGAGGGTCAAAAAGATGTTACAAAGATTCTAAGTGATGCAGAATTTTTTGATCAGTATAGGAAGGAGTACATCAGAAGTTTGGGAAACCGTGGTGTGATTACAGATGAAGAAGAGGCTGAAATGTGGAATCAGGAGGAACAATTTTCAACCAATCTAAATGGAAGTACTGAATATTTTCCAGAGTATGTCCCACCTTGGGAGAGATCGTCTTCGGATGATATTGAACTAAATTTATCTTCTTTAAATGTCAAATAAACTGTACATTTAATAATGACATTGACAAGGATTGAAGTCAATTAAAAATTTTAAGTGTTTCTAATTTTTTTTAAATCTTATCTCAAATTTCTGTGTATTTTTTTATTCTAAGTTCTTTATATGTATCTTACGCAAAGTTTTCTCGCGGTGAATTTCGCCAATTGTAGATATATAAACGATTGGAGAAATTTCCTCAGTGAATATGTCGAATTCGTGGTAAATGAGGTCTTCATAATGTCAAAATCAAAGGTAAACACTAATCATGTGAGTATCGGATAGAAAACCTAATATTACTTTCAGGGAGACGAAAATCTAAGCTATAGCGAATTTCTGGAAGAGAGCAAGAAATACTTCTATCAGAACTTCTTCTTGAACAGTAATAAGCATACTGTTGGCATCGCAGATTTTGAATTGATTTGTAAACTAGGCTCTGGGGCATTTGGCAATGTTGTCCTGTCACGGTACACCCCCAAAAACACATACCACGCGATTAAAATCTTAAAGAAGGCGCATATTATTAAATCTAAGCAGTTGGAACATACGAAAAACGAAAAGAGAATTTTGCTCATCTGCAAACATCCGAATCTTATGAAAATGGACTACTTTGCCATAGATAAGGCAAACTTGTATTTTATTTTACCATTTTTAAACGGGGGCGATTTATATGTAACTTTCAACCGGTAACAAAATCAAAAATCTGACACGAAATCAATTTATTCAATATTTATTTGATATCATTGCAGAATGAGAAGATTTGAAGAAAAGGTCACCAAATTTTTTGCCGCTCAAGTATTTTTAGGATTAGAATATTTGCATTATTTGAATATTGTGTACAGGGATTTAAAACCAGAAAATATTATGTTAGATAACACTGGATATGCAAAGATAACCGATTTTGGATTTTGCAAGGTAGCAATCTAATCGATAAATATCCTCACTTTATTAATTTTTAAATGTATTCAAGGTATTGAGTAAAGGTCGAACGTACACAATTTGCGGCACACCTGAATACATCGCCCCAGAGTTGGTAATAATGAAGGGTTACTCTCACACGGCAGATTGGTGGTCGTTTGGTATTCTACTCTTTGAACTGACCGCGGGCGTTGTTCCATTTAAAGATAACGGTGATCATGTTCGGTTATACAATTCCATCGTTCTCGGCAAATTTAAAATGCCGTCGACATTTAGCAAAGAACTGAAGGATTTGATTAATAGGCTTTTGCAAGTGGATACAACCAAACGGTAATGACACAAAGTAGTAATCATCATGCTAAAAGGTACAACTAAATACGTCCACGGAATCATTCAGCGAACTTCATGTCATTTTTGGATTTAGATTTTAATTGACATCGTGCAGTGTTAATGTACTCACAGTTGAGAGTGTTGCTTAGTCGAATTATGTGCCAAGAAACTAAAACAGTATCACTACACGATGTAAATTAAAATGTAAATCCAAAAATAAATACTTTTCTTTTCTAAAGAATCGGTTGCTTGCGACGAGGCTCGGCGGATATAAAAGAACATGACTGGTTCGCGGATGTGCCCTGGGTCCACATTTTTAACAAAAAGGTTGTACCTCCTGTCAAGCCAGTCGTCAAAGATCCGAACGAAAAAGAGGCCGAAAATATGAAACTATCAGCCGAACCGGAGACAGATCGCTTTGAAAAAGAATTTCAAGACTTTTAATTAAACATATGTGCTTGTTGAGATTTTGTTCTTGTGTTTAATTTAATTTTCTATCATTACATACAAATTTTAAAATGATCAATGCATAAAAATACAGATTAATGCATACATTTGCGCAAATTGGATTAATTATAACTAGACTTATAAAACGAAAAGCACTTACAACTAAAGTTATGTTAAGTAACTTACACAAACCAGATAGGAATCAAATAGTGAATGCTTCTAAGGATTTGGTTGTGGAGGATAGTTATAGCCCCCATATTGCCCTTGCGGCGGGGGTGGGCCTTGAGGTCCAGGCGGCCGAGAATATTGATATCCCTGCGGTTGGGCGCCATATTGTGGCTGTGGGGGATATCCTTGCTGGGGTGGATAGCCGTAGTTAGCTCCCGGAGGCGGTCCTTGCGGTGGATACCCTTGATTGGGCGGTGGAGTATAACCAGATGCAGGATTCGATGGTTGAGAGTTTGGAGGATAAGGTGGTTGGTACGGTTGGGGATTGCTGGGTGCTTCAGATTTTACAGCTGGACTCTGAGTATTGCTCGGCGGTGCTGAGAATGGGGGACTTTGGGCATTAGTTGGAGCATATGTTGCTGGATTTGGGCTAGGCTGAGTGGAATAAGCGGACGTGTTTTGCGGTTGGCTTACCGGCGGCGGCGGATAACCCTGCTGCGGCGGATAGGGTTGCTGCGGAGGGTAATTTTGCGGTGGAGTTGCGCTCGGATAAGGGGCTGATGTTGGGGGCTGATTATAATTTGCTGGTGGCGTCGGCGGGGGTCCAGCGGCAGGAGGATAGGGACCAGGTGGACCAGGCGGCGCACCGGACGGTGGGGGAGTTCCGTACCCCTGTTGGGGATAACTGTTGTGGGCTGTTGTGGAAGCAGGAGGTCCATAGGAACCCTGTGAACTAGGAGGATATCCAGGTGCTTGTTGATTAGGAGGAGGATATTGACCTTGTGGAGGATATTGACCCTGAGGAGGGTAATGCCCTGGATACTGACCCTGTGGATATGGTCTCTGTTGGTATGTTTGGGGTGGTGCTCCAGGTCTTTGAGAAACTGGTGGTCTATAGCCAGGTTGTTGCTGATGATTGTAGTTGTTCATGTTTTGCTGGTCAGGTTGTCCAGGTTGGCCAGGAGGTTGGCCATGTGGGGGAGGTGTCCCTTGAGGTGGCTGAAGCAACTTTTAAAGACACTTAAAACTCAAAACAATCATTGGACCTTGTACACTTACAGGTAGCAAAGAATGCATATTTTGAGAACTATCTGCAAGACTGGCTAGGTACATTAAATTTCTGTGAAGCACTTGTTGATATTGCAGTGACTCCTGAGCTTTGCCTTTGCTTTGATATTCCTGGATTGTTTGTATGAGATGGCCATTTTCATCAAGCATCTTTTGTATCTGCTGATGAGTTGGTGGCGGTCTTTGGCCGCGTTGCGCGAACGTTAAAGACATATTAGCTTTGTTGATTAACTGTAGTTCACTTTTGAATACTCTAAATTCGTTGATTTGATTTAAGCCGGTCTGTTTATGCCCAAACCACAAGAAAATGCCGCTAAAATTTGAGGTTCAGCGGCAGATGCTTCTTGACCATTGACGCCAACCTGTCAATGTCAGACTGAAACCGAATGGAAAGCTACTGCGTCTTCAGATGACAACAGAAATGTTTCAATTTGATTTCAATTTAAATATTAAAGTAATAGTACTTATAATAAATCTATTCAATCTATTTTCTAACGATAGTTTAATATGTGATTTATAATTACTTTGTAGCTAATCTTAGAAAAGGCAGCCAATACTGTCGTAATATTTAAAATCACTTTTAATACCGGCGACTTGAAATTTATGGAAGCTACCAAGCTACCAATGGAATCTACAATGCTTTCAAAACTTAAAAATATTTAAGATCCTAGTAGATATGTGTTAGATGCAGAATTAAAACATATGTTACTTCTGCAAAACTACGAAAAATTCTTTCATTTAAATTGAGTACGTGTGTACTGATCTAGATCATGTATATCTAAAATAAAACAAACTAACCTCTAAATTCAACACGTCTTTTACGATTGGGTTTGTGACGTTAAGAGGTGTTTACTCAACATTGAAAATGCCTATTACAAACGAAAAACCATTGGAAATAAAATTTGTAAGTCTTTGTTAATAAACAAAAATGTTTATTTAAATGTTAATTACACTTTTTAGACTGATGAAGATCTTCCATATGAAGAAGAAATTCTACGAAATCCATATTCTGTAAAGCATTGGCTCAGATACATAGAGCACAAGAAGAAAGCTCCAAAAGAAGCAATAAATCTAATCTATGAACGCGCACTAAAAGAACTACCAGGTTCTTACAAATTATGGTACAATTATTTAAAACTTAGAAGAAAACAAGTAAAAAATAAATGCATAATAGATCCAGGCTTTGAGCTGGTTAACAATGCATTTGAAAGAGCCTTGGTGTTTATGCACAAAATGCCTAGGATATGGATGGACTACTGCACTTTCCTAACAGACCAGTGCAGAATTACAAGAACTAGAAAAGTGTTTGATAGAGCACTTAGAGCTCTTCCAATAACACAACATCATAGAATATGGCCTTTATATTTAGCATTTGTACAGAAGCATGACATACATGAAACTGCTCAAAGGGTATTCAGAAGATATTTGAAACTAATGCCTGAAAATGCTGAACAATATGTTGATTATCTATCCAAAGCAGACAAACTAGATGAGGCAGCTCAAGTTCTAGCTAAGATAGTCAATGATGATAGATTTGCTTCCCAACAAGGCAAGTCAAATCATCAGCTTTGGAATGAGCTGTGTGAGTTGATATCAAAGAATCCTAAAAAAGTTTCATCTCTTAATGTTGATGCAATCATTAGAGGTGGTCTTAGAAGATACACAGACCAATTGGGGCATCTTTGGAACTCTCTGGCTGATTATTACGTGCGAAGCGGCTTATTTGAACGTGCTCGCGACATTTACGAGGAAGCCATTCAAACTGTTACAACCGTACGTGACTTTACCCAAGTTTTTGATGCGTATGCTCAATTTGAAGAAATATCTCTGAAGAAACGCATGGAAGAAATCGGCAAGAAACCTTCACAAAGTGAAGAAGATGAGGTAGAAATGGAATTGCGACTTTCACGTTTTGAAAATTTAATGGACAGACGTCTATTACTCCTTAATTCAGTCTTATTGAGACAGAACCCACACAATGTTCAAGAATGGCATAACAGAGTCAAGTTGTATGAAGGTAATCCACATGAAATCATCAATACATACACTGAAGCTGTACAGACAGTTGAACCTAAACTAGCTGTAGGTAAACTACACACTCTGTGGGTGGAGTTTGCCAAGTTCTATGAAACCAATGGACAGATAGATGATGCGCGACTTATTTTTGAGAAAGGCACGCAAGTGGAATATCTTAAAGTTGAAGATTTAGCTTCAGTTTGGTGCGAATGGACCGAGATGGAAGTGCGACATGAGAATTATGAGGCTGCGTTGAAGTTGATGTATCGCGCGACAGTAATACCATCGAGAAAAGTCAATTATCATGATGACAAGGAAACAGTTCAAGCTCGATTATACAAAAGTTTAAAGGTTTGGTCATTGTACGCTGATTTAGAAGAAAGCTTCGGCACTTTTAAGACGTGCAAAGCTGTTTATGACCGAATCTTAGATTTGAAAATTGCTACACCTCAAATTATTATTAACTACGGATTATTTTTGGAGGAGAATAACTATTTTGAAGAAGCATTTAGAGCATATGAGAAAGGTATTTCATTGTTCCGCTGGCCAAATGTTTATGACATCTGGAATACTTATTTGAAAAAGTTTTTGGGTAGATATGGAGGGTCAAAATTAGAAAGGGCGAGGGATTTATTTGAGCAATGTTTGGAACATTGTCCTGAAAACTTTGCCAAACCATTGTATTTGCTGTATGCTAAGTTAGAAGAACAACATGGAATGGCTAGACATGCTATGTCTGTGTATGAACGCGCTACAAGTGCCGTAATGCCATCAGAAATGTTTGAGGTGTTTAATATTTATATTAAACGCGCAGCGGAGATTTACGGCGTGCCGAAAACAAGACAAATTTACGAAAAAGCCATTGAAGTTCTACCTGAAGATAGAACGCGTGAAATGTGTCTTCGTTTCGCCGAAATGGAAACAAAACTTGGGGAGATTGATAGAGCCAGAGCGATCTACGCGCATTGTTCACAAATGTGTGACCCGCGCGTCACGGCCGAATTCTGGCAGGTATGGAAAGAGTTTGAAGTGCGCCATGGTAACGAGGACACAATGCGTGAAATGTTGCGAATTAAGCGCAGCGTACAGGCGATGTACAACACGCAAGTGAATATGATGTCGGCGCAGATGCTGAACTCTGCTGGATCTATTGCTGGTACTGTGGCTGATTTAGCTCCAGGCGCAAAGGATGATATGAGAATGTTAGAAGCGAAGGCCGTTGAAATGACTGGTACTACTTCATTGACCAAAGGTGGAAATATTATGTTTGTTCGTGGGGAAACTCAAGGGGATAATAGAGGCGAACGAGTTACTAATCCAGATGAAATTAATATTGACGACGATGATGATGATGAAGGCGATGAAGATGAGAATGGAGAAAATGGGGACGCAGATCGTGATATTCCTGTCACCAAACAGGATATTCCCAACGAAGTTTTCGGTAGTTTGAAAGTAAGTACGAATAAGGGTAGTGATGACGACGATTTATAAAAATAAATTTTAAATAAACATTTTTTTTCTGTAAAAGTGTTGAAATTTGTAAGTGAATCTCAATAATTTCACTGCTGGCTTTTGTACACTATTATTTTTAATGAAGATTATCATCTAGATGACATATCGTGGTGCAGTGATAAAATGCAAAGAGTTCGATACTTGTTGGCTCAGATTAGTTGTACACGCAATAAGAGATCCGTCGTCTTTATGAATACCTCCGAACATGATAAGTTCTGATTTACCACTCACAAACGTGTATAACATGGTCTCTTCCGGTCCGTCTCGTTCTAGATCTGGGTCTTTTATAGGCATCCATGTAACATATGGTTCTGAATCAAGTGCGTGTGCGACATCCAACACATACATACCCAAAACGTTCTTTTTGGGTTTGGAAAATTCCTTTGCTTTATGCTTTGCGGCAATGCACAGCTTCGCTTTCAGTTTTTCTTCACTTAGTTTCATTTTCTCTTGCCTTAGGAGCCTTCGTGCGTTCATTTTTTGATCCACATCTACATTGGGATCGTTGAACGCGGCCAAACCCATTCGTTCGTTGGGTTCTGGAGCTCCGCTTGGTCCTGGCTTATTTGGATCTGACAATAGCATTTGCCGCTCTGCTTCATCGCCAGCATTGTTACGTTTTACACCCTTTAAAGTCCCGCGCCTTCCATTTACGTTCTCATCGTGGTCAACGACGCGATCGGCCATATCAATACGACCGGGTCTTCTTTGTAGAAGTTCGCCTCGGTTGTCTCCACGAGGATCAACCGGTGGAGTCCACACTCCGCGAGAGATGAACATGAATGGCGATTGAGGGTTTTGTCTACTCTTACTAAGAACTATTAGTTTGTCTTCGATTTTACAAACTGGGTTACACCAGAGGTTTGGTGGGGCGTGATGTGAATTACGTACTTCTACTTTGATCCACTTCCAATGATTTCCCTTCATGTTGAGGATCCAAATATCAGAAAAGAAAATTTGCGGCCCGCCGGAACCGCCCATGATAAGAACATTCTCATCGTCCAGGACGGTTTGTGATTGGCCATAACGCTCTTGCGGTTTTAAATGGCCTATGGATTAAAAATTTGATAATTATTGTTCATTAGTAGGCAGTGTTTATAGAACATACCAAAGGTTTCTTGTTTATACCAATTCCAAGTCTCTAAATTTAGCTTCCAAATGTCATTGGTTTTTGTGGAATGAACCACATTGCTGGCGCGCTGCAGTCCTCCAAATATAACCATCCAATTGCCATGGATTGAAACAGAGTGTCCTGCAGTGGGTGGAGGAGTCACTGCTGTGTTGATGCAAGTCCATCTATTGGCTTTGATGTCATATGTATGCAGCTCATTGAACAAATGCCAGCTTTGATGCAGAGGATAAGATGGTGGATAGGTCCAGCCACCAAACAAAACTAAAATTTAATCAACACTAATTTAAAAGTACAATATATTATAAAAATGCTCACCTAAAGAATCCTTGTAACACACCATAGTGCTGCATGCCTTTGGGGAAGGATAAGTTCCCATTGTTAGTGGTCTCACCCAAAGCCTCTTAGACAAATCCAATCTCCACAAATCATTGAAAGTAGTCATTGAACATGTGCATCCACCAAAGACATACATAGAGTTATCATGTACTGCTGCAGAATGTGAATATCTCTTTGTGATTGTTGGTGCCATTGCAGCTGGAGTAATTGTCTTCCATACAATATCAAAATCATTGATAGCTTTGTTAAGATTTCTCCGTTTTATTTTTATCACATCTGTGTGAAAGAAGAACAAACAATGACTGGCTATTTCAGTAGACATCAACAAAATTTATTTGTAAACTGCACTTACTTCGAACGCATCTTCGCCAACGTTTTGAGACTAGCATACAATCGTGAATGTCTTTGTAAGGTGGTAAGAATCCCAAGACGAATTCCAGCACTTCATCAGGCAGGTCTTCGATGGAGAGCAGCTCCTTGCTAGGGGCAGACGTGGTGGCTGCCGACTCGATCATTTTCGAATGAACGTAAACACTGTTGGTTTCACTCGAATTTATTCCAAGAAAGTGCACATTTCATGTCTGCGGATTTAATATCCCGGTTATTTTTGCAAATTCCTGATTGTTTTGCTTGTTTTCGTGCAGAAAACACGTTCTGTTTATACTGCCTGGATGCCAGTGGTGAGGGCAAACGCAACGAGAATGTGGTGAATATTTTCATTCATGTTCATTCAAATCGTTCCATCATTAAATTCGAGCTACCTACTGACACATGCAAGGTTAGTATTTTGGGTTGCCTACCATAACTTATCAGATAATAAAATCACGGATAAAATACTGCTTTTCATTGCTTTTTAAATAAATATCACATAATTAAGAAATAAATAATTTAAATTTAGTTAGTTACAATTTTTTTTATATCTAATTTATAGACATTTATTAAATTTATACTGATTATATAGTTGCATACTCAACGAACATGAACTCATGTAAGTGAATCAGATCAATTGTCAAAATGACGTTTAACACCGCGAGTTTTGAATTATGTTAAACATGAGTTAAACATTCACGTGCAACAATTAACGATGTGTTTACGATCCGTGCATCGCAGAAATTAGGTAAACACAAATTACATTCGCGAAACGGTTGTAAAATTTACACGAAATCGAACATTCGAAAAACATCTAACCTCAAACAAATTAAACAAAATATAGTAAATCTAATTCCGCGTGAAACAAATGAACAATGTCTCTGTTAGTGCATTTAAATCCAGTTCTTGAACAGCTCAAGCATTTAAAGCAAGTGTTACCACATAGTGTAAGCTTATCTACCACACAAAAGGTACACAAACATTTATTACTAAAGCAGACAGACTTATTTATGACAACAGAGATTACTCACTTCTCTAAGTTTGTGATAAACTTTTGTTTGTTATATTTAAAAGTATTAAAATATGTATTACGTTTTGTTTGTAGGTGGTTGTTGTATCAGTTACAGCTAGTGTTGCTCTGCTAGGTGTGCTTGCAAGATACATGAGACGTAAAAAGCAAACTGTTGATCCTAAAACATTCAGGAGGCCTTTGGCAAAACGGTCGAGAGCATCTGGTGTTAGAAGTCCAAATGCAGGTTTGTTTTCATCATGGCTTTATGAGTTTACTAATTGTATTTAGTTTGCATTCGTAGTCTGCCAAGTAATTTATTACTGGTTACATAATTTATATACATTGCCTTCAAGGTTCTATATTTCAACTAGATTAAACCTTTCTAGAACTTTTTAATCATCTTAGGCAAATTTATTATTATTTAAATGTATTTATTTACAAGAAGCAAAGAATTTATCTTACTTCAAATTTTCATAATTCCAAAATTATAATTTTTAAATTTGTTGGTTTTAAATTATGTTAATTAGTATATTAGTATTAATTAGTGTTCAGTACTTTATTCAGATTATAACTATGTTGAAATCAATAATAATTTAAAATATAACGTATGAGGGGTGGGTTGCTGCTTAATTTTTAGATGTAAATTGGGTTGCCTAGGTTAAATTCTCATTTCCGTAATATATTCAGGCAAACACATTTTTCTTCTTTATGTAATAAGAAATACATCACTTTTGGGACGCTTCTACTTTCAGATTTAATTAGCACTGCGAGTAGTGGCCGAAGAAGCAATGCTCAGAGTAACTTTAGCGAAAGGCGAGCTCGCCATGACTCCATATTGGGAATAATTGCAAACGAACGAGCTTCCGTCGCATCTGGCAGTTTGGCCAGCGGTACGCTTATCATTCCGGAAAATGGCGAAAACACTAAGCTTACACCGCAACAGTTAGGCGTAATGGGTAAGTTGTTAATTTTGTCGCTATATTGTGTATGCTGTACTCGAGTACCATAAATTTTTGTGTACATTAAGTTGCCTATATCATACAGGTTTCTATTATTAAACCATATTGATGACTAACTGTGTATCGGCTCGTTGGTCTAGGGGTATGATTTTCGCTTAGGGTGCGAGAGGTCCCGGGTTCAAATCCCGGACGAGCCCGCGTTCTTTTTTCGTTTTAATTTTTTACCTTACACGCGTTTATGAACATCTTTTCCCAAAAATATCGATATTTAAGTTTTAATATCTTGCAATGATTTTCTCTTTGAGGTATGTGACATAAAAGTTCATAGCTTGGTTTCGAAATAAAAATCATTAGCACTTCCAATTGATTGAAACAGAGAATTAGCGTAGGTGTGAAAACGAGTTTGGAAGATTTAACGCTTCATGAACTTGCTTCATTGGGAGAGTCACAGTGAGGTCAGACGGGCGTTTTATTATTCAACTGTAATATTACTTAATCTTATTTGGTGATAAATCATAATTTAAAAGTCGCCTCCTTTTAATCTATTTATGGAGATAATACCTAACTATCAAAAGGGCAATCCTTCATTAGGACGACTATTTTTCGTTCCTAAGTGGAATTTGTTATTAGAATCATTATAATTGTTAAAATGATTTATGACAGCTCTTGATATAGATAATTTATTAAAGTGTTGTTAGTGATAAGCTTAATTCATTTTGAATTATAGAATTCATGAAATAATGAATTATGTTTTATTGATTTGGAATAGAAAGTATGATAACAAAACTTTAAAAATGTACGAAGATGTTATATTCAGGAAGCATTTTAAATGTAAACTTTCGTCACCAAAAAATTTCTATTTGGTACACAACGCCGTGTAGAGTTACACACTTACTGACCGAATACACGTAGTCGCTTTTATAATAAACTAGCGACCTGCCCCGGCTTCGCACGGAAGTAAAAAACCGCATCAAAATCCGTTGCGTAGTTTCAAATATTTAAGCGAACAAAGGGACCGGAAAAAAAAGCGACTTTACTTTATACTATGTAGTGATACAAGTCGTGATTAAATTAAATTTCTATGTGGGCGCTGCCACATCTTCGTATTTGACATCATCGTATTATGCGTGGGTTATACGACCGGCATTTTGGATTTGTCTACTGTCGTTTATTTTTTTATTAGTTGCAATTATTGAGAATTATTTGTCTGACTTTTCTTGATAATCATCGTGATGATTTGCTGTATTCAGCAACGGCTTAACGAAGGCACCGATTGACAAACTTGTTAACGATACTCTAACGAAACAACTTTGGATAAAGGACGCGGAGAGCTGATTTGGAGTAAATTGAACGGATTAAATTGCTGTGTTAATCGCGGCGGCATCAGGGTCTCTAATAAGTAAATTACGAAAGGTGCTATGCAAATGTGTTTTCCGACACCATTTTAATTGACGCATTGCTTTAATTACGCGCTGATTTAATTAAACTTGCTTTTCTTCTTCGCATAAAAGAGTTTATTAAAGTTGGTTATGAATCAAAAAGGAATATTTTATGTATTGACGCTATTTTTGTTTAAAGCTTATTTATCAACGATGGCAAAGATAAACGAAACAAAATCAACAACGGAATAATAGTTTTGATTTGAAATTATTCCTTGATTGAATCAATAGGAAAATGTGTTTGTGCCTCCCGGGTTGATGTGCGCTGAGGTGCGCGCACGGCAATGTTCTAGAAACGTATTCGTAGGAAACTCGCACATTGCGTTCGTTCCCATTCTATATTTTCCAACGTATCGATCGTTGCACATCGGCGCGCCACGCCGCGACGTAGTAGTGAAAATCTAAGGACAGCCAGAGACGCATCGCATTCGCTTCCTTGTCAAGTGCGAAAAGGATGGAAAGCGCCGCGCTTGATGTTGAGGCTCTCAAGGGCGTCGCTTTCCGCTTTTCCTTAACGCTGCCAACTGGCCTCTCTTTTCGTTTAGATCCGCATTATATACTTTCATGTTCTTGTTCGCTTTGACGACGGAAAGTTGTAACTTGTATGTGGAAACTGCTGAAGCTTTTCAGCAGACTAGCGACCTGCGTGTCGCCTGGTCTTGAATACCTTATTTCGGCGGCGCCGAAATGTCTATGTTATGATTATGTATATGTACTCAGAGTCAGGTGAAATTACTCCAGGTATATTAATTAAAAGTTAAGTTTTTTAGTTAAATTAATTTTCTTTTGCGGACTGAGGAGTTGGAAAATTTCTATTTTAAACTATTGACTTTACCTGGAGGAACGTGAACGATGTTCGTGTCTATTTTAAGGTTATTGGGGCACCTACATCTTGACTGAAATGCAATTAATAGGATTTGCTGACGCTGTCAAAAATTAAATTAAATTCTTTATTTAAAGAATTGTTATATTGAATTTAATATATTAGAAAGCGATTTAGGCAAGCCATGTGTCATTTTGTCCTGTAATCAGACGTAGGTACACACAAATGACGTACAAATTGTGGGGGTGACTTCCAGGATTAACTCTCAATGACTACGTGAGACATGTAACCTTTAAGTAGGCCCCCAGCTGAAGAAGAAGAGAAGGACACACTGATAGAGTATTCTTCGTTTGCCTGTACGTTCTGACTCATATTTCTTTGCTGCGGGTTCCTTGTGGACCCTCAGAGGGTTGCTCAAGGATACTCGGGAGGCCCTGCCAGACTAGGGTGAATTGTGGTATTAGCTATTAGATCGGTTTAAGGATTGCAATAAGTGCGGATTCCCCATCAGTCTTTTTTAGCCTCTAAATTCTAACATGTAGACAGGTATATTGCTGTTGCTATTGATATTGCTAATTTAGTAATCTAGTAATTAATAATTGCATAAATGATGCAAAAGATGCAAAGTTTCTAATTTCCGGCGATTCTAATTTTGATAAATCCCAATAGTGTTGGTACATAGGTCAGCTGCATATACCCATACTCATATTCATATTGAAATCATTCTGGCAGGCAGGCGAGTGAACCATAATGTTCATCATTCATGAATCAAGCCGCAACACGCTCCAGCTATATTTAGAAAACAAAGCACGCATCGCGACGAAAACGCCGCACTTCATAACACGCAACCATAATGGTGAAATGGTCGTATTAGTGTTGTTGGGATAGTACGACCAGAACAAGTTTCGCCATAACATAATGTATTGTTGCAGCAAATGAGCATAAAAATATGTGAGGCGATGGAGGCACTTTCGCGAATCAAGCGCGCGGCGTGATTAAAACCGCTGAGATGTGAAAATTGTGAACTTGCACGATCGAAAACAATAGCTAATTGTTTCCATACGCTTTACATGTTGTTTTTTTACCGTAACTTTTCTTTTTAATGCAATTGCACTTGAGACAAGCCATTTTCGAACTGTCTAGTTTATTGCAAGCTGTTTGTAACCCTTGTATGACAAAACTTCGGGCAATGAAATGAAATCTCCGATCATAGTCTCGACGGCGATGTAACTGTAATTGCTTCGACGTCCTGTTCGGCTACCAACACATTGATTAAGCCATCAATTTTGCCAATAAACCCAATGAACAGCCCGATTAAAGTACCTGACATAAAACTTGATGATTTATTTCCTTCGAGTCCATAATTGCTTTTGATTTTATATAGCTGGTTAAATTCCCATTGAAAAAAACCGCTTTATTATATTATCTCACCTAATACACAAAATAATCTACCTGAAAAAGGTACATGGAAATCAAAGCAAATCGCAGATATATTTGGAAGTAGGTTTAATTGAAATTATCTATGATACAATTACATACATTAAAATGTACAGTAAAATAATTATATATAGCACTTTGCATAGTTTGTTGCTTTCGCTTTGCGCCTAAATCAATAAACAATTCAATTGAATATTCAAAACGACAATCAATGAAGAATTCCGTTATATAATATCCATAGCATATTTTTAAATAAATCGTAAAGCGGTTAACAATAGACAATTTATTCTTAAAATACACGAAATTAGGCTTTCTATTTTTTTTTTTCATTTCATCAAGATGTATTTTTAGCACATTTTATTTGCGCAAAGATAGACTATTCGTTTTTAGGATCCTTGACGATCAACACTGAAATTCATTTGGCTTTAAATTGTTTCTATGCTGTCTGTTTACGACAATGAGATAATAAATATTTTCATTGGTTATTTTTATGTTTTCTGATGGTTACACGTCTATTTAATGTGTTGGCGCTGGAACTATAGCTATGGCCACATAGTCGTTATATAATCGCTCAGCGAGTGTATTGGTGGAGATGTTGGTTAGTGTGACATTTATTTTGAATTTTAACAATGTGGTTTTTATTCTTTTAACGTCGATAAATTTTTGAAAATTTATATAACAACGATTATGCAGGAATTACACGTGTATTATAATAGTGCTTTACGTGTCTTTTAGTACACAAGTTGGCTAATCATTTAAGATCTTTCAAACTTTAGCTAGGATCCTTCGTGGTACGATGTAGAAGAGATTTTCAATAATTATGATGGACATTTTGTTCTGTCTTCTAGAATATTATTATATTTTATATTCTCATCTGCTCTAGTTTACAGTAATATTTATAAATAATTTGATTTACTTGGAATCGTTCCCCACGTTTTCTATTCCACCATCACATTTCATAGTTTCTCATTGACAATTAAAAATGTCTAGTTAATTTTGAAATAGAAGTTTGTACTTTGATCTTGTTCCAACATAAAATAGTTTCTCCTTTTGTGCTTCCTCATCGTCCTGCAGCCTACCTTTACGACTTCCAAGTTTACACAAATTGCAAAAATATATCATATATTTCACACAATCATTATCTCAATATCAATAGCAATATAGCGATCTCTTCTTATTTTAATTTCATTATTTAAATCCATGTTTCCTTTTTTTAGGTTAGGTATTTGATGTCATGCTTGAATCTGTTTAGGGTTATAAGGACTCTAAGATGTCTACAGTTTCATTGGACGTACTTTGCTTCTCTGTTTCTTTTTCATCGTTTGCGTTTACATGCTTAGCATTCTTACTTTTATCATCTGTTTATTACTTAGGTTATCAATTATCACCGAGCTCCTTTCTTTATAATTGTTACTTTTAATAAGTAGTGAAATTTAATGAAAATAGGAGCACTGTCCCCTTTCTAACGTAAATATATTTAATTTACGTGTTTATTGTAAATCATACTAATAATATTAAATACTACAAACATACATCAACATTGTACATGAATTTAGATAATTGTATGTAGAATCGTGTGAGAAAATCATATGCGGCAATAATAAAATATATTCAGTCACTCTCCCAACATTCTACACGATTTAGCAACAATCAGTCCGATCAATCAACGCACGCTTTTTCATATTTACATACAGTCTACTTGTATTTACAAATTTTGTATTCATTAAGCTATAGTCTTGCATTGACAATCATTACAATCATTGAAGAAGGCAAAAGAAGTGCATTATTATAAATTATATTCGTAGATTATATTAGATTCGAAAAATATTTGGAATGATTCTTTTAAAAATATTACAGCAGGCAAGTAAAACAATTCTTTTCTTTTTTGCTTGTCTTGTTACCTAGCAGCTACTACACTGGTAATAAACTAAAGATAATATTGTACTATCTGGACTAACACAAGTATATAAAAAACAACAACAAATAATAATAAAAATCATATCTGAAAAAGAGAAATTCCTAAAATCATAATCATACACAATTTTGGACAAAAAATATCTAAATAATTAATTAATATATAATATGTATCTATGTACACTGTTCATATTCGGGTTGTAATATCACACTCGTACTTTTCCATTATTTTAATCTGTTATAACGTAGTTGTAACTATTGTGATCTTCTATTTGAAATTTGAAAGGAAGTTTATCTTTTTGATTGAATTTTAACTTCTTTAAGGAAATTTAGTCCAATAAATTAGATATTGATATCAATCGAAGCCCACAGTTTAGCCGAAGCATCGTAGAGAGGCGTTTCAAACATTGGCCGCTTTTGAAAACCTTGCGTTAATTCATAATTCATATTTTCGACATTTTTTCGTGGGATCATTTACGTTAGAATCGTGAATAGTAGCGCAGCGATGAATAATGCGCTACCGGAAGCGACTTGGGATGCTGAACCAGCAGCAGTGGACTCCCTCGCTACGACATCCTGTTTGTTCTTCAATGATGAAGCTTCGCCATCTTGCATCATACTGCTGTTCTCATGTTTATCTGGCTCAGCATCCATAGAACCCTTTTTAATCTTGCGTTCGCCGCTGCTCTCAATATCATCGGTTTCTGGTGATGTGATCGGAGTAATATCTTCAGTTGTGGTGCGTCGTGTGGTTGTTGTTGAAGTAGTCGTGGTTGTAGTAGTTGTAGTGGTGGTAGTAGTCGGAACAAAACTATTGTTATGCAAGAAGTACACCGGGCCAAGTTCCTGGTGCACGTTACGCATGTTGACTTCAAACCTATTATCTTTGATCAATCTGTCGCGGGTTTCGTTATCCTCGTAGAATGCGGTAACGGTGGCGACATATCCTTCGTCAGCTTCGGTAAATTCGCCTCGTAGTGTGACATTCACAGCTGTTCCCGGTGCGAGATACGCTACAATCGGATACACTTCCATCTTTACAACGGGTTCCTTCATGCCCCAGTTGCCTTCGTAGGTCTTTTGGTTTTGGCTATGCACCATGAAGGGCAGCCCGTTCAACATACCGTGTCCATGTCCCCAATATACACTGTATGTATAGTTGAAGCTGATGACAGTTTCAACACGTGCGGTGTCTCCTTCTTCATTCTCATTCTTTAAAATGGTCTGACCTAGAATGGCTGCCTTCTTGGTGATACGCCTCCTGAATTGATCCAATTTGATTTTGCTCAGTTCATAACGAATTGGTTCGGTTTCAACTAATATCTCTCCATCTTCGAATTCCAACTCTTTATTGTTTTCGTTTATGACGAAGTACATGCCGTTTTTACGGTTTGGATCGACTTTGCCAAGGTAGTGCGAGAATGTGCTCTTATCTTCCGGTTGGCTGACTCGACGGCCCACAAAGTTGCGGTACGGTTCGTCGCCGCCGGTGATGGTGCCGGGCGGATGAAGACTGTACTGATCTTTGCGCACCCAACTGAGGCGAGCGCTGTCTTCTATGTTCACCAGAATCTCGTAACGTTCCACTTCGTGTACGCTGCCGTGCAGCGAGACGATGCACTTGCGCTCACTGTGACGCACCTGACCTGCCACCCAAATACCATTCTGCTTCGCGCGGCACACGTAGATGGGATGCATGGAATCATTGTTGGCATTATTGGTATCAGATCCGTCTTCTGTAAATACAAATATCAAACATACAAGCATGCACCATCGTGGTTTATCGATGACATAGAATTAGAATTATTTTCACTACCGCAAAATATACACATTGCACAAACCTTGTAGATTCTGATAAGCGCCAACTACCGCATGTTCGAAATTGTTGGAATTTTTCGTCGCTGATACCCATGTGAGCGCTGTGGATGTGAGGAGTTGTTGGAAGTTTTCAGACAGCCGGTAAACGGAACTGTCGCTGTGCACATTATGCGTCCACAGGCATAGCAACGCAAAAATCAATAGCAATCGCTTCATCTGGAACAATTAAAATGTCTGTGTTAGAATTCACCGAAAGCAAAGATCACAAAGACCGCGTTTCACATGTTAAACGTTGATGGTTTATTTTATCACCACATTGTTTCAGTTTACCATGTCGCATTGTTTAAACAATCGTACGTTCAGGCATTTACCCATGAGCGGGAAGATTGTTTGTCGTCTGAAGAAATACAAACAATTACACACGAAGTACTTGCAATATAAAAAGATAAGCATTAGAGTTGAAAGGCAATGCGTTATCTACTTTGGAAATTTTTGTCACGCCAAGGTAAATTAAACAATGATGCATTTCCTGTAAACATTTACTATTGTATCATATCTTTCTTATTCTTAGTTACATCAAGCCATAAAGATAAATAAAGACGATTAGGATATAATTATTTTAATATAAAAATGATGCAGTCTTCACCGCGAGTACTAACATCCGGCAGCGGTGGCTAAACTATCGTAATGCGCAAGGGATTCTGATGATTTCACACAATTAATGATCGCTGCATTAAACCAAGTGTATTATTACTACATATCTCTAAAAGCACAGATACTGTTATTTCGCGCATCTGGAAGTTATAAATCTTAGACGGTTAATTAGCAATAAATCCAGTCGATTTGTACTCGAACTATAAACGGACACATAATGCAGGTAAAATGAACACATGTAATCGTACTTTTAATTGCTCCTGATCATGTGAATAATAATGATAAAAACCTTCGGTTGTAAGTTTTATCGTACAACAATGTTGAATAAATATAACGTTCCAGTGAACACGAAAATATTCCCAGGGTATATTCTAAAATCAATAATATTTGTCTGGCTGCCCTTGGAATGCTGGAACACCGCCTCCCATCCCACACCAATATGCATGACATTGTACACGCGCATTGTAGCGCATATAGTTTTAACCGATGCAGCAACCTTTTACGTGTTTCAACAAGTTTTCTCTCCGATCCATCCATTGATCTGCCAGCAAATTAATTCTGGTTGTAGGCATTCATCAGTACACGAATGGAACAACAGCGAAAACGTACAGTATATATTTGCTCGTATCAGATGTGCATAAATGCATTGATTTATTTGTGCAATGTCAGCTTGAGCTGATGCGGAAAGCTCAAGTTTACAAAATCATAAGCGCACACCGCATCATCCAATCCGTAGACGTATAATTATAAGCTTTAAATGTTAATGGAAATGCCATAGCCATAACATCTAGAAACGATGAACTTGCCTAGTGCAATGATTGTGCATTTTGTATGTACAGATATTTCCTTGTGAACGTTGAAATGTTCATTGTGCAAATAATACTGCTACAACTCTAACTGTAACTAAAGAATAAAACATATAGGAAATACTAGCAAAAGAAATGTATAAGTGTAATTTAAAAAGATACGATTTATAGGCACGATAACAAGGCACTAATATTAATCAACCAAATGTTGATCACATTATTCATTTCTTGGAATGAAACACACCTTCCTCTAAAAACAAGTCAATTTCCGGCCGAGAAGCCGTTGCAAATCAACTGTTACATATAAAATCTCGCTCCGGATGTGGATGTGGTGATTTTAAGACACTGTGAATAATTTAAAATAATAGAGCTACACAACGAAAAAGATTTCCATCTCTTGACATTCAATGGGAATGTATAGCAAGGACGCGGATATATTTTTAACAATATCATTAATCATGTATAAGGCTGAATACATAAAATTTACTATTAGTAAAATTAAAGTTTACGTCGGTGTAATTATAACTTGTTAATTTTTAATTAGACAAAATAATTTACTCCAAGGCCTCATGAACGGCATGTGCTAAAATTTATTTTTATGCCTTCACGGGTTGTTTCTGCATTTGATGATTAAAGAGACAACTATTCACTTATTTAGGAATGACATAATTGGCGAATGAGTGTCTACATCAGGGTATTACTCGTAAAATGAAAATAGCCGCAGTACATAATTAAGTATTTAGTCATTTAAAAGTGCTCGGTTTTTGTGTTATAACAGGTTCAGTTCTCTTCGCAATTAGCACGCGAATATTTCATCAAGAGTGTTGCTTGTGGTAATATATAATTATAAGATGATTGTGTTTTACTTTAAACAAATTAATGTTTTGTTTTCAATGAGTATATAATTAATTTAATGCTTTAGGCAATAGATGTAATAAAATTAAAGTAATAAAACGAAATAAGGTAATTTGCATAATTAACTAGTAGTTAACCAGTATCAATTTTTTGTGATATACTTAAATAAATTCCTGTAACCCAAAATATATTAATAGATGGCAATCTTTTTATAAGCCCACGAACGAAAAAGATGTTGTCGGGCGTGGGTGTGATGAACAAGCAATTGACAAGTGTTTTCAATAACACTTGCTAATCCCACGTGTACTCGGTATGCTGATTTAAGATTCACTTGAGGCTTAATAGGAATATATGAATATGAGTTTCTTGGCATTGACATTTCGTTTTCTGTTTTCTATTTGTACTTCAATCAGGGCACGCTCTTCTTAATTAATCCACGCGTATTACTCATTGTAGTACACACGATCGCAAACAACTGCACATAAATATTCCAATAAGCATTATTTGATTATACGACTTAGGTAATGTGCTCGTAATAATGGTTCAATTTACCTTGTTCTCGAAGCCATTGAGTAATTTATTTGTGGCGCCGCATGACAACGACATTCGGATTTACATAAACAATTGCAGGTACACGCGGCGCGGGCAATGTAAATCCAATTGAACATGAAAGTCCTCACCGATCGCAAGGAATCTATTGAATGTAAAACGTTTTGCAATATTTTAACCTGTTTACACATTGCGCTTGTACTGAAACTGGTACATGACAGAATGTGATATGGCTATAAATATTGATAAGTGGAAATGCAGAAAAATGCTGTTGCATTGGTGTAATTGTTGCGCAGAATGCGCACGATTGGAAACTTTAAAATGTCAGCTGGTTTTCACATCAAGGTACTTTAATGAGATTTGTTGCCTGTGTGAAAGGCTACCGCTACTAACATGTTGAATGTTTCTAATGACGAATTTATTCAGTGTTTCTTTACTTTAACCATCGCTTAATATAATGCATAGGTCAGTGATCTTTATCAATAAATTTGCAATTGCTTAGAGCTAACAGACGCAAGCTGTGAGTATGTTTAATGCCAACAAGGGACAATATCCCTCTTATCGTTTCGTCTTAGGGCTTGCTTGTTGTACATATCAAGGTTTATTTATCTTTCACGTACAATGCTTCTGCTATGATCTCATCCGAGTCTTGTAGATTTTATTTTCTAAATTCATATATGAAAAAATGTTTGTTCCGCCTGTAATGTAAATACTCGATTAAATAAAATGGCAAGCATCAAAGCCAGTACAAAAAATCATTTAAGATATGTACGAGTATTTGCAAATATTAAATTTCGACGTCAGATTTACCCGTTATTTTTTTATAAAATATATAAAGCTTTTGGTTTGAATTCGGTTCGTACCGGTTTTATATTAATTTGAATGTTTCAACGATTTATTATCGAGGTCTAAAAAAAAAAAAAAGAAATTGATCCTCTATTTGGACAGTCGATGAATTCAAATTAATTTCGAGATCAAATCAAATATTACGAGCCGGTGTTATTTTTTGTAGTTTCTGACATTTAATTTTTTTTAGTTGGAGTTAAAGCGCGGAGTGAATCATTACAAGTCAATGACGTGTAAAGTTTATCTTTATACATGAGCAATCCAGTGGTTCCAACTTCCTCGCCTTCTTCGTCCGATTCTAAAGTTAATGAATATTTATGTGCATGTGCGACCGTGCCCTATTCTTCTGCTTCACGTAAACTTTCAACATTTCAACAGTTCAACTGCTGCTTAACCTTATACGATGCACAGACTACAAAAATGCACAACTATTCAAATCAACAACAAATCACTTTTATCCTTTTTCATACTTCAAAACTAGTCAAATTATTTCCAATGCATAAATAACACTTAACAACACTCGGAAAATTGATTTTAAAACTAGCTTCATACAAATTTATTCATATGAGTAATGTAACTGGAGCAAAGCGGTACTAATCTAGATAAACAAAATAGTCTTATGTAATTCCACATGTCTAAGTGCAAACAAACCGAAATTTAGTTTCGCTATCTCTCATAAATATTAATTTATCCACAAGGAATTCAACAGTTGTTTATTTATATCGAAAGGTGAAGTTTTAAAACAATGTTTTCGTTCGCTTTATCAAGCTATTGTTCATTCTCTACGCGTTAATGAAGAAGGAAATATCCAATATGCATTTCAATTTACACTCAGCCAATTTATATTTTGCTGCTGCAATTCAATTCCAACTTTCAGAAATAAAAGGCTTCCTATTTCCAATATTGAACTGTTCCACGTTTTATGTGCCATTCATCCACTCATTTGTCGCTTGCGCATTTTCCTTCTGACGCACAACAGCCGTTTTAATCGATTATCGCGGCAACGTTATCATTTTCCGACCTTAAATTTCATCTCTAAACGTGCAGTATTCAATAGTCCATGTTTGTAAGTGTAGGTATATCTTAAATTGAATTCGATTCAATAAAAGCCCTTCATGTTTCAATTTATATTCAATCGAAACTTTTTAGTTGTCATTCAATTTTTGTTTGGATTTACAAGGGATCTGCACCATTATGAAAATGAGTGGTTTATATTGTCATGAATAAAATTGCTATTAATATTATGGTGCTTGTTACAATCCATTGTTCTCTAGGTCTACCCTTGGTTTAAATTGTGGGGGATTGTCGATTGATATCAATTAAATCAGTAGGGGGTTTCCTACCACCTTTTTACACAGTTTTTTTTAAGTATAGAATTTGATAAAATGACTTCTATGGTATTTAATATGATGGATCTTATTGTCAATAACAACAAACCATTAGCAATAAGTAGGAGCAGATTGATACAAGGGTAAAATAGATGCAAGTGCATTTCCACCCCTGCAACCCGCACACAACCGACACGGTCTATTCGTAGGGTAACCACTACTATTTTTGTTCGATTGTTCGTGGTAGGAGGGTGGCGCTTGCTCCATTCATTCATACACGCATTTGTGCATCGCCACATCTCCGATTTTCTCGTCTCGATTAACCCGCGCTCACACCTCACACCCACCAGCTAGACCGACTTGAATGCAAAGGTAGCTGTGTGCGTTCTGCGTCAAATGCTGTTTTCGAGGGCGATTTCGCCGACGGCCGGTGCGACGTATCCATGACAACACCCTTGCAACGTGCCGACATTGCAACCCAGCTGGTACTACACGCTACATGCGTGGGCGGGTGTCTGCCTGTACTCCAAGTCGGATACGCTCTCTCGGCGCGGGTGGTATTGTTGCCGGTTTTTAGGGCCGCAATCTTATTTCTTCCGTATTATTTTCCATCTTGTTTTTCTTGCCGAGATTAAATTGTACGCGTTGATTTCAATTTGTACAAGGACAGGAAATTTGATTCATCAATCTATAATTATTTTAGCTTGTACCCATGAATCACATATTTTCATTTCGAAAATTCATGCAACATTAACATTTCCTTATCGTCGTTTGTTTTGTTCTAGGTGAGTCAACTTCTTTCTCGTTAACTCTGCTGCATCAGCGGCTAAGTAAAGCATAATCATCATTATCATTTATCTTGGCGCCGTAAGTATATTAATATCCAAACAAAAACGCATTTATTAGGCGGGAGTCATTGTGACATTAAACAATTGCCACATTAGAAGTGCGCACTCTTAATTTCAGCAATTTAGTAATTATAAAACGACCAAAAGTTAATATACAATCATATTTCATCTACTGTCAAGTGTACCAAATTATAAATATTAGCATTGTTCGTAAAACAATAGTAGATAATTATTTATAGGCACAGTAAACATTTTCAAATAGGTGAATGTAGACAATAGTCACCTATACACAAATATTTCTGTTGTGTTTTTGTATTTATCTAAAGATAAAAAGAAAATGTTGAAATTAGGTTAAACGTTAAACTAGTCATTAGAGGCAGACAATTTCTTAGTAATTACAAGAACGCAAACTTTAATCATTATATACAAGGAAGTTTAGTTATCAGAGAAGTTCAGTTATTAATTAATTGGCTAAAGATTAATTATACATGACAAGTTGGAAGGTTGGTTGGAGGGCGGTACTCAAACGTTCGAATTTTTAGATTCACTAAAGCTCGCTGGGTGCAATCAACTTACGTTGATTTTTTGACAAAGATGAAGCAAACTTAAATTTATATCTTCATATTCCACTGATGTTTGACAGAGATCATCAACTCCAACTTAAATGTACCCGTTGCGGTTTACAATCATAGTCACGACTTACATTCTATTTTAATAGGTTTGCAAGAACATCGTAATTCAACCGTGTTTTCTTATCTTCTTTATTCGTATATGGGTTACTTGCTTAAAATGTAATATACAACAAAAGATTAAAAGATTCCAAGAGACATTAACATTTAATTTTTATTCCACCGGACTGAGAAACAGATTAATCTAGATACGTGGGACAAATGATAAGTAACGGAGTAATTAATGTTCGTGACAATGTTTACAATGACCACGTTTGAATTATTATTCATCGTTGGTGAACGTTTCTTAAGTCAGACACGTACCGTATTCCGAAATGTTTTTTTTTTTTGTTTAAATATCTACGTGAGATATCTTCATTATTCGTCTTGCAATTTAGGTGAACTGATGGATATGCACAGTTATGAGCAACATCCACTGAGTCATCAACGGTATTATGATTGAGCAAACACGAAGAATTAAAAAAAAAAACTGATGTTCAGTTAAAATTTAGGAGAACCGCTGCGCTTGCTTATTTATAATTTAATATGTTGGTGGTTTATTACGCGTGCCGAATAAAGCCAATTACACTGAGTAAGCGAGTAATTGTGAGTCTAAACACGTTAATCAATTACCTTTCCGGTTTTTGTGACGGTTTCTTTCTATTACTTTCATGCTCCTAGCAATGCCACGCTGAAATTTAATTAATTTCAATATTTTAAGTGTGTATTTGGAGAAATTTGTACTTGCGTCAGCTTTGACGAAGCAATTGAAGAGTACTGCGATGTCAATCTACAGTAATTCATCTGATCTGATCTGACATACATACATTGCCGACATGCCGACGATTTCATTAAGCAGTGAAGATATGAGCGCACAGTGAGTGACGTATGAAAATTAGTCTCGATATTAAACGATATTGCGTATATAATTTGCGCGCCGCTGCGTTCTGTACTACACTACTACATGCGTTTACAGCGGAAACTAATTAGGTCGCGATGATCAAGTGATACTGAAAGACAAACTTCGCATCTGTCATTTCAACGACGAGCATTTGCTTTTATCAAATGTTAATACTGCCTTAATTTCAACGCCTGCTGTATTAATTATTATTAAAATGGTACGCATTAGGGTGTTCCTATAATTGTAATTTTAATGAATAATAATTCAGATTATTCTGATTAAAACAGATAACAAATCACAGTTGCATGTTTTAGACAACAAAAGCAAATGTGCACACATTTAATATGTTTGTTTATTCGAATGTTATGCCTAAGTTGTTGTAAGCTGAGTGGAATTCAAGCGCGTAGAAAAGGGTCAATCAGTTCCATCGGGAGGTCAAGTGGCTAAATAAACACTTTTTAATTTATCGACCTTTAAATGGTTCACGAGTGAATTTGTGGAAGTGTGCTCATTTTTGAAATCACATCACATGAGTCAATAATAACAATATTTGCATGAGTCTGCGGCGAAATGAGTGCACACGTTCTGAAAGCATGTATTACACAAATAATCGTATTTATAAATTTACAGACAAACCCGAAAAAGCTGAATCCATGTGGCGAACCGATCAAAATGACAAAGGTTTGATTTTGGGTGAAAACGATTTTGCAGCGTTTTACATTGACATAGTTTTTTTTGTTCTGCCTCACCATCGCCATCATTTGCTTGCGCGGTTTTTTTAAACTTAAATTAGCATGCAATGTACCTGTTTCGACTGAGTACATCTACATAATTAATGGAAATTTATGCACCAAGTTTAGAATGATAACAGTACGTACGCTGGTACTGTCATTTTTATTGAGGAAAAAACTAGTACCAACTGCTGTGAGGCGGCCTTGATGTAGTTTACGTAATAAATCTCATGACGCAAACTTTAATTTGATGGATTGAGAGGCACAAAGAAACAAAAGCTCATTTAAAAATATTGATGCATTGTATTGTTTTTTATTGCATTCGATACTTCATCAAATTTTTAAATTAGGTACATATGGCAGAGTAATATCAACAAATAATCAATTACAATTGCGGTAATAAATTTAATATACTTATTAGGTGTTGGCTTATACGTGCATTTTATTAACATACCACACATATATTTGAATGTTTATAGAAGCGAGCATGCGTTGAATATATACATGTCTGGCGTAACGACGATTAATTAATAAAAGGAGCGTGTAAGCGATGTAGTTGCAATGGCCGCGACATTCGACGTCATTGTGATTGCATCTGCAAATGGCAACAGACTATCTCGAATAAGGAAGCCCCAACATATGACCAAAGTGGCGCTGGCATAACTTATCGCCTGATTGTGTTTGTCTGGTGTGGAACCGTTTATGCAATGTCGATCCATTTATTCAATTTCTCATTTTTTATATTTATTTATCGCAATTTAAAACGGAAGGGTTTACATAAGTTATGACATTGAACAATTAAAACTTAATGTATTTCAAATTTATTGATGACGGTGCGCCAAATATTGTGTTCGTAATAAATCTAAATAATTCCAACCGGTTCACATGCAACATTAATTATATCCAGGTATTAGCGCATAACTCGCTTTCCTGTATTTATTGAGGCTAACACGGTTTTTAAACGATCCGGTTTCAAAAGGACTCGTTTGTATTTTATGTGTGATGAACTATTGTCATAAATGAGAGGCGCTCGTGTCTAACTCGCATTAGTTTCATTTAGATCGGTGCCGACCTAGTTTCAAAATGTTATGTTTATCAACTGCAACATTCTCAACGTCACACTATATAGGTATTATGCACTAAAAAAGTTCACAATTGATTCCTTTCACAAACATAAAAAGTTGATACACTTTTCAAGAGTCATATAGACAACAAAACTTAATCAAGTGAAGACAAAAGAGAATGTATGATTTATAGCTGCGTTATTTGAGTCTTAAATAAAAGCAGGAAGAAAGTTTTTTTACTTAATACATTTTTAAACCTACTTGGTTTCAATCCTGTGTTTTAATGAAAAACTTTGCAGCCTTGAGCTTGATGTTGCAGTTAAAGCTGAAAGGGTGTGCCTCACATGAGATTTGTTTTATAAATGCTCGAGTCCTTTTTCGTCTAAAAATGTCACTCTCATTTTAGAGTTGCTTCTCTGAGGTTACCAATAACAATGTTACTAGCATGCAAAACATGGGGATGCTGTGGGTGCCACGTAAATGACGGAACCCTAAAGGGTTAACCGCAACCTTTTGAAGTCCCTAGCCTGTCTCTTCGAATTGGAACGCTAAATAAAACAACCTCGCTACGCCCGCAGCGGGTCAAGGACGTGTCGTAACATAAACGCGCGCAGAATACGTTCGACTTAATCATTTTATTTATTCCCCTTCGGAATCGCACCACGATGCTCTTTTTTATATTCTTGTCCTTTGCATAGATATTCATATACATACATCTTTAGTAAATTAAGTTGTCCTCACGTTCGTTTATAGGCGGGAAAATTCTATATTTGATTTTTTTATTATCTTTTTCTCTCGTTTCATATTAATGAAATCATAAAAGTAATGAAATTTTGTGTTGTTTAGTCTCTACTTGACAGGCGTAGGTCCATGACGTGCGTATATAATGCATAATTATTCATTTAACTTAACCATGGACGAAGAATATGAAACGAAATAAAACATGTGCCTTGCGATTGAACACACCAAGAGTTATGTACGGGAACAAGTATAGCTAATATGAGATGAAGCAGCTTTGATGACGTTTGAAAAGGGAAAGAGCATGACTAGTATTAAAGCTTTTCAATCATCCGTAAATTGCACGTATGTCTACTATGAGCAAGTTGAGGCACAATATAACAAATCGTGTACGCAACATTGTAGACAAAGTTCCAAAATCTAAAAATTCACTATGCAGTAAACAAACGCATATTAACTCCGGCTTCCGTTATAATGGCCATTGTCGCTATAATTTGTGGTTTAATCATGGTTCCATTACACGGATAGAGCCTACAACACGCATTATGAACGAGCAAAGGGAATTAGCAAGCTGATGCAGATGAACATTCATTGCATGTTTCCATAGTCCAAAGTACTGCAGAGTTTCGAACCAAATTAACCACCATGACTGCTGATGCTCAAAATTTATTGCTGGGGTTTGGAAATAAAAGCAATATTATTTTTCTTTAGATAATAGGATTTGTTACAATAATTTATTATAGATGTAAAATTATTTTAAAGTAAGATGTGCAAAGCGCTACACATGCAATTTTGTTGGGATTGAATTTTCCTGGTTTTATGTTTACGCATCCTATTTGTTAAAAAGCGCGCAAATAAGAACTGCCCTTTTCTCCTCCTCTCATTCCTCGACAAGCAGATCCAGGTGGAGGATAACCTTAACCTTAGCACACCGGGTGCACGGCGAACATTTCTAGGTTCCATTCTCCTGGAACTTTTTACGTTTATACTGCTATGTGTATGCTACGGTACATTTCTATAGTTTGCCACAGCTGGCACCTTGAACCTTGCGGCACTTTCGGTGCGACATTGAACGCGTGTCAGCTCCTTGCGCGCTTTATAGGTCGTATTCTTTATTGATCCCCAGGAGCAAAACTTTTGCCGTGCTTCTATTTTGGATCTATTAGTGTTGGAATCTTTTTGGTCAAAGTGTACGTTAACCGAAGGTGCTGTATGTGCAGCCCCTCTTGAGGGCTGGTACTCAGCACTTCTGAACCGCTCATTTTTCAGCTATTATATGAAAGAGCCAGCTGGCTCGCTCTGTGGACCCAGAGTCCCAGACAATTGGTCGTCTACTGCATAATGTTGCAAGCAATATGTCTCTATTGCCAAAAAGCGGATACGGGTGGACAGATGCACTTATTGTGCAGGCTTCTATAAAATCGACCTCTACATACATACTTCAGGAATTAGTCCACAGTATTATTTTATACAAAGTTTGTATGTTGTCTGGTTTATTTTATATAGGTACGAATATTAAAAAAGTTCAAGTCCACGCTACACCGAAGTTCATTAATACCACATAACCTAGAATTTATTATAATCTCATTTATATTTAGCATTAATGTCCCACCGAAGCGGGTTATAATTTTGAATTTACGAGGAAAATGAATATTTTACAATCGTGATTTTCATGCTTCATGCGCCCGAGTTGTGGTCGCTTTTTTGTGTTGTTGCTCATTTATTTTTTCTTCCTTCTTTTGCTCTCCGCATGGCTACTTATGCAGACATTGAAAGTGTAACGGAGTGTGGATAATTTTACGACGAAAAACATCAAATGTCAAAACAGAATATTAACATTGATATTTTTTTGGTAAAAAGGTCTTACACTTCTTATTATTATATTTAATAATGTATTATTGGAGTGTAATCTTTGCTTTCCTCCGGTTAGTGAATAATGACGAAATTATAAGATAGTTAATCATTTGAGCGGGTTGTCGTCATTATTATCCTTCGACAGACATTAGTCGAACGCGGCGCCGTTTTAAATCGGTTTTATTTGCATACGCAACGACGGAAAACCATAGTTTGCGTACGCACGCAATGAGCGCACGTATATGCATTAATGGCTGTCGCAAACGTCCGTCGTATTTTATAGTTCTGCTGACCATATACAAATGGCCATAGTGGTGGTTATCGAGTACTCTCGCACTTTATATAGTCCACGTCTCTGCAAGAGGCAAGACGCCGGGGCTATGTAAATTATTGCTTGTTTATGTAACGTAATATCATTTCCAATTCAATTTAGTCTGCTCTTATTTCTCGTGAATGTTGCCGGGCGAGTTGTCATCTCGACAGCGTCGTAAATGCGTTCCCTGCGTTCAGTCTTATTAGCGATTGATGAAGTACTACCTACTTTCATTGAATTATCCAGCTAGATCACGTTTGACCACAGCCAACAAAGAATATAAATCAGTGCAATTGTGTATCCAGTGAACACACTCCTTCACAACAAGGAGAAATAATATAAAACTAATAAAAATTCAGTCTTTTTTATGCTCGTCTCGTTGGAGTTTTTGGACTTTGAACAAAAGATTAACACTTAAATTCGAATGAAATTTGAGAGAGCAAGCAGCTCTTTAAGGTCTCACATGAACTGGTACCGTTACTTTTAACTACACGTAATATAACAAGTTTATGAATGCATCGGTACAAAAGTACAATTCGCCTACAATTTAAACATTCAAACGGGATATGTTTAGGTTTAATTTTTAAAATATAGTTACATAATTAGTTTCATCTGCGGGGGAATATAAACGTTAAGGAATTTGTCGGCTTTCCGTAGCTCTGTCATTACCTTTTTTCCGATCGAAAGGCAAATCAATAAATCATTGATTGCCTCTACGCGCACGAACGTAAATTACATCGACCTTGTTATAGACGTCGTTATCTATCGCACATAATTTTCAGAGCCTTTGATGCTGGTAAAAGTAAGACTTGGAAATCAATGCGAAAATCTCAATAAACGTAGCTCGCAATATTATCAAATACATTGAAAACATTATATGTACAACTATAACTGTATCAATTATTATCCCAACTCGACGGGTATGGAATCGCGATTATGAAGTTTTCATTGCGGACGGCAATTTAAAATGCATAATTTAGCCGCCTTTAGAATTACAGCTAAATCAAACCAGTAAAATGTTTGCTGATTAAATGGATGTAAAAAATATGCAAACTTGCTAGGTATTAGAAGGCCATTCGATTCAGTAAATCAAAAATAATTACTTATGATTATATATTTAGGTTATTACTACTTAATATTTAGAGGCTAACTTATGTTGTAGTCTTTTGACATTTGCCTTTATGATCATCATAAAAAGTATATAAATTTAAATACCGTTTTTCTTCGTTCGTTTGGTTTTTGTACAAACATGTCTGTACAAATATTGTCATGTATATGAACCTCTGACTTTAAGATTACCATAAAAGCATAAAATGAAACTAATACGAATAATGTTTACGAAAACCATTTGTCGAATATACGAATTCTAAACAAACAACAGATGAAAAGAGGTCCAGGACGTACATAGAAATATTTCCAAGCAATTATAAATTTAATTACGAACTTTAACTTCATCAGCGCCATTAACTTAATGATAATTATCATAAATTTGCAGCAGCACTGATATGCTTCACTGGGATCACAAACGAACTTAAGCTAGCAATGACTACTGATCCTCGTAAAGCCGTGTACTTGACTCATCTTTCTTGCGTTTTGTGTTTTCTTCTTATTGGTTGTTGCTACACCTGATCTACGATGTACTGCACTACGACTACCAACGACTATATGTAATAAATTCATGTTTGCGTCTGAAACCTTTATATGTCGGCGCTTGAAATACGCGATCGAGCGTGTGGTGTGGATATATTCCGGTCCATCGGGCAACTTAATTAAGTCATTCGATAGTTAGTAATTCAGCCGTATTCGCAAGGTGTCCCATGTGCGAACGTGTAAACACTATAAAAACATGAATGTCGATAGTGTGAATTGTAAACACTTCATTCAGATCAATGAATAAACCATTTTGCAACATTTATCATCGTTTTCTAACAAATTGAGTACACTTAATAGAATAAAGAAAACGTCGCTTTAAATTTGCATCATTAAGCGCGGCACGTCATGTTTTAATTTGATCTTCTTCCTAATCAGGTGTGTACAACTGTATGAACAATTATCTTCTTAAGGAATGCACCTTACGATGATAATCGCCGCAAAAAAGTAAATTATTTCATTACGACCGCCGTATTATGCTAATGCGGAAAGGTGATCGGTGGTATTTTAATGGCGTCGTTATAATAAATTATAATGCATCAATGTTGGAGAGATATCGGTAAAATGGTAGTTATTTAATCGCTAAAGTGGCATCTTAATCGTCGTAACGGTGCTTTGTCTTTCTCATTGCTGATATCTCTTTGCTCTGATGATTTTGTAGCATTACAAGACAAATCAGTGTGTCGCCTTGATGTAATTGCAAATCGATACATTTTATATGTTCGCGATAAAACTAATCGCAATTCCTGCTTCCCAGGGTAAACGAAATAATTTTATTTCAAATTCGCGTGTTTATGTACGTCAATAAAACTAAACTTGAACTAGGCACAGGAGCAGATGAATGCCTTTGTGTTGAGTATTCACAATATGCGTTGATTCAATGTCAATGCCGCCTCCGCGCACGCGATCTTGATGCGGACGATGATGAAATCGATGCAGGCCTAAATCTATAATGCTAATAATAGCATGCTGTTTAGGTATTGCAAGAATAACTGCATCTATCTACAAATCGAAAATGCTTCGCTTTAATTGGAATTGTTAACAGAACATTTATTTTCTGTGAAACCAGGAGTACCATATCTTGCAAGTGCAGTTTATGTGAATTGCATAATAAAAACAAATACAAATTTGATTAAAAAAAACTTATATAATTTTAGTTTGCTATGACAAAATAGGCCTAGGGTACATTTCTAATGAAGGTATATGAAGTAGCGCCATCAGTACCAGCCCCCCTAAAACTGTGCTTTCTTCAGTGAGCATAAATTATTCATGCGACTCAAAGAGGCAGTAATCAATACAGTTGTGTAGGTAGAGTTGCAGCCACAAAACCACACGCATACACGATGTTATAATCAGAAATGATTGTGTTTGTACTGATCTGACTATAACCGTTTTGTTATGGTTTTTGCAAGATGTGCGACCTGGCTAATTTGCAATTTAACCAACAATATCAATCAGTCATGGACTTTAAACATGCAGTGCACTCGCGTTATTTATGCAACTCGAGCACCGGTGCTCACGTTCAGACAACATACTCGTACTGCATACTTATCTGCGCACACGAAAACCATTAATTTCATTTAATTTAACCGCGTGCGCGGCACTCATTTGGAACCAAATTAATTAAAACATATCGCACTATAAAATCACGAGGCGGCTTGTTAGGATTTGCATTTCCTTAATTATTTTCATTGCATTTCTGGTATATTTAAATTAACTCTAAATCCATCACTACCTTGGTAAATAATGTATTTTTTAAAACAGATTGAGCACAAAGTTACCAACGATCATCTGTTTGGTTGTTGATGCATTTAGATCGCTGGAAAGTTACGGTTAGATCATCCAAGTTGAATTTAATGTACCACAAGATGATGGTAGAAAGAAATCTCTGCTCGCTGATGACCATGGCAGCGGAAGAAGTTAATAAACTCTTGGTTTTCGTTCAGGTTCCAGCTCTTGCGGTGCCGAGTGCTCGTAAACTTGACAATGACATCAAATATCAAGGAATATGTTGATGCCGGTTCTTTCTAAACGATATAGATACCTTTTTTGTAGGAGTTTTATAGATTTATGCCAGTATTTTAGTTTTAAGTGTGGTGTGATAATATTGTATCAGAAATAGCGAATACATATCATTAATTTCGAAAATGACCGCCGACCTTGATGTTTGTGTGTGGAGTTTATATGTTACCATGCCGGCATGTACAGTAAAACATTTCCATGATATAATCCTGCATTTCCATGTCGAAGTTTGTCAAAGTAATGGAATTCATTGGCTTTTATTGTTAATCGATATTACACAGAGAACTTACGCAAATAAAATTCGGATAAAGGAATACATTTAGTATAATATTTCGCCTTTTTTCTTGATGAATAACATATAAAGGTTCGTATTGATATAATAGACACATGTTTTAATCATAAATCAACATATATTTTAGGCAAATTTTAAATCAAATAAAAGCCTACCTTTTGAATTTATTAGTATTAAGGTAATCCGTTTAATAATAATCCAAAGAAATATGTGCGCACTGATTTAAATCACACTCAGCACACAAGGCCCGGAAATTTTTGGCGCCTTTTTTTATGGCGACCGTTTGAAAATCACGGGGATCACCTTTGAAAGACTTGTCTTTTGAAATCAATTAAACAACGGCACACTGTTGTACTGAAGAATCGTCGATGACGACACACGCAACAGACGCAATCTCGAGTGTGATGAATCTTATTTTTTGATGACTGCGCTGGACGCGCTCTACGTTCGGCAACGGTTACGACACAACAAGCAACTCCGCGCGGCGCCGAACGAGGAATGATCCGGTTTGGCCTTTGCGTTCCGCGATGGTGCGACCGCCGCGCCACCGCTACCGGTGTCGGAAATCGCATGGGACCGATGCTCATGGATTAGCAACGGCGGCCGGCTTGGTCGGTGGTTACCATTAGGAAGGACTGTATGAGTGGCAGACATCTTCGTGAAGATTCGCTTTGACGAATTTGTCAAACCAATATAATTTGTAATCAAGCTATCACTTATGTGCTCGTATATATCCTGTAACAAAAGTGCACGTGGGGACCAATAAAAGTACTGAACTTCCGGTTTGGAATCAAAACTGGAACACACAGATTCATAAGATGTTTTATGTGAACTGAATACCATATTATCAGTTCTTCAGCCATCACAAAAAATGTCACACGAGTCGTAGGACGATCAGTAATCTTGTTTTTTTCCGTGCCTGTTGAAAAACCCCGAATGAAAAATGAGACGCACATCCAGAAGATTTATCCTTCGTTGTTTGAGCAAACACTATGAAATACGAGACTTGTGACCTAAGCCAATGTCAGTATATCGTGCATCTATCTATATATTTTTATAAACTTGTGCGCACATATTAAAGGTAATAGAGCAATTTGACCGCCCCGTTATATTAGGAAGTAACCAATTGCAAAATGTAATCGCAAGTACATATACTCCACATTCGTTCACCCATTATAAAATTGCACGCGCAACTGCGCCGCACTCAGCGAAAATTGACCACACGGCTGATACTACATTACACGATTTTTATTTTAAGCTCCTACGTGCACTCACTCAATGATGATAACAATAACGTTTGTTATTGTCATTAACAATTTCGAACTGGGTTTAACATGGCGGATGTTGTTTGAAATCAGCAATTTTCAACTTAATTCGATTTTATGTTATTATCTTTATCTAATTGAAGCACGGAAACTAATTTTTTCTCCATTAGGCGAGTGTTTCTGTAATGAAACCATATAACTAGGGATGTTGACATCATTGTTGACTGGTTGAGAAAGGTCGTTCATGGCCTTACACTGAATTTCAATTTCCTGCGGCAATATTGTCCTTACTCGTTAGAAACAGTTTGTAATGCATGAGTCATCAAAAAGATAACAAAGGGTGTGTACTTTAGGGAGTCTGTGTTTTGTTTGAAGTTGATGCTTTCCTGACGCATTGCAAATTTATAAAATTGCACTTATACTACGTTGCTTTTTGTATCATTGCAGGGATGGAGGCACTCGAGACATGTATAAATTATTGGGAAGATGCACTGGCGGTCTATCGATCATCGGAAGGATGCGGTGGAGGTCCTTTGGCTGTATTGGGGACAGAGGAGGCTGGTTTCTGCCGAGACCTGCAACATTTACTAGACAGCGCTCTCGAACTGCAAGAGAGCTCAGAAGTTCTGTTCTTAGATGAGCGTTCTGTACTCTTTAGGCCGGGTAGTAAGGACAATCAACGCGGAGATGAACATGGATTAGATGCTGATTTGTCTGGAGCAGAGAGTTTTGCATCTGCACAAGATCAGGTCCTTATACTTATTTATATGCGTAATAGAAAATATTTATTAATACTTTATATTTTGCTTCAGGTTGCGGATTTGAGAGAATTTGAAGAATTCACAGAATTGTTCCCTGATCTTGAATCTCTTCCTCTTTATCAAGATGCCCTGAGGCAATTGGAAAATGGTGGGATTCCATGTCGAACCCTTCGCACCGAATTGGTCAAATGCGGCACAGACGGCGAATATCTTTCGAAATTACATTGTCTACGTTTGGCATTTCAACATATGCTCAAGGAACTCGCCAACTACAATTGGTTCGTTGATGCCGGTCGTCAAATACTTGCCGATTTATTATTATATGCAGACAAGGACCCGAAAGATTTTCTAATCGGCTACGAAGAACTCTTACGCTACGTGCAAGAGACATCAAACTGGCGTGACATGGAAGAAGAGCTCAGCAGCAAAGGCGTGAAGGCCCTTACATTCTACGATGTGGTTTTAGATTACATACTGATGGACGCGTTCGAAGATCTTGAATCACCGCCATCTTCCGTCACGGCAGTCGTCCAGAATCGGTGGTTGTCCAACGGTTTTAAAGAGACTGCGCTTACGACCGCCGTGTGGTCGGTACTAAAAGCGAAGCGGCGAATGTTGCGATTTCCCTCTGGCTTTATGGCGCATTTTTATAATATCAGTGAACAACTGTCGCCTCTTTTAGCGTGGGGTTTTCTTGGTCCTGATGAGTCTCTAAAGGAAACGTGTACTTTTTTTAAGGATCAAGTAATGGGCTTTCTTGCTGATATTTTTAACTTTCAAAAGTGCAAGTTTACCACTGTTGAGGATTTATCTGCGGATGTTTTTGAATTGATGAAGGCGAGAGTCGATAATATTTGCCAAAGATTAGAGGTTCAAGTGTAGTTAAGTGTTTATAAGAATAGTTAGAGCAATGAGTTAACTTTTGTAACATATACATAATAATTATTTGCTAAAAGTTCAATAATTATAAACTAAATAAGTTTAGCAGTCACGTAAATAATGAACTTAAATGAAGGTTACATTCCCTTATTAACAAAATAGTTTAAAACATTTGTCTGTATGAATGAATATTATTTATAAACAAAATGTGGAAGAAAATCTTGTTATTTTATTGAGTATTTTGCATTTACAAACATTCTTTTATTATTATAAAGCCAATCACACAAGCAGATCCATCTGTACTTTAAAGGGAGAAAAATAACATGCATGTTTGGGATAACCTAAAAACTTTATCCCATCTTCAACCTTCAAATAAAAGCACTTACCGGTTTTCGTAAAGTAGCAATTGAAAATAAAACAAAATACAAATTTTTGTTCAATTATTCGATTAAAACATATTTATACAAAATAATTCATTGCTTATAAACAGTAGTTTAAAAATTGTTTGATATTTTAAACTTAATTTTAGAAGGAAAGAATGGAAAATAAGACAAGAAGTGAACCTAAAACCACTAAAAATACGAATATTGTGAATTGTGCTCCAAAATTAGTGAATGTTCTCTACCCAGGAGTTGTTAAAAACGTTGATAAAGCTCTACGAACATTAGGTGGTATTAAAAATATTGAAAGTGTAAGTATTTTTTACTGTTAAATTATAAAAATAATTTAATCGAGGATTGTAGGTAACAACAGCAAGTAAAAAGCATTTAGAACTGTCATTTAGACCACATAACTTGTGCAGCAAACCAGTATTGAGTGATAGAGATACAAAACCACATGTATTGCTTAAAATCAAAACCAGAAAATCTATTAAAGATGGGAAAGTTGTTGACAAAGAAGTTTTAGACTATGATGTTGTGGGACTAACTGCAGTTAATTTAAAATTTACCAGTATGAATTATAATCAATTAATTTAGCTATTACTATATTATGCTATTTAAGAATTATGTGATTTTCAATATTTGCCATTGGTGTCAAAAGTACCCAAAGAAGTTGAAGAAGATTTGATTTATATCTATGATGATATTGTTCCCAAAAAGCTACTTGATGCCGACTGGTTAAAGTATTTTTTGACACTTCAGGTAATACAACGGGCTTCTGAATAACAATTTTTGTTTTAGTAATGAAGATTTAGCTTCAATGCCACTTTATTTTGTTCCCTATCAATTTTCTAAGCCAAATATGACCGGGAATCGGCTACAGTTTGATAGAAGCAAATTCTATGAAGGGCGTTTCATGCAACAATACTGTGATAAGTTTAAAGAAACGCAACTCCAGCAGAAAATGCTACGGAAAGACCGAGACAAGTTCACAAAAACGACGATGCTTGTGAGAATTGAAGATGATGTTCCTCAAACACCAAATGCTCAAGCATTAGCAATGGTAAAAGAGAAAGGATTCTCAGAGGTCTTGATCAATAAATTAAAAACGGTATAGTTATTTTAAATTTAATTTTAAGAACAATGGAAAAATATTGAATCAAAATATGTATTCGATTTTAAAAATTACTTTTTGTTTAGTTGTTTGAAGAACGTGCAATTTGGTCGCGCAACGCCTTGTTTTATTACAGCCGAGCATCAAGCGAACAAATGAAGTACATTTTGCCAACAATAGCGTATCATTATGTCTCAGGACCTTGGCGTGTGATGTGGGTGCGTTTGGGATATGATCCCAAAGTTGATCCAGCAGCAAAAATGCTTCAGACTTTTGATTACCGAGTTCGAAGTCGCGGTATGTACCATTAAAAACTCATTTACTGTTTATCGCAATATAAATATAATATCTTTTCATATCAAACAGGCGGTAGCGGTAAAATTAAAATTAGAACAAAAAGATATGCAACACTTACAAATCGAAGTTTGCCGGACAATCAAGGCAAGTTCCTATTGTCAAACGTTGCTAATGAACCAAAAACTAGAGCAGTGCCCATTGAAGAAAACTCTTTTCTTCTGCGGCCTGGGTTATTACCAGCGGCTAGGCAAACATTTTTTCAGGTAAATTTACGTCAGATTTGATAAATCGCTTTTCAAATGATTGGTTTCTTGCATTGCTTCGTAGTATTGCGATGTGAAGTTGCCGGAAATCGAAAACATGTTCACCAAATTACCCACAGTGTTGCCTGGTTCTATTCTTGACTGGAAGCACGGTTGGTTACCGAATGGCTTCGCCGATCATTGCAGGGAAATAGTTAATACATATATCAACGACTTGGTGTCAAAAGAAATGCGTGATTCTCGTAAGAACAACTCGCCCAAGGTATCTTCTGATAGTGCGAGTGAAAGTAGTACTTCGGATTCTGAAATATCTGAAGGTGACATTAAAAAAACCTGCAAATTGTTACTTTTGCGTACAAGGATCGTGGACTTACAGAATTTTGTTACATTAAAAATATCTTGCAGGAGCGGATGAGGTGGAAAATACAGAGGCCGAGGACGTCATAGATCTAGAAACAGTTGAAGAGATTAATCAGTTATTAGGAATGAGGTCTTCACCATCAAATGTCAGGAATGAGGAAATGCCAGGGCCTAGTTCTGCTAGTTAGTTTAAGGTAGATGCTACTATATATTGGTACAATTGTATAACGTGTTGGTTATCCTATTTCAATATGATCATCATATTTTAATAAATGTGTACAATGTCTTACATACTCGTCTAAATATAAACTTACAAAAATATTGGAAACCATTCTATGCCGCTCTACACGTGCGCCTAAATCTTTTGCTTAGTTTAGGTAGCGATAGTATCTATTTTAAAATTGGAAATTAGCGAATTAACCATAAGAGTAGACCCACGGTGTACGGAATTAAACTTGAATTATCAGCTAAAGGATGATCGCTGGTGCACGCAGCTACAGATACGGCTCCTCGTAATTCCTCACTTCCCGACGGAAGAAATTAACTAAATATTCATTTGTAATAGTGCATGTAGGGTTACATTTGGGGCAATTGTTCGATAGCCGTAGCGAACTTGAAGTCAGGTGGAAAGAGCTGCGCGGCGTGCGGGTACATCAATTTGTAAGACTGTCGTATAGTCACGTCGGCGGCGCCAGCGATATCGCCAATTTCCTTTTGGCTGCGTTTATCCTCTGATGCCTGGAAGTAGATTATTGTATTAATTTGAAACTTACTAATAGCAAAAGATGTTACCTGTGAAGCCATGTAAATTGCAGCAGCCGCAACAGATATTGGAGAGCGACCGGGGACAATATCCAACTCAACCGCCTTTCCGGCAATATGTGTCGCCGCCCGTTGCACCATGTTAGGCAATCCCAAATTAGAACAAAATCGCGACATGAAATCGCCTGTGGTAATCAAATCGACCGACGTATCCAATGCCTTTAAAATCAATTTAAAGCAACGTCCGATTTCCTTCTTGCTGATTTTACTGACAGCGCAAATTTCTTTAAAAGTACGAGGTACGCCCTCTTGCCTGCAGGCAATGTACAAACAAGCTGAAGCGATGGCATCATTGGATCGACCTTTCAAGTTTTTACTATCATGCACCTGTTTAAACAGATTATTTGCTCGATCGACAATTGTCCTCGGCAGATTTATCCTGTCAGCCATACCACCAATTTCTTTAAAAGCATTCACAAGTGCCCGATCAGAGCTACTCATTGTCCTACGATTTTGATATCTGGACACTCCGAATCCATCAAAAGAGGCATCTCCACGGCCAGGACCTATCATGGTCGTTAAGTCAGATCCACCAAGGAGGGGATTTTCGGGACCACCGACACGAGACGGATCAACACCACTCTTTTCATTGCTGAATGTGCGCCACTCTGAACCCACGTCAATCACCCTATATATTTACAACACAAGTATATTTTATCTGGTCATAAACTGAAATTATTTTTAATGTTTTTCTACTTTCTTCATTTTTGGAGTTTAAGCAGGGTAAATTTACTGTAACTTTTAAAACAAGTTCCAAGATTATTATAACGTACCTGTCACCAACGACTAATCCACAATCAGAGCAAATCTGGTCACCTGCCCTGTAGTCTTCTATCAAGGTAGCTTCTGGATGTTCTGGGCAACAAACTGTGTTTGCATTGTACCTGAGCCAAAACAATAACGTGAGTGCTTCTTATACAATTAAATAGATAAATAGACACTCACTTTGATGACGTAGCCATTGTATTACATTTATTCTGATAGTTTTGGGGAAAATTGACTTGTTTTTAGGGTAGATTGATTAAATTCGTATCTTGTAAACTTTCTTTAGACGATTTTAGGTTACCATACAATTATCTTGACGTTTTAGAGTACACGGACACGGCAGGAGAGAGGGACCCATCATATTGCAACGTTGCGCTTTCTAGCAACCATCTAGCCAACACGGCATGACTCAAAAGAGGCCCAGCACATTACCAAGATAAAATTGACATAACAAAACATAAATCAGCTGAGTGAGCCAAGAAGTCAAACACAAAATTTGCTGTTTTAAATGTTTCTCTGACGATTGGGATTAGATTCATTAATCGTGTGGTGTGATGGAGTGTGCGGTCGAGAACGATCCGCTGTGGGCGTATTTACCTGAGCCTGTACTTTATCAAATTTTATCATATTTTGATTACAAGGAGTTGCTCATTGTTGGCAGTGTGTGCAAAAATTGGTATAATGGCTCTAGAGATGAATTTTTATGGAAAAGATTATTTTATCTTAATTTTAAAGTTGATCCATCTCTTCCAAACATACAAGGTATATAAATAATTCTAATATATTTTTTACATACTTTTTACATATTTAATTTTGTAGGTAATTTGTGGTATAATGAATTTAAGAGATTATGCTACAATATACCCCTTGTGGAAACAGAGACCTTAACAAATCATATTAATGAAGTACTACATGTTAGTTTTTCACACAATGGAAAATATTTTGCTACATGCTCAAAGGATGGAACTGTTCTTGTAAGATTTATTTCCTATTCTAGAATCTGTTTGTTTAACAATATTTTTATCTGTTTTCAAGTTATGGAACTCAAATTATCCTGCAACAATTGAGCATTGTCATGACATGAAAGATTTTTCTTGGAAATACACTCAGCTATCACAATTTAATGAATCAGATACTCTTCTTCTGGTTTCTGGAGTTCACTTTGGCACACCCCATAGCACTTCAGGGGAAATAGCTGTATTTTCTATCCAAGGTAATAAATATTTTACTGATACAATCTACAACTATTGATATTATTAATTGGTACAGATGATTTTAAATTGCAATGTCGCATTGTGAGTAAGCCATATGATATCTTTGGCACATGGTACAGTGACCAGCTTCTTTTATCAGGCGATTTACACTGGCTGGCACACTTAATTAGCACATCAGTTCTGAAGCTGAACAAGGCATCACAGGAAGTTGAATCAGAAAATATACCTATTATAAAAAATATGTATAAATTTTACAATCGAAATGCCAGCTCAGTGCGTAACATAATGATTGTTAACTGCTTGCCAAATTCGGAAAACGCCGGCCAACTAATGGACATTGATTGTGCTGCGGAAAAGAAAGATAATCGCCTTGAACGAGGTAATCCATTGAGTCATCGTGACATCGAGCACTTTCCGCAGGCTTTCAATCAAGGTAAATCTCCTTGTATGATTTTTTATTTCTACAGTTGACCTCCGTGTTACTAACAAATTTACAATTTTTTAATGATAGCTGCAAGCAGCTCACTTGGATGGCAGGACAATTCTGACGGTCTTGATTATGATTCACCAATTACTTATAATTCAGATTACCGCGACGCTGAAAATTCGCTGAACCGCTTTACCGACGATAGCGATAGCGGCGACAGTGACTTCGAGTACGACAAGAACAACGAGATGAGTGCGGATAGTGTGAATGAAGAAATGTCCGAAAGCTCGCAGGATTTTCTCAGCTGCGATGCCAGCGAAGAGCCTGTCGTTCAAAATGACAAGTATTTAATTTTTACTACTGGATTTAAGACGTATACGCCCCACCAAATAGGTAAATTCAAGGTTTGCAATCACTTGAATTGAATTGAACTGTTGCTATTTTAGGATTCAAACGAATTAAACCATTTGTCTTTCCAAAACTGATCGATCCTGGATTACCATTGAAAGAACGCTTGCAACTACGAGAAAAGAGGAAAGAAATGCAAAAAATCGCACCGCCTCCGGAACCCGACTGGTTAGATTATGACGCTGTTTCAGACAAATTTGATAAAATCGATCATTTGATTGATCTTCACGGACATATTATTGGTATGGGTTTAAGCCCGGATCATAGGTATTTACTCAGAGATTTGATCGTTTCCACTTAACATTAATCAATTTGCGATTTACAGATATTTATATGTCAATAGTAGACCATGGCCCGAAGGATACACCATAGCACATCCTTTGGATCCACCCCCTATTGCACAAGAAATTGACATACACGTTATAGATTTAGTCACACTGAAACGCGTTGGAACCATGTTGCGGGCCCATAAGGCCTACACCCCGAACAACGAGTGTTTTTTCATATTTTTAGACGTCTGCAATGAATACGTAGCAAGGTATGTGTTATCAGTTGTAGAATTATTTGCTAGTGATGAGCATTTACTTTATGATTTCATGAATTTATTGCTAATATTTGCTTAGTGGCGCTGAGGATAAACACGGCTATTTATGGGACCGACATTATGGTGTCTGTTTAGCCAAATTTCCACATGATGACGTGGTTAATTCAGTGGCTTTCAATCCCAAGGACCCCGAGATGCTCGTCACTACATCGGACGATTACAAAATTAAAGTATGGCGTTCCCGCGAGAAAGTCCACCGATTGGGACTTGATGCGGCGCAGTTTCCGTCTGGTATCGAAATACGAAAAACCAGAAAAAGGTCAAACGCACGCGTTTACCACCATTAATGGTGTGAAACAATTAACGTAAATTAAACAGGGTCCCTTTATACCTGATTTTACTTGATTTTAGTAGCACATTTTATTCTTTGATGGATTGTTACTAGTGGACGGACTTATACCTATACCAAAAGATGTACTTTTTATTTATTGATTGATTTCATATTATAACCAAATATTTATATAAATGGAAATATGTGATATGTTCCAATGTTTGATACATTGCTTCATTCGTCACTTACAAATGCTTTATGTTAACTACAGTACCTTGCAATGCGCACGTACTTAACGTTTCATTGGAAAAAAAGCAGAAACAAAATGATTTGTTGTGTAGACTAAGAATAAGAATATATTATGTGTATTAAGAGTTGTGTGATTGATAGAGATAATATAATAGAGAATTGAAGCTTAATTGTTTGTTTGTGACGATTTGTCGGTAATATGCAGATCGGTGAATTCTGGATTTGTCAGTGGATCATATACTGGGATCTGAGAATCATCGGATACTGCAATATTTGGTGGAAAAACAGCAGGTTCATTTTCTTCTTCATCACTTGAACTTGATGATTCGTCGAAAGCACGTGGTTTATGGAACATACAGCATTCTAAAAATCAATTCTACAAAATTTTCAATGAATGACCAACTTTTACGAACTTTTGGATTTTTTCTTGTTCATCAGTTCATTATCAACAGTCTCTGGTGTCCATCTAATTGTTTGTTGGTGCTCAGGCAATCTTAATATTATGGTAGCGGGAAGAGGTGGAAGCGGAGGAAGCGGGACCTTAAAACCACAATACATTTGTTAAGTTTGATTTTAGTTATAGTTTAAATCACAATTAAAAATACCGGTAACAAACTTCAATATCCTCACATCATATCTTTACAATTTTAATTAACGTTCTACCATTTTCAATTTTGTCAGAATAAGTGTTTTTCCAAAACATGCAATCTTTCACGTAACATAACAAAAAACCATCATACATTAAAGATACTAGGAATACTTTGAGTAGTTCTTCTGGTCAATATCAAATACAAACATGTAAATATCACGTTCAATTTCTGGGAACTCTAATCGAGATCTTACTTTTCTTTAGAATGTATGTTAATTGTCTTTTCTTCTACTAAATCAACCATTAACGTCTTACAAAATCTTAGTAATAAATTATAAGTATGAATCACGTTACGGATTTTCAAATCGCATTTCAGCGATGTCAAAGACAAAATATAAAAATATTGCATGGCATATTATTGGCAAAGTCTTAATCATTTAAAATAAATATTTTGTTCACTGTTCAAAATCAATTGCATTCGTATATAAATATTTCAAGTTTTATGTAAATATAGTAAATGCAAAAACAAGTTCCTTCTTATTTTGAACATGGTAGATTTATCTATATTAGTAATATAGTGTAACAATATTAAATTTAGTTATTAGTTATTTTTTTAACACTAGTTTATTCTGAAGGAACTGTCTCCAATGGAGGATCGTGCATTTCACAAGTTGTATCTTCAGTATTCATAGTTTTGTCTCGTTTAGGTTTGGCATGGTGGTGATCGCATTCATCGTCGCTATCATCCTCTGAGCTGCTTTCCCCAAAGGGTCGAGCTTTCTTATAAATACAACAACCTGCAAAAGGGGGAATTACATATACATCCCTATATAATTCTTTGGGAGATGTTAGACTTACATTTTGATTTCTTTTTATCCATGTGTTCATTGTCCACTGTTTCCGACGACCATTTTACTTTTCTATCACCACTGGCTTTCCTCAGCTTCAATTGTACTGTTGCTTCCTGTAATTATTTACATATAGTTGTAACTTCTTCATATCTTAAAGCAGGAGAAACTTTCACAAGCAATGACAAAAATATAAGATAAAAATATAAATTTTATTAGTATAAAAGATAAACATTTAAAATATTGCTTCTCATTGAATAACACGAAGTTCTCGCAATTTTTTCAGTTTTGCATCATTAAACTTTAAAACTTTCTTTAACACTTCATTAGTATGCTGGCCTAACACTGGTGGAGGCATTTTAATCTCATTATTAGACTTTGAATATTTCACAGCCGGTCCTACAAGTTTAATTTTCCCAGCAGTTGGATGATCCACCTCTTTGACCAACCCAATTGAGCGAACATGTGGATCATCGAAAGCTTGCCCAATCGAATTAACCGGTCCGTTCGGAAATGAAGACCTTTGAAAAATGTTCTCCCACTCTTTATTTGTCCTAGTTCCAAGAACGTCTTTAAGTATATCAATCAACGACTCTCTGTTGACAACACGATCTTTATTAGTTTTGTACGCTTGCATTTCACACAACTCAGGCCTTCCAATCATCTTACAAAAATCTATAAATTGCAGATCGGAGCCAGTACCGACGGTGTAATAACCGTCTTTTGTTTTGAATGATTGATAAGGCACGATACTCTCATGCGCAGTGCCCCATCGCTTTCCTTCCCGATGGCCATTCAAATAATTGGAGCCCACATTAATGAGGCAAGCTAATTGAGTACTGAGCAAGTTAACATCGATTTTTTGTCCCTTGCCGTCCTTACTTCTATGCAGTAACGCGGCCATGATTGCTCCATGAGCGTATAGTCCAGTCGCAAGGTCAGTCATAGCCACACCAACTTTTGAAGGTTCCCCATTTTCAGGACCCGTTATGTGCAACAAACCGCCACGGGATGCTGCGATAACATCGTACCCGGGCATGTTTTTGTATGGACCCTCCGAACCGTATCCGCTGATAGAGCAATAAATCAATTTCGGAGCTATTGCTTTTAAATCTTCATAACCCAAACCCATTCCAGAGAGTTTGCCAGGAACATAATTCTCAATTAAAACGTCTGCTTCTTTTGCAAGATCGCAGATGATCTCTTTTCCAGCTTTAGACTTGATATCAATACAAACTGAATGTTTGTTACGATTAACCGGAAGAAAGTAACAACTTTCTTTTGAGTTATTAACCCATGGTGGTCCCCATTTGCGAGCCTCGTCACCACCTCCGGGACGCTCAATTTTGATCACCTCAGCCCCCAGGTCTGCCAGTAGCATCGTGCAATACGGGCCGGCGACTATTCTTGTCAAGTCCAATATCCGCACACCAGTTAGTGGTTGCTCCGCATCAATTTCACGTCCGCTAACATTGATCGAATGCGCACCACAAATCGCGCTCCGACACGTGAAACTTTTGGTCAACGAGAATAAGCTATTTCGGGACACGCGAAACATTGTCGACTGCATCGCGTTATCAACATTTCACTCAAGCTCAAGTTACGTAAAATAAAATACGCGCTATAGGGCTGTGAGCTGTGTGGTGGTGTATATATCAGTTACACTAGTTTAGATTGTGCACAACAAACATGAGATACCATTTACATATACTCGAGCGCAACGTAAGCACATTAACGCGTGTTAATTAACCGTTGTGTAGAGCGAACCTACATACCTGCGTTTGTGCGTCCGTCCTATCAATTGTGATCGTCGTCGATGTTGTGCCTTCCACATTCCTGTGCTGCGACTGCGAATTGCCAGCGCTCGGATCGGCCATGATTGCAGAAAACACAACTTGTACTGGGCAATTTGATCAATAACGACGCGTTCGCACCCGGCGACGTTTAACAATTTGCTTTACTTCGCACTTTAATTGGCAAATTGTATCAGATTATCTGTGAGCCGCAGCGGTTTTCCTCGTGCAGAAAGGGCATGTTCGCAACCGAAACAACTTTTGACAAAAGGTTCTCGAACGTTGAAGGTTATTTCAACAGAGATTGTTTAGTTTATCTAATAGACGCGATATGGCGCTAGTGGGATCGGATTGAATGAAATACTTTCGAAAAGTTCCAAGTATTTATTGTTTACTCGTCGATCAAGTAGGATAAACGACACAGCAAACAATAATGCCGTAGAATGTAAATAAAACGAAAGAGTGTCACCATCTTAATTGTTTAAACTTAGTAATAGTTATAATTATTGTGCGCGTGTTTAATGTTTGTGAACGATACAATAAAATAATCCATTGGAGTTTGTTTTGTGTCTAATTGTGATAAAATAAAGTTTATGTATTAAAGAAACCACAGGATATAAAACTCTTCATAATGGGGAATATGATAAACACGAAGGTAAATTTTTATTCCACCAACGATCTATTGGCAAATATAATTATGTTCTAAGCATGTGTATTCGTTTCATACTTAAGTCAATGCGATGTGTTTGTGCAGTAAACGACCAGTGAACTTTATACGAGCCGCACGTGTGTGAATAATATCAATTGCCTCAATTGATTGCTCCGAATTATTGCGATAGTTCATCGAACATATATTCTTGTTTCATTAAATCAAATGATAAAAATACTGTGCTATCTTCTGATTATATATGCGCTACGTACAAGGTTAATGTCGAGGTGTTAATTTTAATTTGTACCTAACACTATTCAAAAATGCAGTAGAATTAATTTGTAGAGCAGGTCGCGATAAACTGAACAATGGTATTTTTTTGCTAAATCGGTTTAGCCTTCACATTTGCACTTATACAAATATGTTCGGTTCATGTTGATTATTAATACTGTTAAGTATAAGGATTGAACAGAAATAGACAATTGTTAATGAGCTACGATCACGGAAACAGATGACATAGGCTTTTTTCGTTTGTGAAGTTTAAACAGGTTTTCAAATATATTCGCGTGTACTTCTTATACTTCATAAAGTTTTTGTTTACAATTTTGTTGAAGATGTAGTATATGTATACATGGACATATTATTTGCTGATTAATTCATAGCTTTATAATAGATATATATAATTTATAAGAAGCATATTTTTTTGCAAATATTGTTAGTATAAGCAAGACTATCACCTTTCACGTACGAACGAATGAATATTGAATACCTATATAGACATTGGTAACTTGGTAACTTTCCATGATTTATTCAATGGCTGTCTTTATTTATGACGTCAAAAACACATTAATAATATACCGATGATGAAACACTTTACAAGAAATGGTACTATTTGGATAATATTTTTGCAAAATAATCAGACATTCTTTCAGCTAAACAAACATTATGAAATCAAACAGGTTATCAGCGCTCGAATGTGATTTATTTCCACTTCAACATTTTAGTACGACTAGTGTCTAATCATTTTTATTAAAGTCGAATTTATTATTCATGCATTAAATTGTGCGCACGAATACAATAACCGTTTTTAGCGACGCCGCAAGCAGACGAATATTAATTTCGACGGCAGTCGATTCCGTCGGTTCGATGAGATGTTATTTTTTGACGACGTATATGTCTACGATGTGCCGGCGTGTGCGGCCGCGTATCGCTTTATGTAATAAATAAAATGTCGCTTCGCGCTTTCTTTCTATAATAACCGTCTCAAAACAGTGAGCGTGATCGTCGCGATCAGATTCGAGTGTCATATCACTTATTGGTGCAATTTTATGATTGATTTCAATAACGTTCAATATACGTTAATTTCTTTTCGTTAACCCAAAATGAGTTTTAGTGCATTAATACCTAATTTGTTTGAAAGAGAATGTGTACAAAATCTTATCATCTAACCCAAAATAGTGGATTAAGTCAAAATGTTGGTGAATGGAAGCAAAACGGCAAGTATCATTACATGTATAACGTATAGACAGAATAAACACCCTCTTATCAATCAAACAATAAAATTACTGTGTTTTAACTCATAATATAAGGTGGAAAATGCAACTTCACCGTTTTGGTTGTGTAAAAATTAATTAAGATTACAATGGATAATAAACTGTATATAACCACAGCCAAACGTTATCAGTAGACTTTCATATAGTTAGCGGAATTTGCTGAATATCCAACATAATTAAATATTCACTCAATTTAATTATACTGTATAAAACATATGTGCACATGTACATCATTTGAATGAAGTCAAAGTCCATTGAAATAATTTTGATAAGGTGAAATTACGATTTGTCTCCTAACCCAGGTAGGTACACTACTATTGTGAATAAGTGACGCATATAACTACTTATTTACGAGATTTTGTATAATCGCTGTTAATATTTTACATTATACTCACAACGACGTATTGTACTCATTTTATTATACTTTGCATTAGATTCTTATCAAGTTTTAAGATTAAACGTATACGGTTACGAGGGCATGTTGACGTGCATTTCAGATTGAAGTGGGCGTCAGGGCGACTAGTTTAGTGTGAAAATTTCCACATCATTCAATATCAATTAAATATTTTCACGGAATTATAGCTATTGTTTCAGTAGATTTATATTGCCGTGTCCTTGTTAGTAATTGAATTATATTAAACGTTCATTTCTTTAAAAGGTTCAATTCAAATAAGACGTGTGTCTTATTATGAATGACTGAACCGACTCGATTTTAATACTGCTTTAATTAGTTAATTATAGCATTAATTAAATAACAACCAAGTTTGGAGTTGGATGTTTGGCAAGTGATCAAAAAACCTTAATAAAACACATCAACGGATTATAACTTGTAATTTGTGACTTGTATATTTTCGATTAAACAATTGTGAATAATTGCTACGAAAATTGAATATTAATATCAGTTATTTTTTTGGCTTATTTTCAGATTAGCGAGGAAGCTCTTTACGGGCGTGCTAAAATGAACAAGTTCCACTTCGACGTGGTAGATTACTGCGTCTTCAGCGCTATGCTCTTGTTATCAGCGATGACCGGCCTCTACTACGGTTGTCGCGGGCGATATTGTCAAAAGGGCGAAGAGGTCACGTTAAGAGATTACTTAACCGGAAGCGGGAATATGCGACCGTTTCCAGTTGCAATGTCACTTATAGCTAGGTAATTATATTTCACGATTATGACTGATATTATTGTAACGATATTATAAATTTGCCATGGTGCTAAAAATAACCGGATAATTATCATATAATGAAACATCTGTTAATATGTAATTAGGAGGAGATACTACGTGTGTTATCATTGATATTATTGCTTTTGACCTTTACCGTACACTTGAACTATATCGTCATTCCAATCAATCAATCTAGACCTAGAAAAATATAAACCTAAACAAACACACGTAATTATTGATTTGTCAAGATTAAAGCAGGGTAATTTGGATCAGATCCAGATATTTAGAATATATTCTATAGATAGTTTTGTTGATTTCGTTGAACAAAGTTTTAAATTGTTTTTTTCACAGCTGATCGCCTGATTTTTATGTAACAATTGCAGGTCACACGATTCACAAGCTTAAATCAAGGTCAAGTCTCTGAAAATATAAAAATACATCTATTTGTGTGTTTGTGCACTTACTTTAAATGTTAGGGTTTCTAAAATTGAACATAAACGAATATAAATATAAATACAATTGCAAAGTTTTCTTGACGAAAACTGAACGGGTAACAAACTGCAATTGTTTGATGTATTCTAATGGTAGCTGCATCCTAGTTATGTTTCAGGTGTCACAATTTTGGGCACGCCTAGTGAAATTTACAATTTCGGAACACAATACTGGCTGATTACATTTTCGGTCATATTTAGTGGTATTGCAATTGCTTTTATCTACTTGCCGGTTTTCTTTCAACTTGAAGTTAATTCTTCATACGAGGTATTCGTAATAATCATTCAATTTTGCAATTTTACTTAAACTATTTTAATATGTTTTCAGTATTTAGAGTTCAGATTTAGCCGGACAGTACGAACTTTAGCATCAGTATTATTTGTTATAGATGAGGTGAGTTGCAAAGTGAATGTGTTAAATAAATCATTAAAATATTCCGCATTGTTAATTTTGATTCGTTTGACTCGTGCGGATTATTTGTTGGCACACAATTATTTCTTCTAATTGTTAATTAATAATTGCAGATATTGTTCCTTCCGATATTAATTTACGTGCCGTCGTTAGCATTCAATCAAGGTGAGTAAACAATTAATTACGGCGTCGCGTTTTGGTTTGGGTTTGCGATTGCAGGTCGGCCGTCGCTGAAAGCAAAGCGCGAACGGGCCGACGCCGCCGCCACAGCCGTTGCCGCCGTACACTTCGATTCCCAACTCGCATGCACATGCCTGCACTATTCCCCTACCCTTCTCTTCTCGGACGTATTGCATCATTAATTTTGGAAAAACTTATACTGTTTGCAGTTTCCGGCATTAATTTACATTTAATTGGAACGATTGTGACTCTAGTTTGTATTTTCTACACCGTTGTGGTACGTACCGCCGTCCTCTGAGGCTACTATTAATTAAATAACACATGCGCAAACAGATAATTGATTCTCTAATTTGCTAATTGATTAAATAATTAATTACAAACAACGAACTGGCGCGCAACAATCTAGCGCACAACGAATTAGTTAAATATGCTTCCAGTGAATATTTCGTACGCAATTTTAGGGTGGATTGCAAGCGGTCGTATGGACAGACACGTGGCAAATCATCGTCATGTTTATATCTGTGGTTGTCGTGGTTGTACTGGGCACGGTTGCCATCGATGGTGGCTTCGATAAAATATGGGATCGCAACGATAAAGGAGGACGATTAATTTTCGACAAGTACATTTAATAGTACACATTACAAACTAGTATTATTTTTGTTCTTAGTTTCAGCGTCAGTTTGTACGAGCGCCAATCATTTTTTGCAGTATTATTTGGTGGATTTACATATTGGACATCGTACAACTCTGTAAATCAGACTATGGTACAACGGTACATGTCACTACCAACTTTAAAGAACTCAAGATGGTATATAATTAATTTCTGTCTAATACCTTATCATAATTAAGTATGTAATTTATTATTTTAAGGTCTGTTGCATTATTTACAATTGGCGTGGGTGCATTTTTAACAATTTGCTGTTACTCAGGACTGTTGATTTTTGCAACTTATTATGATTGTGATCCTTTGCTGGCGGGCAGGATCAAAGCTGATGATCAGCTATTGCCATTGTTTGTAATGGAAACAGTTGGACATCTTCGAGGAGTTCCTGGTTTGTTTATTGCTGGTGTTTTTGGTGCGGCTTTAAGGTACACAAAATTCAATAACTTTACTTTATTTTAGGTTTAATCACATATGTTGTAGTTCATTGTCAGTTATCTTAAATTCCACATCTATGGTATTTTTGGAAGACTTTATAAAAGGATGTCTTCGAATGAGTTTACCTGAACGGACTGAAAGTATTATCGTGAAAGTAGTGGTACTATTTTTGGGAGCTGTTGCTGTCGGCTTCTTATTTGTGGTGGAACATATGGGCGGTGTGCTTTCAGTAAGTGCACTCTAACAAACTTAAATATTTCAAGAGTTTGATTAAAATGTTTGTGTTTAAAGATGGCGGCTTCACTTTCTGGTATAGCTGCCGGGACGACCTTTGGTGTTTTCACTCTTGGGATGGTTTTCCCGTTTGCGACAAACGCAGGCGCTTTAATTGGCGGTTTAGCAGGGGCGCTCATGTCCGGATGGGTTGCGTTTGGTGTACAGTATGTGGGCGCTGCTGGATATGTCATTCCGCATAAATTGCCAGTGTCCATAGAGGGATGTGAAGCGGAATATGACATTAAAATCAATTATATTGAACCGGTAATAGGAGAAACATAAGCATTCTATGTTCACAATTTAGTGTTTAATTTGTTTAAAAACTTTTAAACAGGAATACCCGGACGAGTCAAACATATTCCCACTTTTTCGTTTGTCGTACCATTGGATCACACCCGTTGGGGTGACCACAGTTCTAATTGTTGGCATACTTGTGAGCTTGCTCGGGCGTCAGTACGATCTACGAACAATCGATCCAGATTTAATATCGCCAATTTCCCAATGGATGTTACCTGTGGAGTCGAAACAGTTCAAAGGTACAGCTGCTATGCGAGTAAGGCGGAAACAGCGCACGTTTGATACATTAATGCAAGAAATTAGGACTCCACAATCCACAAGGGTAAGATTTGCAGAATAACAAAGAATATATGTATTAATATTACTTATACAATTTGGACAATTTGGCAAATGAGAGTAATTTTTAAATTACAGAATAGTCCAACAATATCAATTATAGACAGCCGTAATTCTTCATTGATGTGAATTGATTGAAATGAAAGTTAGCTTTTGATTATTGGCCGACATATTTAATGAGAACAATCGTTCAAGCACTTATTTGTAAAGTTGTAGATATGTTTTATACCAAACATTTTTAATTGCTTGATATATTTATGAACGTTTAATAAATCTAGAAGGTGTGATTTATTATATTATAAACTAATGCTACTTCCATACAAATCTTAGTGAATATTTTTTCTGACCTAAGTTGGTGCATATTGAGATGCCTACCATAAACCTACACTTTAACAAATAATAATAACCATTTCTTAGCTTTTTATTTTATTAACACACTTACATACTTACATAACTGAAGAAAAACCACAAATATAAAAAGTGCGTATTATATTTAATATCTTTTCAACACCTATTTACTCTTAATTGATACTTAAATCGGGCATCGCTCGATATATTTTTAATTGAATATGTGACGATATAAAAATTGCTTTAAGAGATTAAAACTCGTGCAAGTTTCTTTAGATGTACCACTACTCGCACCAATTCCTGGTACATTAGTAATGTTCAATACAATTGCAATTTTTTCTCAGCTAGGTTTAAATTATTTGTTGGGTTTAATAAATTAGTTGGCAGCCGAAGGGCTGTGCATAAAACAAAATGGCACGATAGGGGGATGGTGAAATAGTGCGATAGTCACAAAGTTCTATTTATATGGAAAATTTAGCGATATCGTGTTGCTACAGCTGTTCTGAATAAACCAAAACGATTCGTTCCGGAATCCCTAATTCGTTATTTACACAATTGCTCTCAGCCCTAATAAACCCCTTTATATCCGTGCATCAATTTCTCGTTAGTACTGCATTATCAATCGGCTACCGCCAGTAAGTCGATTCAGTTGTTTCAGGACTCGACTAGGAATAATAATGCTTCATAGAGATAAAAATCTCATTGATATGCTTTAATATATTTTGAAGCTTTCCTTTACTAGAAGAGTGTTCAGTATCTATACGTGATTAAAACGACACTATTATGCAAATCAAACTGTTGAAATAATTTACGGAACTGTCGTTTATTAGAAATGCAAAAGCGTCAAATTTACAAGATACAATTATTTTTGAAATTTCTCGCGTGCGGTTGAAACGGCTCGGCATTTGAACCTCAAACGTGCCACAAATGCCAAATACGTGAATCGACTTGTTAATTTCTTATCACCGCCGTTGAAACTACGTGGGCGCACTTTACGCGCCGCGCTACGCTTTCATGGGGGCACGTAGAATTAAATTTGATAACTTGAAATAATATTTAACTAAAATTCACGCATAAACATCGCATTTCCATTGTCACGCTTGCGTTAATCCGTAGGCGTCTTCGACATAATTACACATTCGAATGCTAATTCTATAGTATAGTACGGTACTGAAATCAGTTTCATTCCATCCTTATCACCATAACAATACACATAGATATTCTGATTTAAGCATCAAATCATCCAGTATACAGATACATTTTTAACGGTAGTTAAAACATTGTGATGTTATGAGAAAAACTGTTGGTCTGCCGATGTTTGCAACATGCAAATTAGATGCTATAAATTTTAGGTACATTTTTGATAACATTTAAATATTTCATTTTATTTATAGCATTCAATTTGCAAAAAAAATCAAGATGTGAAAATGTCACACAACGTAATTTACTGTTTGATATGGTTCAAATTAAATTCAGATTGAGAAGATAGAATTTTACATATTTTGTAGGCACCTTCTGGTGTATCTCGAACATATTTATAGCGACAGGTTTTCATATAGCATACAAAATTCTGTTTATATTTGCATCCTGCATGTATAATACTGATATCTTTTCTGCTGGTCGAAATATTTACACGAAAATCAAACAAGCGCAGTGAAGAGTTTTTCTCGTAGATTCTTAGTAATCAAACCTCAGAGCTAAACGTATAGCTCATGTTGGTTGAACGCAGCCAAAGTAACATTATTTTTTTCTTAGAATGTTTAACGTTCCAAGAGGGAGAGTTTTAACAAGTTTAATATTTGACGTATATGCACGAGCCTTAAAAATAAATCCGCGTATCAAAGCGTTGTTCAAATATACCAAAGCATAACTTAACATAACGCAAGTAAATAATCGTTGACCGATGTTTGTGTGGTGCACGTTTTCCCATGTTACGCTAGATTTCTATTAACGGCGAGCACTTACGCCATCATTCGGTCCTCAGGACATCCCGAAAGGAGTGGAAATCCTTTGGAGAATATCAAAGTCATTCGACCGGTTGCTGGACATTTAAACCTTACGCAAATATGTGTACAAGATCCTAACGTTCTAACATTAGTGCGGCGAATAGGAAGTCAAACACGAATGTATCAAACATGTTGAATGTTTAATGGAGCCTTTTTCTATACTAAGCGTTTTCAATAAATACAATTTAAAAATATGTTTAAGGAAAGGTTAAAAGTTTGATTCATTGCACATTTGAAGAATGTAGAAGCTAAATGTTTGAATTATTATAACAATTGCAATAACAAAACATTTATTATTTGTTCATAGACTGCAAGTAAAGTTTGTAATTTAATGGAATGTAAACAGTTATTATTTAACATTGGTAAATTGCATAGCAAAGTTGCAAATTGTCCGATTTCTGCGAAAATCTAGAAGCAAATCAAGCATTTCGTACCCTCCGCTTGAAGCAATTTAATATGACGATGGGCACTCGAGCAATTGCGTATTCTAGTAGAATCTAGACAAACGTAGAATCTAACAATACAAATATTCCAACTATTAGTTGAAATTACAATTTGCTAGCGAGTTTACGCTAGCCCAAACTGTGCATAACTAAATAGCGTCGCGCTAATGGTCCGCTCTCGCCTGAAAATAATAAACGGTCGCGGTTGCAAAGTCGATGGTTGCGGATGGAATCCCTACATCAAATTGTGTGCGCGGAAAATCATCGTCAAAATGCTCCCCTATTCGCGTAACTTGCATAAGTACTAATAGAGCGCTAACATTGTATTACAATTTTCGCAGGTTCCAAAATCCAAAATCCTGTGCGAAACTTTAACGTGAAGGTATGTGGTTGCGCCGAATGGCATTGTTCGTTCGTACGAGAATCTGAATTCGACGTGCTCGATTCAAAAGCTTCGAAAGTCTGAATTGTACAGACAGATAACTCGTCGGAGAGGGCCCGTATTTCAGAAATAATGTACCTTTTCATTGCATGTGTAATACTTAAATTATGAATGCTAACAGTCAAATCTGCGAGATCATGCATGTTTTAAGTCTTTCTTTCATTGTCCGCGGATTTAATTTCATCATATTTCTCATTTGTGCAAAGGAATTTACAAAGTAAGGGTTTAATACAATAACGATTTTTTTATATTTTTATAGAGATTTTTTTTAACTTTTAGAAATAATATTATTTAGTAATTATGTTAATTAAAAGCATTTGTATAGATTAGGTTACTTTTGTCAGTAATTAAATATTACAAAGTACAGTAAAAAAATGTTTATTATGTTTTGTTCATTAATTTAACTTACCTACGATAAATAATGTAAATATTCTTGAAGTGGAAAACTTTAATATTATTAATATTAAGGGGCTTGAATCCTAGTCTGGTTACAACTTATCGAATAGGAATGCCGGAGAGTACATGGGAACCAGGTTTTCAGTAATAAGGTAATATCGTGTTATTGATATACGTATAGATATATTTACAAAAAATAATATTTATTGCTGTTTGGTAAAGAATTGCAATCTCTTAAAATAATATTTTAAATTGACAGAAATAGCCAAGCATTTCAAATGTCTTTCAATAAATTTTGTCTACTTTAGAATTAATATACCTATGATGTATATTTGGTTGTCTATTATATACCTACATGCATACCGTGATTCAGCTGTTCAGTCGTGCGTTGGATTATGATTATATTGAAATAAATTTGACAACGTTGGTCTAATGGATAAGATTGTTGTTATTTCTTATTTCCCTTGATCGACCAATTTTTTTATATTTTAGGTGTTATGGGTAATAACAGAATGTTTACCTTTGCTATTTGAGTAATTCCCTCACACCCCAAAGACTACTGTCAGTGCCCTAAAGTACCTATCAAAACTAGCGTTGTTACAAACATTTAAAAATATGCTGTTGGAAACACCCTGTACTTCAGTAACTAATTGACTTTCTAGAAGACTCTTACCAACATTTGAAGGCTCAAAAGTTGCTCTACACAATGCATACCTTGGTAATCTTTTAACCCTTCTGGAAATGCCCTAAAATGCAAATTGACGTCTTTCATAAAATATGAAAACATGGTATGGAAAACACAAGGTGTTTTGTGAAATTAGCGGGTCTTTTAGTATGTTTTACACCCCTGTTAAAGCTTGAACACATTGCATTATTTTACAATCTCCTACCCCTTCCCAAAGGGCCCCAAAACTCTCTTTGAAAATTGGCATTATTCAAAACAATTGAAATTATGATGTGGAAAACTCCCTGTATCTCGAAAACTATTTGACTTTCTTGCAGTTTCTTCTCACCATGTTAAAGCTCGTAAGTTTTTCTATACGGTGCATACCTTTTCAATCTTCTTTCCCTTCCGGAAGTGCCCTAAAATGTCTTATAAAAATTGGCATCTTTCCAAAAAATTAAAAACATGCTGTAGAAAACACCCTGTATCTCCAGAAATATTTGATATTTTTGTAGTTTTTTACCGCCATGTTAAAGTTTGTAAGTTTCTCTACGCGATGTATATCTGTTAAATCGTCTAGCCCTTCCGGAAGTACCCTAAAACTGCCATTAAAAATTAAATTTTTTCAAAAAAATTGAAAACATGATGTAAAAAACACCCTGTATCTCGAGACCTATTTGACTTTTTTTAAATTTCTTACGGCCATGTTTAAGTTTGAGAGTGTTTCTACCAGATCTATATATTTCCAACCCCCTAACCCTTTCAGAAGTGCCCTAAAAAGCACTTCAATAATAGCTTTTTTTGGCCTAAAAATTTCATTTTTTGGTTGAATAACAGGGTCGAACTTGATTGTTAAATTTTTTTTCGGTCGAAAAACAGCGTCGAATTATTTAAAAAAATTATTTGATCAACGAACAAGGTCGAATTTTTTTGGTCGAATAACAGAGTAGAACCTTTTTCTTAATTTTTTTTGCTTGAACAACAGAGTCGAACTTTTGTCTTAAAATTGTTCCGTCAAAACATTAAATTAAAAAGTTGAAATTTTGAATTCATAATTGATAAAACAGTATTTTTTCTTAAATTAATAAAAGTTATTAATTATGAAAAAATTGGCGGAGGCGCCTGACATTGAAAAGAGTTGTTTAATTAATTATTGAGAGCTACCTCATTGCGTAAAGGGGTTCTTAATGATAAAATTTAAACAACATTTTTCCTAATAACAGTAAGGCTTTTTCCTGCAAATCTCATTAAGTGAAATGTGCACTCCCATCGAGACTTAAAAATCAATTATCTCAGGAACTAATAGAGATAAACAAAAACCAAAAACACCCCGTTGTTCAGCATCAAATCCTAGATAAGATAACATTTTAAAAAATTTAAAATATAATATGTGCCTAACAAATTTTCCACCGCAATTTTCTCGGAAAATAATAAAGATAGAAAGGAACTTTCTTCATTTTGTTCATGCCGTGATAAGGATCTATAGAACGGCAGATTTAGTTTTTCCATTTTCCAAAGTTGACCAAAGACCACTCAAAACGATCAAGAGGTTACACTTGACTCTTTTTGGACTCAAAAAAATTATTTTAAGCTAAAAGAAAATGGAAAACGCTAATCGATTGAGTTTTTCAAGGGGATGAAAGATATGAAGTCAGTTTTCCGATAACATCATTATTTCGGAAAATGGATGGTAAATTCTAAACTGATCAAATAAAACCACTTTTCCGATTTACCCCAAATGTTTTCAATTGCAGTAATACATCACTAAGATTCCATTAATCCAGGTTTTTTTGCTCTATCTTAATTAGTTTTCATGTAATTGACCATTTTTAATTATTACGTAAGTGTTGATAACTGAAAATTTTAACATGTTTTATAATGTAAAATGTAAATCTACATTCAAATATGAAAACCGTTTTCCTCTATCTGTAATGGTTTTCAAGATAAGTGCGAAAACCTAGTTTATTCGAATTGTCCATCATTTCCTAAACAAAAAGTAAAAATTATAAATTTGACTTTTTTATAACCGAATATAGAAGAACATGTGATTCTACGTAAGAGAAGAAACGGTTTTCTCCACACAATGAGGTAGCTCTCAATAATTAATTAACCAACCCTTTTCAATGTCAGGCGCCTCCGCCATTTTTTCATACTTAAAAACTTATTAATTTAAGAAACTGAAACTCAAAATTTCAACTTTTTAATGTAATGTTTTGACGGAAAAATTTTAAGAAAAAAGTCCGACTCTGTTATTCGGCCAAAATATTCGACCTTGTTTGTTGACCAAATTTTTTTTTTAATTTGACCCTATTCTTCGATGGAAAAAAAATTTAACAAACAAGTTCGACTCTGTTATTCAACTAAAAAATGAAATTTTTGGACCAAAAACTGCTATTTTTGAAGTGCTTTTTAGGGCACTTCTGGAAGGGTTAGGGGCTTGGGAAGATATAGAGCTGGTAGAAACATTCTCAAACTTTAACATGGCGGTAAGAAACTACAAAAAAGTCAAATAGTTCTCGAGATACAGGGTGTTTATCATTCCATGTTTTCAATTTTGTTATAAAATGCTAATTTTTAAAGAAAGTTTTAGGGTACTTCCGGAAGGGCTAGAAGATTGAAATGGTATGTATCGTATAAAGAGACTTACGAGCTTTAATATGGTGGTGTAAAACTCTAAAGAAGTCAATTAGTTTGCAAGATACAGAGTGTTTTCTAGACCATTGTTTCAATTTTTTTTAACTGCCAATTTTTAAAGAGCAGTTTAGGACACTTCCGGAAGGGCTAGAAGATTGAAAAGGTATGCATCTTGTAGAAAGATTTATGAACCTTAACATGGCAATAAGAAATTGCAAAAAAATCAAATAATTCTCAAGATACAGAGTGTTTCCGACACCATGTTTTCAATGTTTATTTGATTTTATGATAAATCAACAGATATTATGTAATATATAATCTACTAGCTGACCCGGCAAACTTTGTTCCGCCTCGCTTTTCACGTGCAATTTCTTGTTCTTCTTCAGTCCTTTCATTCGCAATCCTTCGAATTCTAGTTGCATTACGGTTTTGTCGGGTAAGATTTGATCGTTTTGTTTTTTTAATAATTATTTTAAAATTATAGTAAGTAAACACACATACCTTTATCAATAATGGTATCAAACTCAACGGTATTTCGCCTATGTAGTTTTTATATGTTTCACCATTTGAAACTATTTTATTAGCGAACGCGGTTAACGAAAAGTTTTCTAAGCGGAACATTTTTCAAGTGTGCACAATTAACGTTTTGTTCTAACACTGATTTGGGTAGCGGTTTCCTTTAAAAATGTAACGTTTCACGCACGTCTATGCTTAGGGGGACGCTACGAATCGCACGTCTATGCTTAGGGGGAAGCTATGAATTGCACAAAGGGCAGACGGAGATAATAGAAAACATTATATTTGTGTGCTCTTTTGAGTTTTCACTTCAGAAAGTATCCTAGAAGCCTTCTCCAAACAAAAACATCAACCGGTCAATTTCAACCCACACGTACACACATACACACGTCTATGCTACGAAGCATCGCACAAAGAGGAGACGGGGATAATAGAAAACTTTGTATTTGCGTTCTCTTATTCTCCCGCAAGATAATCCATATACGCAAATATGTTTGTCTCTTTTTAGTGTCGTTTAGTGCCCTTTTAGAAAAGTTTTCACTTCAAAAAGTATCCTATTACCTTCTCCTGGCCCTAAGCTACCTCTCCACCAATTTTTAGCTAAATTGGATTAGCCGTTCTTTAGTTATAAAGGAGTTAACCAACACGACTTTCCTTTATTACTATGTAGTATGTATGTTTAATTTCTTGGGTTCAATTTAATAATGTAGTTCATTGAAATCCGTGTCCTTGCGAGCGATTACAGGTACACGCTTGCCTCGCCATTCAATTCTTTGTACAGCTACTAATCAATTGTGCGATTCAATAACATAAGCAAACGATTTCTAACTGTACTCTTAAAATATTTCCGAGATGTCGCTAGAGTGTCTGTTTCAACTAAAAAATATTCCCACTAGTTTATCCCATCGTTGTTGCCCCACGAAGTATAGATACACAGGAGCCCGCTCGGTATAGGCTTTTCCATAGTAGTCATACTTACTGTACGCTATACTGCTAATGGTCGAAATAGCTATCCACTTCAGGATTGACAAACACTTACATTGATTTGCAATGGTTTTAATAAAGTGTTTACTTTACTTCGGTTATTACACAAATCATAGTTCTCTTTTCTGCCATTTTTGCTGCGCATGGTTTAAGATCGTATCGATGTACGCTGGTTTGGTCC